CTTCCCGTTTGACCGTTTGGCGAAGAGCCGTTTCGTCGCTCTGTCTCTCTCGCTCCCCAACGGAACGCACCTTGAGTGACGAAACGATCCTCCGGAATCGACCCCGCCCCTCTTTCAACCCCCTACGCCGCGTATGCAGAATAAACCAACGCAAAAAAAAAAAAAACGGAACTCAAACTTCGACGTGTCACGCCACGCGAACATTACTCGGCGGTACTACCGGCATGATTTGATTGCCTACTTTTGTCATCTCATCGCTAACGCTTGCAGCGCTAGCCGCGCTAGCCGTTTCCGAGATATGGGGAGCAAGGTCCTGAAGGTCCTGAAGGTGGCCTTCCTCTGGCGCCGAATGACTTGACTCGCTCTGATAACGCCGTGACGCGATGCTGACGTGCCGCGGCTGGCGGGGCGGGGCGGGGTGGGGCGGGGCATTTAATTAGAGATGGGGGCCTAATTTGGCCGCGGGCGACGCTGGCGACGCGCGCTGTCTTGCCGCCCGCGGCGCATATTGGCCGTTATCGGCGGCCGAGACGCGTCGCGAGCGTCGCGACGTCAAGAGGCTGCGGCGGCAAGCTGCGGCGCCTGCACTGGCGACTTACAGTGGTGGAGGCGGTCAAAATCCCGGACGGGTTTTGAGCTCCAGAGTCGCCAAGTAGGACTCGAACCGAACGTGTGACCCCACCAATGGATTGCTCTCCTAACGAGGAATCCATTGGTGGGGTCACACGTTCGGTTCTAGTCCTATTTAGCGACTCTGGAGCTCAAAACTCGTTTAGAGTTTTGGCCGCCTGCGCCGGTCTTCTGGCCCACTGTGCACCGCTTAGCTTGGGGCACGGTTCACGAACACGGCGTCACGGCGTCGGGGTGCCCACGCCTTGAATGGGCTCGCTAGACTGAGTGCCAAACTCGACGGGAATGTGACAACGTCGCGGACGGCCGGGCTGGACTCCGGACGCGGACCGGACGCAGAAATGGGCCTGGCGCCGCCCAAGCCAAGTCCTTTCCCTGCGCTCCACCCCGCTCCGGCTTCGTAAGGATGCATTCCCTTGCGTCAGACGCAAAGGCTTTCCCCTCTTGCATCAGCCGCAGCCTGCGAAGCCTGCGAGCGAAGCCACCCCCTGCCTGCTGTGCTTTGCCTCGCTTGTCCGGGTTGAGGCGACGAAATCCCGGCCAGTGTTGCGTTTCGCGGCTTGATTCGGTCGGGTTTGACTGGGGGGTCCAGTCCAGTGGGAAGTGGGGGCGGGGGGAGAGAGGGATCAAATATCGACTCCCCCGTTGCAACTTTGACGCGCCGGGGAGGCAGGCAGGCCGGCAACGCGCGTCGCACTAGTCTCCCACTCTAAATGCCTCGACGCAGCCAGTGTGTGACACGTGCCACAGCTCGCTGCTCTTAAATTGCTCTGCACTTTTTTTGTAGTTCTAAAAGCTGCTTTTGCAGCGACGTTCGAGGCATCGTTGCCGGACGGTTGCTGCCCAAAACTTGTCCGGAGGGACGGAGTACAGTACAAACGCAGGCGACATTGCTGAGAGGTTCGCTGGCGGCTCGTGAGTGCGGAGGGAAGTCCCAAGCGCCGAGAGGCTGATAGCCCCGAGTGGCTGCTGGCGCGCACCTGCCCGTGTATCGAGCAGTGTAGTGTCCGCGGAGTGTCCACCTGTGCAGCCGTCGCAGTGTGCCGCCAGCGCGTTTGAAAAGGGCGCCCGCTTTTGCACGTGCCATTGCCGCCAACGTGCGAACGTCGCGCCGCCGTCTGGTGACGTCTGGTGACGTCACTGCGGGCGCCTCGTGCGGCGGCGGGGCGGCGCGACGCGCGGCGTGACGTCACTAGGGCGTAGTGTACTCCGAAGGCCACGGCGGCGCGTGGTTGGCCACCCTGCGCGTCTCACCCACCGCCCCCTCGCAAGGCGAGCACGGCCAGGCCGGCGCGCCCTTTTTCGGCCTTCCGGAGGGGTTTGAACCGACGGCCGGTGGCACGACAGGTGCCCGGCGGCATCCCAAAGCCCGGGCGCCTCGCTGCTCGCCGCCGTCGCCCTGACTCAAGCACCTGGCGGAATTGCGTGTGCCACACTGTGCGGCGCGGTGCAGTGCGGATTGCCTCACCGCCGGCCAATGGGGAGGCCGCGTTGTGGGGGCTCGCCACTATCGACCAATGGCTGGCCGCCGCCCCCGCCCCTCCGCTGCCCCTGGGCCCCCGAGGGTGGCGTTCGCGTCGCGGCCGACGCCGTCCTCGTTCCGCCCCCTCCGACGGACCGCACGGGCGACGCTAGGCGACGCCGGGTGCGGCCGAAAACGGCGTCGGCCGTTGTTCCGAGCCTTCGGGCCTTCGGGCAGCCTTCGGGCCTTTGCGTTGCGGGCGGCACGAGTGTGCGACGGCGACGCTCGGCTCGCCAGTCTCATTCATTCTGCCGGCGCGGGTGCTCGTGCCGAACCCGAAAGCGGCCCGCAGTTCCACGCTAGCACGCTAGTCACGCCACTCGGCTAGCTTCGCGTAGCCTCGCGCGGCGCCTGCAACCCCCCGCCGCGTCCGCGTCCCGAAACACGACAGCAGGCAGGGAAAGAGCTTCGCGCTTCAGGGATGGGCATTAAGGCGGGGAACAACCTCCTCTTGCCCAGCTTCGCGGTGAGTGTGGTGACTCTAGCCGCGGCGGCGTGGGGCAAGGCGTGGGGTGGGTCGTCGAAAAGGCGCCGCGCCGGGACGGCCGGGACGCGAACCCACGCCACGCCCCCCCGCAAAGTGGGTCAGCTGTTCGGGCTTCGCGCTTCGCAGTCCCCTCAGCCGCGAGGGCGCGCGGGTCGGGACGACGGGACACGATTCGATACCGGGGCCCGGCGGCGGGGCGGCGGACAGGCTGGGCGGCGGAGGCCCTAAAATGGCTCGCTGGCCGACTTGGCGACCATGCGTTTGGGGGAGTGAATCAAATTAAGAGGTTGACCCATTTCGCGACACGGTGTCACTGACGAGAAAGAAACGGGTCTGGACGGAGGCGGCCGCGACGTGGCCCACGTGGTGCACGCCACTGCACGCCAGCCTCCGCAGTGGCGGGAATTCCCTGCACTTCTCAGCCCAGCGCTCGCGAATGGCGCGACCTGGAACTGTCAGGGAAAATCCTTTAAGATCCTCTCACAAGCCGTTTATTTCTTGTCCGGCACGACTTGACAAAAATTAATCGTCCCATTCACATTTTCTGCTTCCAAAAGTTGATTACCCCAGCCCAGAACCTAGTCGAGATTGTCCGTGCGTCCGTCTGTCTTCTCTCTCGGGTCCGGCCGGGAGCACAGCCGCGTGGCCGCGTGCACGTAAAAAAAATAAAAATGTTCTCCTGTGATCCCCCCCCCATTTTTTCCCTTCCAGACCTTTCACGGAAAAGAGTGGGGGGATTGAAATAACTCACCCTTCTCCCCCCACCCCACCCTCTGCACCGGCCCCTGCCCCCTGCCTCTTCCCTATCGATTGCGTAGTGTGGGAAAGGGGGAGGGGGGGGGAGGAAGAGACTGTCCGCTGTGCAGCAGCAGCAGCCAGTACGAGCGCCCAGAGAGGTGTTTGGTTCGGGTACCCGGTCCAAGGTCGTCGTCCGTCGTGGTCCATCCCGGGTGCCGCAGCGCTTTCGTGTCGCTCTGTCTCTCTCGCACTCGCGGGGCGTCCCGAAGGAGAATGAGAGAGACAGAGAGGCGAACTTAAAGTTGACATTCCCAGACATGAGTGGCTCTGTATACTGCAAGGGCTCGAAAAGCGCGTCGCTTATACGCACTCGAGCACCCCGTCAGACACCTGCCATTGCACAGTGCACGCACGAGACGAGAGGGAACGACGGGGAAGGATGAAAACGGAGCGAACGGAGTGTGGAGGGAAGGCTGAAGGGAAGGTGCTGAAGGCTGAGGGCATGGAGCGGAGTGAAGGGAGAAGGGAGGGCAACCCTTCCAAGGTCAGTTCCTCGGGCTGCCTCGCCTGCCGCCGACACCCCGCCGACACCCGGCCACTCCGCAACCCTCCCTCGCCTCGGGGACCCTCCCTCCCTCCCTCTCCCTTTCCCTTCCCTGCCCTTCGCTCCCTTGGCGCGCCTTGGCGTGTTTGAAGCGCCGTTCGGCCGTTCGGCACACGGTCGGCAGACTTCGGCCCGCACTCGGCTCAGCTGCTCCGCCGCCCTGCCCCTGCCCTTTCAGCTGAGCGGGCTACTCCCGTCGTTTCCTCCGGATCTGGTTCTCAGAGGATCCTGGACAAAAGTGAAAGGTTGCGCGGTTGCACTCCCTCGGCCGTTGTCCGGGACTTGTCCCCCCCTCCCCTCCAGTCCTCCCGCCGAACTGGACTGAACTGGAGTTTGGTTGCTCGTTTACTCGATGGCCAGGGCGATTTGAGTGGAGTGGAAATCCTTCTGACTTGCCAGAACGACCTTCTGATGTGCTGTCATGAAATAAGCCAAGCTAGCCTTAACTCCCCCCCTCTCTCTCCTGCCTACGTGCTACCACTACCGCCACCACTACTGCTGCTACCCACTCCGCCCAGCTCAGCTGCACTGTTCCAAGTCGCTCGTTGGATCAGGGCGCCCTCGGCCCCACGTCGTTCAAACGCTTCCTTGAACAGTGCCTCTGGGTTCCTCGCCTTCCTGCCGGATTACGATGGTCAATGAAGTGTCTCTGAAGGCAAGCGCTGGAATGTCATTCGTGTCTAGGCCACTGTAGAGTGTAGACTGAATCAGAATGTCGGGATGGTGCGTGTCCGCGGGGGATGGGGTGGGGGGCGAGGGGAATGCTACGAAAGACCCATAACCTCTCGCTATTTCCTGAAATTGAGAGCGTAAAATAGATCGATGTCGATTTGAAACGAAAGGGACACAGGGCCCTTTTATTTGAACTGCTCTATTTTGTCGGTCAGTTCAGTCGGTCTCGATTCATTTTGCTTGTGGATTGGTTTTTTCAGCCGTGGAAAGCATGTTCTGCTGTGTGACTGTGGTTGACAGGATTTTCTTGTTCCTCTGAATGACGTTTGATCTTGTTTTGCTTTCAGGTCCGTGAACGATGCAAAGACTTGATCCTCTCGGACGAGACGATCGCCGAGCTGATGCGGCGGATCATGAAAGATGTGGAGAAGGGCCTGTGCAAGGACACTCACAAGGAAGCGGTTGTGAAATGTTTCATCACCTATGTCCAGGACCTGCCAAACGGAACAGGTAAGCAATCTTCATTCATTGCTTCACTCATTCCTTCATAGAATTTCATTTTAAATAGTATGTTTGGGTCTGCGTCGCGTTGAGAAGCATTGCTTTGTCTGCCGCAGCAATTTTGCTTCACGGGGTATAACACATTTTTCTTTTGATTGCAGAACGAGGAGAATTCTTGGCCCTGGATCTTGGTGGAACCAATTTTCGAGTACTCTTAATTCACCTTGGCCAAAACCATTTTGACATGCAATCTAAGATCTACGCCATTCCTCAATCAATCATGGTTGGCACTGGTGAACAGCTGTTCGATCACATTGCTGAATGTCTGGCAAATTTTATGAAAGAGCACGATGTGTATAGGTAATGTTCTTTTAAGTTATCTGACTTGCTCTCTAAGGTTCCTTTTCTGTGACTTTCACTAATTGGTTTTTATTTTGTTTTTTCAGTCACAAACTTCCCCTAGGATTTACCTTCAGTTTCCCCCTTCAACAACTTGGTCTAACAAAGGGACTTCTTGAAACTTGGACTAAAGGTTTCAAATGCAGCGGTGTTGTTGGCAATGATGTTGTACAACTTCTGAAAGATGCCATTAGGCGACGAGGGGTATGTACTTTTGTTTGTATGCAGTTTCTTTAAAATAATTCTAGGGCTGAGGAGTCTTGAACGAGTGACAATTGACCAGAGTGAAAGATCGGTGTTGCTCCAATGAGGCAAATGGCCAAAAGAAAATGGCCTTGTGTACCCTCAAGGCAGCCATGGGCTTTTGTGTGTTTGGTTTCAGGATATCGAAGTGTCTGTAGTAGCCCTGCTGAATGACACAACTGGTACTCTTATAAATTGTTCTTTTGCTAAACGTGACTGCCGTATAGGGTTAATTGTTGGTAAGTGGCCTGGCTGAGCCTAGGAAAAAAATTTGGGCCAAGCTTTGGCAAGCATGTCTGGGAAGAATAATTTGTCATAGCCTCACATGGCACAAACCAGACTCATTGCATACCCCATTTGGGTGTGCAAATTTTCATTTTTTGATCCAGATGACATGTGTCAAATGATCTCATTTTTAAGTCCCACTGTGCATGGGGGTTGCATCTTCAAGTGCCTTTTCAGTGGGAAAGTGTTGCAAGTTAAAATTCATATGGAATGTGCTGTGTAAGTTCAGTCATGCTGTCAGTCATCATTTCTCATTAATTTAAAAAAAAATAAAAAATTACTTAAAGGTATCAATTGTTAAAAGTCAGATTATATGGCATGTGAAGTAGCAAATGAAATGGAAGCTTACTGGTTCATAATACTGCTGGAAAGTTGAATACTGATGGTCATTGGTCATTCATTCTGTACGAAACAATAATATCCTGATGGTATGCTTCTGTTGTGATGTGAATGGAATGAGGGACTTGGGTTATTCATTTGGTGTGGCTTTTGATTTTGTTTAGGACATTCAGATCCAAGTGTGCGCCATTCTGAACGACACAACAGGCACTCTTATGTCTTGTGCCTGGAAGAACCACAACTGCCGAATAGGTCTCATTGTTGGTATGTTTTTAATAATATTGTCTATGTTAACTTTTAGTTTTATGATGAGTGACACTATGTAAGGATACAAATTCAGCCACTTCACACAAGGTTCAAGTTAAATATCCAAAATATTGCTGCCGTGTGATCTTTAGTAAAGCAGTGAGTGCATCTGCGTAAAGCATGTCAGCTTTCCCGGGGGAAGAAAATTTAAAGTGGATCTTCCTAATAAATGGGCATATTATGATTATTAACCTTGTCTTGAAGTTTTCACCAAATTAACTTTGGATTGCATGTTGTTTTTTTATATGAAAATGGCTGCAGGGAAATATGCAAGCCATAGTTTGCATGCTCAGATAATGTATTCATCGATAGTGACCAATGTGCTCTCAAGTTAATGAGTTTGTTGCTTTCTCAGGTACTGGCTGCAATGTTTGCTATGTGGAGAAGACTGAAAATTGTGAATTATTTGATGGAAACACCAACAAACCGGACTGTATTGTAAACACTGAATGGGGTGCGTTTGGCAGTGACGGTGCATTGGATATTGTCATCACAGAGTATGATCGAGAGATTGATGAGAACTCAATTAACCCTGGAAAACAACTGTGAGTACATGCTTTTTAAAGGGTTAAAAGTTCTGCGAGGAACTGTAATAATGAAAAATAAAATTGTGTCATTATTTTTTTTAGGTTTGAGAAAATGATCTCAGGAATGTACATGGGAGAGTTAGTGCGACTTGCATTGGTTCGGCTTACAAAGGATAACCTTTTATTTGGTGGTAAATTATCTGACCACCTCTTAAAACGTGGAAACTTCTTCACTAAATATGTTTCAGAAATAGAAAGGTAAATGTTTTTCTACTTGCTGGTTTAGTTGCGTCTCTGAACTTAAAATAATAACCAAGCTAACAAATGTGCAATGTTTTGTTACAGTGACAAGCGTGGAAGCTTCTTAAATTGCCGGGAAGTGCTTGGTGAACTGGGTCTGTCTCACGCCACTGAACAGGACTGCGCCAATGTGCGTTATATCTGTGAGTGTGTATCCAGGCGTGCAGCACATCTCGTGTCAGCTGGCATTGCCGTCCTAATCAATAAAATGAAGGAACCCAGTTTAACAGTGGGTGTTGATGGATCTGTGTACCGCTTCCACCCTCACTTCCATGACCTTATGGTTGAGAAAATCAAACAGTTAATCCTTCCTGGTATTAAGGTGAGTAGAAGTTTCTCTGAATCTTTTGTTGTTGGATTGTGTCCCAATTTTTTATTCCTTGCTCCTCTTGTTCTAGTTCGACCTGATGCTCTCAGAAGATGGCAGTGGACGAGGTGCCGCGTTAGTGGCAGCAGTCGCATGTAGAGAAAACTGATGACTTCTGTTTATATAAGATTCAGTTTTTGTAAATATTAGAAAAAAGAAATGGAATGTCTGAAAGAGTACATGTGTGAGTGTCTGTGTGTGTGTGTGTGTGTACATGTGTATGGGATGAGTGTGTGTGTAATTATAGTATGGGTGTGTGAGAACTACGAGCCTAGAAGTGGGCCAGTTTGCCAGCTGCTAGTCTACCCACCAACTAAGCTCGCCTTACTTTTTATTTATACATCTACCGATTTTTACTTTTTTGTAATGAAACATGTGTTTCCTATGTTTTAGCATAAACATCATATTTTGCTTGATTATTCTTTTTCGAAATCATGGTTTGTTTTATACACTTTGCCTGGTGGGTTACTATGCTTATTTTCTTGTTATGTTTTAATTTTTAACTTGACCCTGAAAAGGGATTTTAAAATGTTCTTTGAATCAACTTTGTTGAAGGCATGGCTGTGTATCTGGTCCCTTCAGAGGGATTCTTGTGGATGATCCTGTGTACTTAGTTAAGTAATGCACTTGTTAGTCAGAGGTATTTTTATTTATATGATAAAGTTGGGCCTAGTTTGTTTTATCAGACGGCATTGGCTCAATATTTTAAATGTCTTGTCAGCGTTTTTTTTTTTTTTTTTAAATGAAATAGTGCTTTGTTGTCATGGTTGTAATTTATTACCTTTTAGAAACTTGCTCCTTGTAGCGCAGAGAACTTCTCTGTTAATTAAGTTTTTAAAGTTCATGAGGGCTGCAATGAAATACTATTGTACTTAATGTAGCAGCATTCCTGAGTTTTTTTTGTTGTTTTTTTTTGGAAAGGATAGACTGCTTGAAGCAAGGAGGCCACTTGCCAGATTGTGTGGACCAGGAATATCGACACACATGTAGTAAAATTCCGTACTAGTCATAAAATCGTGGCATTATAAATCACGTCATGTGTCATCTGGCTCTGATATTTTACCAATTGTACGTTGATAAATATATATATATATAATATATCTATTTTTGTTGTAAATTAGTTCTTGAAAAGCAATAGCGCAATAGCTGAGAGTGCATTGACATATTGTTTGGAATATGCATTTGATCATATTTTGTTGTATTGATCATGTCAAATTTAGAAGTCATGTTCATGTTGTTCAATTCTTTTTGTGGTTCCATGGCAGGGTCATTAAACCACAAGATAATTTTATGTTTTCATGAATACATTGCATGGTGCTTACACTTAATTTTTTTCTTTTAATGAACTTAGTTTGATTTACCTTTTGTGGTGAACATGTCATGGTAAGGATTTTATCAAACGTACCATAAGTGGACTATTGTATTCACAGCCAATGGTTTCCTTATCTTCAAATTGTGGATTATCGGTATACCTGAAACTGCCATCAATTACAGAATGATTTGTTCCTTAAACTTGAGACTGTGATTTCTTTTGTCTCCATATCAATATGGATTCAATGTACGTGTTAGACCTGAGAAAATAAAAGTTTCCCACAAATATGCATATTATTCAAGATCCCACTGGGTCGAAACAAATTTTTGAATTATGACTTATGATCAAATCTAGTGAGAGGCAAGAATTAAAAACAGGCTTTGCAAAAATAAATTGTTCAACTCTATTCTTTTGATTTTATTAGTATGCTTGGTAATGCAGATGGTTTATCCACACAAGTTAGGAAAGGAGGATATATTGGCCTTGAGGGCCACTTCACACCCTGTGGCTTGAGACTTCGCAACCTCTTGTTCCTGAAGCTTGATGCCCATTCTGCTAGCAACACTTCTGCTACATATGGAGCATATTTCTCATCTAGTCCTGACCTATCCATGTCCCTTTCCTCTTCAAGCATTTGGAAGTACTCTTCTGTCAAGATTGGCACAACAAAATCAACCTACAACAGAGGAAATGGTGGAAGATATCAATGCACATAATTACAAAAGACAGAAGGAAAGATACAGTTCAAAACCAATCATCACTGTAGTCTTACCTGAGACATAATCCAGATGATGTGTTTCATAAAGTTTTCTATTACATAATGGCTGAAGTCAGAAAGTGTGTACACAATATAAGAACGCCCGCTTTCCTTTGAAGGCTTTTCAAGTATATTTTTTACTTGCACCGCGTGGTGTCTTCCATCATTCATGAAAGTCAGCAGTATGATACCCCGATAAGCCTTAAAAACAATTAAATCATAACCATGAAAGCTTGTTGAAACTGAGACAAGGGAAATTAATTCGAATAGATGATCACCTTGTTTGAACGACATCCTGAAGAGTAGCCAGACTGAGATAAACCTCTCGGTACAATTTGTGAGGCTTTGCTTCGAGAGAATGGTGCTTTACAACATGCTATAATAGAGAGACAAACAAGTTTCACTAAATTTTCTTGATACAATGGCAAATTTTACTAAGCAAGATAAATGAATCATTACCACTGTGTCTGTGCAATGAAAAGTGTTCTTTTAAGGCTAAAACAGATAAAAATATAGGATTAAAATTGCAGTGGATGGTTTAGGCTGCCACATAATTTTATTAATTGAAATTGCAACAAAACTGTGTGAATAAAAGTGGAAAAGAAAGGAAATCAAGGCTTTTTTCACTTTAATCTCCCGTTCTTACCTCGAATGCTTTGATGTTCGAAGCCTGCTATGACTCTAAATAAATGAGCATATTCCAAATTGTTCACTATGTCCGTAACTGTGTAAACCCGTTCAGATTTGGCTAGGTACTCAAGAAGGACAACTGACGGATGATCTTTCCGTGAAGTTGCTAGCTGTTGTATGATCTATAAATAAATAGAAAAGTGTTTAAAAATACAAAATAACTAAGAGAAGTAGAAGATATGAAACAGAAAATAATTTACTAAATTATTCTGTAAAAAGTCATTTATAATTACCAGGATTTCACGCTGAGATTCTCCAGGATGTTCACGGAAAAATCCAAACATAAACTTTTCAAATGATAGGGAAGAAGAAATCAGCAAGTCAGTCAGTAATTTCTTTTTAAAGCGTTCACCACAGCTGCACAACAAGTGAACAATATCTATGCCATCTGTTTCTTTTCTCCGCTGATCAGCACGGTATCTTTCCTCTCTGATTGCTTGATCCAAACCAGATTGAAAAATGTCCTCCCTAGCATTCGACATCTTCAAATCAACTTATCTGAACTGAATATGGAGTAGGAAAGACTTCAGTCATACAGCCTATTGTGGTATAAAGTAGAGCCCAGGGCTCTAGTATAAAGGAACCAATTTTCAAAGGGAAATGCAGAAAGAGACAGACACTGATTGCTTGTTTCTCAATTTAACTTGATCTGGCAGTTAAATGGCTCGTGACGTCGTGTGCCATGCTCGCGCAACCCTCAGAAATCAAAACATAGCTATGAGGAAAAGTGGAATTGACAGAGGACAGCAGACAACTTGACGAAACACTAAACACTAAACACCAGCAGACGACAACATGGCTGACATGGGACAATTTTTCATCCAAACAAAGTGATATGAGAAATTTATGAGGACAAACACAGGACAAGCGTTAGGCAGGGTGCAGAACATCCCCACTTGTATGCGTTTCGCCATTATCCTCAATTAAATCCACTGCTCCCGTCCTTCAAAACTGACACGAGATCTTTGGTACGTTGTGTTTCAAATGTCTTCGCGAATTCAAGCGGAAGCGAGGGTCGGCGCGTGTGAATCCGTGGCTGTTGGTCGGTGTTTATGTTTGCACGTCTGTGCCTGAGTTGTTCCTGCCTTACGTGGCAGACGTCCGACAGCTGGAACTGGGTGCCCCAAAAACATATTTTTGTCAACATATTTTCCCTGTAGGTTATTCTTGATTGAAGAATTGCCTGCTTTATCATAGCGTCACGTAAGTTGTGCCTTTTAAGAAGGTGTTGTGCTGTTTCACTGACGTGTACCCACTGCTAGCGGTGATATCAACGGCAGGATGACAGTTTCATCTGCTGGGCGAATATACAGGTCGGCCTTATGAAGTGGTTTTGTATCGTGGCAGTTTTACTCGTTCAATCGGGCATTGAGGCTTGTCTCATTCCAATTTGTAGATTCATTTTTTTAATTGAGCCATTTTAAACCCCCGTTTGTCGATTTGTTTTCGGTCTTTGAAGAGGTTAGCTAATAGTTTGTATGTTTTAGATGTGTTCACATAGTTTGGACTATAATTATAATTCGAACTTTTTCGAATCTCTTGAAATAGGTCCTCTTAATCTTATAACAGTGGGCTCCCTTTTTGAAAGAATCATTTCATAGGGAAATGACGTGGTACCATAACCTCTTCACTCTTGTCAACTTTGCCATAAATGCAACCTGTATACACTTGACTACTAGTCAAGTTTCATTGATCATAAAATTTAGTGTGGAGACTTCAATTTATGTCTATTTTTACATATTTGCGTCATTTGGTTGCTCATTTCAAGTGATTACACTGACGTAGTCTTGTTTGTTGCCATCTTAATGGATTCTGGTTGAAACTATATGCTTTCATGGAAAACCATAACAAGGTGCGACTTGTACTTTTTGCAGGTGTACTCTAGCATGAATCCGGCGTACCATCCGCCACAACCATATGGGGCACCCCCAGGTGCTGGTTATGGACAGATCCCTGCCGGTCAACCAGGCCAACCTGCAGCAAGTCAGGGGTATGGGCCTCCACCTCAAAGAAACTTCGGTGGGCCACCACCTCCTGGCTCTGCACCCATGCCTGGGCAAACACACCCTCCGATGATGCAGAGCCCAGGCGCCCCAAATCAAGGAGGATTCCCCCCAGCCAATGGGCCGTCACCAGCAATGTCACAAGGTATGTTCAAGCGTTTGTAATCTGGTTGATGTGAATGACGGATGGCTTACCGGTTGTTCTGTTTCAGGATCACCAATGCAGGGGGCACCTATGCCGGGGCCACCTATGCCAGGTCCGCCTATGCAGGGGCCACCATCGCAGGGGCCACCAATGCAGGGGCCACACATGTCCGGTATGAACAGACCTGCATCCGGCCAGCCTGGGGGTATGCCCGCCGGTCCAGCACCCACTGGCCCACCTGCTGGCCCACCTGCGGGCATGCCTACATCAGGACCCCCATCTGGCTCTCCCCTGGGTCCACCGCGTGGTCCTGCAGCTGGCCAGCCCATGGGCCCTCCTGGTGGTCCTCCAATGGGGCCTCCTGGTGGCCCCATGGCTGGCCCACCAGGTGCATCCTCCGGGTTCACCCCTGGCCCTCCAGCAGGTTGGACTGATTTGTCAATTTCCGTGTTAAATGAGTGATAGTGTTGCATGAGTAATCTCCCTACTGATTTCATCCCTGAACTAGCGCCCATGGGACTTCCAGGAAGACCCAACCCTTCCTCCATGCCTGGCTCTCAGCAATTCAGTGGCCCACCACAAGGTGTCAACCCTACTCAGCTGGCTGATCAGATGTCAGGGATGAACATAGGATCCTTACCACCAAGGCAGGCAGGCCCCCCTATGTCACAAGGACCTGTGCCTAACATGGGTTCTCCCATTCCTCCTCAGGTAGTTTGGGAATCTACATTTGTCCTAATAACATTGGTTTTGGAGGTTTAAACAGGAATAATTAAATCTTTTGTGAATTTCAGTCTGGTGATTTGAAGAATGGTCCTAGGACTATGCCAGCTGCAAGTTTCCCTCCTGCTTTGAATGGAGGTCCAGGTAACCCCGATGGTCCAGGTGGACCTCCCATGCAGCAAGACATGCAGTCTGCGTGGATGCCAAACCTTCAGTCCCCTACCCACAGCAGGCCTCCCATGCAGCAAGGCAGTCCATACATGAATGGCATACCCGGGCAACCACAACCGGGGATGAATCGAGGACACCTTCCCCCAGGTACGTGCCACATTTGCTTCATGCCAAAAACTACAAAATTTTGATTGTTTTTGGTTTTTATGCTTCTCTTTTATGAATGGATTTGTGACTCCGTCACATTTTGCAGCTGGAAACCCTGCAAACGGTCCTCACATGATGCATCCAGGGTATCAGGGTGGAGCTCCACCCATGCCTGGGCCTGGCCAGTACCCACCACAACCTGGAATGGGGCCGGGCTACCCACAACAGCCAGGCATGCCTCCCACCCACATGAACAAGGGTTACCCGCCTGCCCCGGTGAGTTTCCCTCTGGTGCACTGTGAATGGAGGCGCTGCGCTTTGAATGAGTTGTGATGCATTGTGTTGCGCACGTCATTTTCAGGGAGGAATGCAGTCTCCCACACAGTATGGGCCTGCCCAGGGAGGCCTGTTCCCTGCTCAACAGCAACCAAAACAGCAGAAGAGACTTGATCCAGCACACATGCCAAGTCAGGTAAGAAATATGGAATTATATTATTTTGTCCCTCCTACTTTTTATATTTGAAAAAATGGTCTGGATCAACAAACTTGTATTTATTCCAGATTCAAGTAATGGAAGAAGATGAAAAAAATAATGGTGGTATCTTCGGTACTTGCCAGAAAGGTCGTGCCCCTCCTCTGGTCACCACCAACTTTGTTGTTCAGGATCAGGGTTACTGCAGTCCTAGGTTTGTTCGTGCATCCATGTACAATGTTCCTACTACTGTAGACATCATGAAACAGGCAAGTTAAATCACAATTCATTTTCTTCTGTGCTCAAATATTTCTGTAGCTTTGTTTCCGTTTCTAAACTGTTATTTTTAATTGATTGTTTTACAGACTAAGATCCCACTTGCTCTAGTTATTAGCCCAATGGCAGAAACAACCCCTCAGGAGGTGCCTCCTCCTGTTGTTGATTTGGGTGAAGTGGGACCAGTTCGTTGTGTGCGCTGCAAAGCTTACATGTGTCCTTTCATGCAGTTTATTGATGGTGGCAGAAGATTCCATTGTCTATTTTGTAAAGCAACGACTGAGGTTCCTCCAGACTACTTTCAGCATTTGGACCACACTGGCATGAGAGTTGATCGCTTTGAGCGACCTGAGCTGATGCTGGGAGCATATGAATTTGTGGCAACAAAAGAATACTGCAGGAACAACACCTTTCCCAAACCTCCAGCCCTTATCTTTTGCATAGATGTCTCCTACAATAACATCAAGTCAGGAATGGTTCATCTTTTATGTTCCCAAATCAAAGACCTGTTGAAAGTGTTGCCTGTTGATACAGGTATCAATGCTCAAAGAACAAATATGCGGGTGGGATTTATTACATACAATAATACAGTTCACTTCTATAACATCAAGGTAAATGATCTGTTTGAAAATTACTGATACAAGTCCATCTTTTATGTCTCAACCCAAGTTATTACTTATTTGTGATCTTTTATTTTGACAGAGTTGTTTAGCTCAGCCCCAGATGATGGTTGTGGGGGATGTTCAAGAAATGTTTATGCCCCTCTTAGATGGATTCCTATGCGACCCAGAAGAATCTGCCTCTGTAATAGATGCCCTCATGGAACAGATCCCAGCCATGTTTGGTGAAACAAGAGAAACAGAAACTGTACTAGCACCAGCGATTCAGGCGGGTATGGAAGCGTTAAAGGCTGCAGACTGTGCCGGCAAGCTTCTGGTCTTCCATTCCTCTTTGCCCATCGCGGAGGCTCCAGGAAAACTTAAGAACCGCGATGATCGGAAGCTTCTTGGAACGGATAAGGAAAAAACAGTTTTAACGCCACAAAACAATGTGTACAACAACCTTGGCCAAGAGTGTGTAGCTGCAGGGTGCAGTGTCGACTTGTTTATTTTTAATAATTCGTATATTGACGTCGCAACTATTGGCCAAGTGGCTCGCCTGACTGGTGGAGAAGTCTACAAATACACCTATTTCCAGGTTAGTGGTGTCATGGAGAGAAAATTGCATTTCTCTGATGATGAGCTTTCCTACAGTATGTTGGTTGTCTTTTGTTCAAGGCTGATATGGATGGTGAGCGTCTGATTGCTGATCTGAGAAGAAATATTAGCAGACCCATTGCGTTTGATTCCATCATGAGGGTTCGAACATCTACTGGAGTCCGGGCCACAGACTTCTATGGCCATTTCTACATGAGCAACACTACAGATATGGAGCTAGCAAGCGTTGACTGTGACAAGGTACTCTATTTCTGACCTCATTTGCTTTCAAAGTTTGAATTTCAACAATAGTTTTAATGTTAACATGTTTTAATATTGCACAGGGTGTGGCTGTAGAAATAAAACATGATGACAAATTGACAGAAGATGACTCAGTTTACATTCAAGTTGCTCTCCTTTACACCTCTTGTGGAGGTCAAAGAAGATTGCGTGTTCTAAATCTTGGCCTTAAAACATGTTCTCAAATGGGTGATGTCTTCAGAACATGTGATCTGGATACAATAGTTAACTTCTTCTCCAAGCTTGGTAAGTGATTTGAGTTTATTTTTGAATCTATCTACTTTTGCAAAAGTAAGAACGCATTTAGGAGTAATTCAGGAACTGTTACCTTGTAATGTCAGTCTGTTGTGAAATGTGAGTTGTAAATATGTAGACCCCTCAATTTGTTCTTCAATTTTCTTACAGCATGCTATAGACTCCTTGAACACCCTCCAAAGCAAGTCAAGGATGGTTTAGTGAATGTATGTGCTCAGATCTTGGCTTGTTATCGCAAGAATGTTGCAAGCCCATCATCTGTTGGACAACTGATATTGCCAGAAACTATGAAATTACTTCCTTTATACCTTAATTGTTTGCTCAAAAACGATGCTCTGTCTGGAGGTAAGATACTAGCAGTTCACAATCGTTTGCATTTATTGAAGTTTGCACATTGTAACTTCGTTTTCTCTGTTCTGCTCATGTTAAACAGGCTCAGATATGACGATTGATGATAGATCATTTGTCATGCAAGCAGTGATGACACTTGATGTGCCCTCTTCCGTTGTTTACTTTTATCCTCGACTTATACCACTTGTTAATGTCAGCCCTGAATCAACAGAAATTCCTTTCCCAATTCGTTGCAGTATTGAGAACATGGAAGACACAGGAATTTACTTATTAGGTAACTTCTTGCACAGAAACTATTTTCTATGCTGGCAATGTGCTAGGATATTATCTTACCTATTAATCCATTCATTTGCTTTTCCAGAAAATGGTATTCATTTGTTCCTTTGGATCGGCTTGGCTGCAAGTCCTGAATGGCTTCAAGCTGTATTTGGTGTCACATCTGCCAACCAAATTGATGTTGACAGACCTTTCCTCCCTGAACTTGACACCCCATTGTCTCACAGAGTAAGACAGATCATTGGTGAAATTCGGCGCAAAAGGCGCAGGTGTATGAGGGTAAGTATTGAAAGCTTTTTTTATTTTTGAAGTCTGTTTCGGAACTTTGACTTACTAGAGCAAATCCCCACTGCCCCCCAGATCACTTTGGTGCGACAACGTGACAAGATGGAAATGGTCATGAAACATTTCCTTGCTGAAGACCGCGGTGTTGATGGTTCTCCTTCATATGTAGATTTCTTATGCCAATTGCACAAGGAAATTCGAAGTTTGCTGGAGTAGGAATGTTATAGGGGCTATTGGGTTCCTGATAAAAATACCTAAAATGGACCCATTTTGGCCAACTTTTCATTTTAAATAAAATTATTCAAAATTCTAAATTTTGTAACTCTGCTATGACTGCCATGACCACTATTTCATGTTAAAAACTTGTATATGTGAGCGTTAAATATTTTCTTTGTGTGGTCAGCATATCTGTGTCCTGGACAATTAGTATTAAAAGTTTTGCACACGACAAGAGAGTTATCATTATCATTGTCATCTAATTATACTGCAACACTGAAGACTGGCTGAGTGATTTTGTGAGCTCAGCGTTCTGAAGACAGATGTAGTCTTATCTGATTTTCAGGGGAAAAGATATTTTTGATGAAAGTCCTTTGTAAAAGAGAAAGCACTCTTCACTTTCTCTCTTAAAGTGTTTCATAACATCACAAACTGTGTATTGCTTGATGGTGTTGCCACTGCGGGCGACCGGACCCACCGGACCGGCCCGAAGCCCGCGAGACGGGACGGACGCGCGCCGACAGAGCAATAATGGAGCAACTGCCAAGTTCTCTATGGTATCAGTTTGTGCCTATTATGACAAAGTTTTTGAGCAGCTCATGGAACTGTATTTAAGTCAGACATGTTGTGCAATGCTCTCAGAAGCAGGCCCCTTGAAAAAAAATGTTTTCTGATTGAGTGAGGTTTGCTGTGACCTGTTATATCTTTGGGTGGTGGAGTTAACATGAGTCTATAATGTCTTGTCCAGGGTGCCCAGATTCAAGCAATACAGAATCTTATCTTATCCCTAGATTCCTATTTCAGATCAACAATTTCCTGATATAACTACATTGTCTTCGACTTTGACCATAAAATTTTTTCCCTGTAGTAATATGTTTTTTAAAACATTTCCTTTTATTTTAAGTATCTTGTTGCACATGTCAATTTGAGTGTAGTTTATGGGATATAATTTTAAGTTTATGTTCTGTATTTAAGTTAGGCAGACTGGCTACTATAATGAACTATCTATTTGTTTTTCTCGTACTTTGTGTACGTCTGTGTGTATTTGTGTGCATAATATGTAATTTTTATGAATGGTTGTTTGTAAAACGTGTATATATGTTCTTTATTGTATGTACCCGTAAGTAACTCCATGATTTTTGGCCCTCTTAAATTTATAAATAATTGTGATGAAAGGCTTTGCACATCTAAATCTGCCCAATGTTACTTAAAAACCAAATTAAATCCCCATTGTGAAGAGACATTTGGTTACCTTTCTTTGTTGTTGTGCATTGCATTTATAAGACATTTTTCAGATAGGGTTTTCTCAGGATTTCCACCTTTCTGTTAACAGATTGTCAGTTGTTAATTTTGATGGTACTTCTATAAGAGGCGTTTCCTACATTAGTCATGGAATTGTTTTGAATTGCTTTTTGTTGTGTGTACTCATAAAATTCAAGATGTGGTGCTTATGATCCTGTATTTTATTGATTCATAACTTCCACATCCTCTTATTTAAAATTTTCTGAGTCTGTCTTTTGTTTGTGGAAGCCATATCTTTTTTTGTGTGCCCACTATCTGTCAAATATGTACTAAAATATTGTTATACTTTACCGATTCATTGGGATTGGGTTTTCTTTTTGTGTAGGTAACTGTTCTCTGAAGCAAAATTGGTTGCTGTTGTTGGTTTTTAAAATTTAATATTGAGCTTCTGATGTCCAGGCAACCACTGCAAGTGTTAATTGTACTGGTAAAGCTTCTAATTGAATGGCTTTTGTGTATCATGTTAGTGGTGTTTCAGTACTTCACAAAACTCTTAACATAAGGAACCTCAACATTGTTCTTTGTATGTGTGTCTTACACATATATTTATGATATACAATTTATTATGAATATTTTTATGGAATGTATTATTGTTAGAAATTTTTCCATGTTGAGCATTTTTGATAGGATAAAAGTTACACAGATTGTTGTAATATTCCTCTAAGGATTGTGGATTAAATGCTTTTATTATAAGGTATTTTCATTTAAATCTGTTCCTATTGCCTCAGAAATACTGAAGTGTGCACAGAAACGAGTATACCCTCAATTTTGAGGAATGTGACTACAAGTGGTGAGATTCTGAACACAGGGGATAGGGAAGAGAGTTGTCAGCAAACTGCACTTCAGAGTTCTGTACTATATAATCATTGTACACGCTCACACACGACTACACGGTCCTTTCGGCTTTGCATCTCTTTACTTCACTTCTCCCGCTTTCTGCTGCCGTCTGCTACTGCAGTAGAGCAGACGACGACAGAAGCGTGCGAATATACGCCAGTTGACCAACCACCAGAGTACATCAAGCTTTTTGTTAACGCTCTAGGGAGTTCTTCAGTGAAAGTCCGTCCTCTTCTTTCAGGATAAGAATCCTCTCTATTTCAATACTTCAGGAAATTCTTAAGTATTGTGTGTGCCTGTTGAGCGCTCGCTTGAGTGAGCGTAGATGTGTTTCATATATTCTACGTTGGCAACAGCCTAACCGAAAATATACAAAGTGAACGGCTGGAATGATATTTCCTGTAGGATTTCTTGATAATCGCGAATCTAAATTAAGAAGAAGTTACATTTAATCAGATTTTAACCATGGTACAGTATCAGATATTTTTCATATCATCTTTCTTACCTGTAGTTATTATTTCACTGATACATATGTGTGCCACTTGTTTGTGTCAAAGTTCTGTTCAACAAGTTCATATAAATTACTTCCTTTCTATTTGCATTAAACAACAAAGCTCAGCATCGTGTGACTGATTTGTTTTAGATCTCATTTAACCATTAGAAACTCATTTTACATATCACAGTCTGTTACAAGGAACGTTATGAGTTGCAAGTCACTCATCTGCACTGTTTTGTTTTGCTTTTAGAGTCGACGAAAACCTATAAGTCCACGTGAGAATCTTCCATCTCTGTCAAGGGAGTCAAGAAAACCAGATGAATCAGAGGAATCATCGGAAGATGAAGTTGCGCCAGAGAAGTCTCCTCATCAACAAAATGGGGCTGGCTATTGGGGTTGGGTCATTTTAGTAGCAGTTGTACTTGGGCTCGTTTTGTTTCAATTTACCTCTGAACGTAAACCCGATTTTGAGGAAATAGAAAATGAATTAAAAAAAGTGTTAAGCAATGTAAAAAGAAAGTTTCCAACTCAAGAAAAACAGTTGTGGCCATACTTATTATCAGTTCTAGCAGGAGTTTGTAGTAGCGATATTTCATGCCCCAAGGTAATTCTTCTCATAGATCGAGATGATGGTCGGACAAGTCAGTGTTTTGTGAGAATGGTAAGTGACTTTTAAAATGAGTATAATTGATTTAGTTAATGAAGGAGTTACTGGTTGTTTTAAGTTTGCACTAAATGTTCTTTATTTTCCTCAGGTGGCCAACCAATCTGCACCTGTATTGCCGTTTGAGGAAAAAAGAGCTCTGTTCCTGAATGGTGATGACCTGAATTGTGATAATTGTGTAGAGGTGCACAGAGAGAAAGCTAAGAAACATGGGATTGTAGTAATTCAGCATCTTGAAAATTTTCCAATTAAATCTGCTGATTCCCTCCACTTTTTTTGTGATGAGCATGAGACTGAATTTGCCAAGGCTGCTTATCTTCTCACAATGACTGTAAGGAACATAGAAAAAGATGCGACCAAAACTGCAGAGAATGCTTTGCGGGCTTCATGGAAGTCCATGCAAAAAGACAATCTTGATGCATTAATTTCTAGACTAACATCTCTTGTTGTATTTGTGCAGCCTGAGACAACTTTGAACTGTGATTAATTGCAAATTCAGTATTATTTTCTTTGGTCTATTATTGGTAATTTTCTAATAAAGGTGACAGAAAACATGGATACTTTCTTTCTTTTGAGTACATAGATTACCAACCTCTCAAGTATGAACGCTTTGTTTATTAAAGCATTTTTCTTTTACAGTAGTTATCATAAGCTCTGTAAAACTTTCTAGTTTCTGAAAGGAGGGCAGAAGAATATAAGTGTGAAACCAAGATTTGCTTTGTGTAAAATTTTGCTGTAACAACAAAATCCTTTCAAAATATATTTTCATCATGGTCATAAAGTAAGTTCACTAGGGATGACTGCATCTCTGATTTCAATTAATAGGCCAAAACACACCAAACCATTGATCACAATGGCAAATTATGGAAAATGAGAGTGTTTTCTTCACATTGGAGTATGGCCTGGCCTGAAACTGCTGGTTTAAGTCCTTTGAAATACAGTAGTATATTAGATCTCAACAAAAAAAAATTTTTCATTAATACAGAATGCAATGTGCGTGCACTTCCGCTAATAATGCATAAACTTTTAACTACCATGACAGGGCTGCAGTCAAAACTGTTAAAAGATATTAATAATAATATAACTGTCAGAGGTGAAGCTGTGACTAGGATTGTTATTTATTATCTATGTGCTAATTGTAGAATGCTTTGTCACAAGGTCAATATTTTTGGCTTACAGATACATTACAAAGCAATATTTTTTCTTCAAAACACAAGGATATCCTATCAAAGTACATGGTTATGGTACAATAAGATATGATAACGTTGTTACCAATACTTGCTCAAGGGGCTCTTGCATGTGAAACAGCAAAATACCACTAGAGTACATTTCTTTCTGGGGAAGCATCCCAAGCAAGACAACAACAGTTTAGATCTTAATGCTAGTGTGCTAATAATGGCTCTGAAGGCTACACAGTTAAGAACTATACACAAAAATCATTTTAAAAAAGTAGTCGTTCAAGGGGGAGGGGGGAGAACCAATGGGGTAATCAGTGAGTCATGTTTCATGTCACAGTCCTAGTTTGCCAGATTTAATAAGCAGCACAAAAAAAGACAAGAGTACTTAGAAAGTATTATCCAAATGTGCCATATCTACTTTTGCAAAATCCCAATTCAAGAAAGTATTTACAGGTGTGCCTTTTCAGCTAATTACAATTTTTCTATAATGTTGCCAGCCTCTTCCCAGTGAAGCACTTGAGGAACAAAACTTTTAATCAAAGCTATTATCCAGCTGCTTGAGAGCCATATCACAGATTTCATAATTATTAAGATCTACAGCAAAATGAGGCAGACACTTGTCTGCCTAAGGATATCCACAATTAAAAAAAGATCTAGGCAGGAAATGAAAAGTTAATAATGTACATTTATGCATAAATGTGTACAGATCTTGCTCAGTTTGCTGCTTACAGTGTAATCATAAGTCTCACATACAAATGATAAAGTATTAAAGTTAGAAAACATTGCACCTATTTCAAACACGCACCACAACAAAATGTGGGCCTCTTTCATTAAAGTTCACCGTAAACCACTTATCATTCTGAGGCACAGTGTAACAGGGTCAACAGTCATCGTGGCAATACTTCCAGTCAAATCTTGGTGAAGCACGCAGTGAGTACAAAAAAATAAATGACCTTTGGATTAGATACAAGAATTCAGAAAGATCATATTAGAGGAAAACCCATATAAAAGAAAAAAAAAACAATCAAACAAGTAGTCAATCAAATATAATGATCCTTCAACTTACCTTGAGGTTGACAACTCCAAATAAAATACAAACATTACCAGTACTACCAGTCCTCTCACAAAAGTTTACACACCGAAACAGTCTCGATTGTCACGATGTGCCAAATTTTTATTTATATATGTGAAGGCAAAAATGATTTCTGAACATTTCTCCTTTATAAATAACTACATATTTGTCAGGTACCAAAATTTCGTTTGATTGCACTTGATTCGGGATTCAAGATAAGTAACCTTGATGCTGGTGTTACTTAACTTTAGGGATACTACTGTCATAAAAGAATACATGTTATGCTAAATTTTCATTCTGACAGACGCCTGAACTCTGAAAAAGTGACTCTCTCACATTTTATAAATGCAACTTTTCACAAAAATACATTCAACACATCTCAAAAACCATAAAAGAGGGAGCAAAACGGGGTTTCCTTCCTAAAAATTTAACTCCTCTGACATTAAAACTAGATTTCCCTCACTTCAAAACAAGTTATCATGAAAAAGCAAAATGCAAAGAAATGGCACCACAGACAAAATATTTTCAAAAGGTGACGACTCTGTTGTGGGCACCACTGCATTCATAATTAATAGGAGTCCATAAAAAAATTAGTTTCATGTTTATGGTGGGTTTTTTTACCGTTTTATGAGCTATTGTTCTAAATGAACACATCTGGCTTTTATTACTGAAAATATAAAGTAATAGGTAATCAAAGAATTTTTTTCTTTACCCAACAACCGTTGATAAAAAGGACTGCTTCCTCTGAAATGTGTTTGTATCTTTCCAAAAACTTGCAAATCAATTCAGAACCATCAGTGAATGTTATACCCTTGCTCATGAAAAGCTTGTCATGTAGGCAGCTGTATTGGCCACAGGTACAGAATTGTTTTGAAAAAGAAACAGTGTCAGGAGGGAATAGTAGTTCTGATTATGCAGAGGACTATCACTTGGCACAAGGTAATCACAACTAAGCAGTTAATACTGTGAAAAGTAAAGCGTCAGAATGTCATTTACTGTCCGTCAAAGTCTTATACATGGAAATTAGTCACAACAATATGACCTTAAGAATACAAAAACAACAAGTTAATAATTTCAAAACAGGATTTGTGTGAAAAGGGAGGAGACAAAATAAGAGACCACACTACCTCAAATAGGGTGTCTAGGTCAATTTTTTTTCATCAACTGGATAGTATTGCAAAGGAATATAAGCACTTTACTCTCATTAAAACATACCATAGAACCAACATTAATGGAGAAGAGAGCATAATAAGTGTTATGATAAAATATTACTGGTTCCATGGACTTTAAAGGACTTTATCACAATACACCCAGTTTCACTTTTAGAAATGATGACAATTGCTACTTTGTATCTGGACACCCTGTCAAAATACATATTAAGTTACTAGAAGTATATTACTATAACCCTTGTTGTGACATCACTGCAAAACACATTAAACGCAAGAAAAATGTTTCACACTCCAAATCTTTGAACTTTAGATAAATCTACTGTGCCTTCATTTGTATTAGAAAGACAGTTGGTATTAAATCTAAAATGCAGAAAACAGCAACATATCATACTCTACTTCAACCAATGTCCACACAGGATGGCAGAGTGGCAAACGGAATTAGAATCTGAACTTCCCAAAAACAACATGTAAATTAAAAATTTGATTTCAACCATTTCTACAGAAGTGAACAAAATTCACAAAAGCAGATGGCAAAATTTGATGTACTGTAAAACAACTTTGCTATATAACAATTAAATTAGTTTTGCATTGGATGAGAAGAAATAGACTCAGCATTCAAAGTTCAAAACTGAAAACCTCCCATTGGGACACTCTGGTCTGTGAACTGGTACTGGCCTCCTTCTGCATCCACAGAAGGTGCAACACGGGCATCTTCTTCTTCTGAACCAAAGAACTCTTCTATAATGTGGAAAGCCTTCTGGTAGATTTCTGAGTTCTCATGGGACTGCAAGAACTCTATTTTGTCCAGCCCTATTCAAACCATAAAAAAGTGGGATCAGGGTATGAGCAAAATTAGTATACATAAAGTAAACAATGTCATTAGACAAATTGTAAGCTATACCATAGCACTCCTCGATTGAAACAGCCATCAAGTTAACACCTCCAACCCCAGCAGCTCTGGCATCTTGTTCACCTATTCTCAGCAAATTCTCTAGTCCATTCAGGGCAACTTGCACAACCTTGGCATCCATGACCGTCAGTAGCTCACATAGTGGGGGAATGCAGCCCTGAAATATATTACAAGAGTGAATGCCATAAATAAGATAAAAGGTGACAAATCTCAGAATGAAGATGATCTTCCTTTTTTCTGGACTTACCTGACTTACAAGATACCGAACTTGCTCAGGACTACCCCCTGAAGTTGAATTTGTCACTACCCAAGCTGCTTCCTTGCGTGTCTTAAAATCTGCTTTCCCAAGAATGTCAATAATGGCAGGGAAGATGTTTGCATCAATGACAGCCTGAGAAAAAGAAAGGACCATCACAGCTCTGGAAAAGTTCTGGTCATGACCTCTACCATGTTTGCAGGTGTTACAACAAAACATGTACCTGGATTTGATGTCTATTTCCTGCAGTTATGTTTGATATTGTCCAACATGCTTCTTTCCTTACTGCCTCTTTGTTTGACCCTAGCAGGTTCAGAAGACAAGGCAAAGCGGAACAATTGAGAATGACTTGAGTCTGAACATCATCTCCAGTCACAATATTGCCCACAGCTCGCAGAGCAGCTGAAATTACATTATCTTGATTGTGCCTGGAAAATAGACAAAGTTAGAAAGGAGAATCTATCAAATGAGAATATTGTGGGATGGAATTAGAAATACTCACATGAGCAGCTCTACAAGCCTACGACAAACGCCAGATTCAATTACAGCCTGAATTTTGTCATTGGGGCCATCTGACAGGTAAGATAACGCCCAGCAAGCATCAGCCAGCACATCAGGGTCCTCTTTGAATAGGAGATGTGATAGAACCGGAAGGCATGGGGCTACTTTCTTAAAGTCTGGAGGAGGGTTTTTGCCACGACACAAATTTGACAGAGCCCAAACTGCATTTCGCAACATGGTTGTCTTGGTTGACTTAGTAAGAAGTCTAAGAAAAAAAAGGTCACAATTATTGCACACTTACATTAAGTGTTAAAGAAACTTCAGGAAGAAAAGGGACAAAAGGGCCCGTGACAAGACAGAGTATTAGAGCCAACAATTTTGATGATTAAAATACTTACTGTAAAAGAGGAACAAGGACTCCACAGTTAAGAACATAATCACGACAATCGGGCGAGTCTCCTGCAATGTTGCCAAGAGCCCAAACAGCCTGCTCCTGAACATCTTCACTAGCAGAACTAAGAAGATGAATAAATATTGGAACAGCTCCAGCATCAATTACCATTCTAGTCTGAACTGAAGTTCCTGAGGCAATGTTGGTCAAGGCCCAGGCTGCTTCAAACTGTGGGTGGGATGCACAAATTAAAATTAGCAAGTTCCCTAGTGTACACTGTTGAAAATTCATAAAAAAACAAAACTTGAAAACTTATATGCCGGTCCCCAAATATATCATACCTGTAAAGTTAGGTTGCCAACACTTTGTAAAAATGTAACAAAGCGAGGAAGAATTCCAGTTTGGATAACCTCATCAATTGGCGGGTTAGGTTCACGTGAGAGAAGCTTGCGGAATTTCTGAGTAGCAGAGAGCTGAAGTTCTACATTTTCACTATATAGAGCTTCAATCATATCTTTCGATATTTTGTTAAGAGATGCAGAATCATCCTGCGAAAAAATGATTGAAAAATAAAAACAAGGGATAAAAAGTTAAGAAAAGGCTAAATAATATGACACATAGCAAATGTAGGAAAATAAATAAATAAATCAAACAAGCACAAATCTGACAACATACTTGTTTTGGCCTATCATCGTCAGGCAACTCTGGCAAGTTAACATTTCTGCGCTTGAAAAGCTGTTCTTCCCTTTTCTGTTTACGGAGTTGAACTCCTTCCTCTTCACGTCTTCTTCGTAACTCTCGTGAGTCTAGTCCAGAATTCTTGTAACGATGTTTGTGTGAAGGCCCCGACATCTGCAACAAACAATACGACAACACATTCTCGTTTTACCATCTAACTATCGTCTTGAAATATAGCTAAGAAATAGAAGATTTCATTGAAAGAAAAGTGAAATGTTAATTTTTGGATTTCAGAAAAACTGCAGAAAAAATAATTTGAGAAACAAAAAAAATGTAAAAATTGTGTCTTAAAATCCATTGACGACATAAAAAATATAACATGTGAAAACATGAAATTCACTCCATGTAAACCATGTTTGCCCTTGACAACAGCTGAGAAAATGGAATCATTCTCAAGACCAAAAAAGAAATGAAATACTGTACAAAAGAGGGACACGTACACTGAAGCTCTGAATGAGCTTGTACTCATTTCAGTAAGCCTGACCTTTGTTTTATTTGGTCTTAAAATAGGGGTGACAATCAAAATGTGAGGTTAATGTACTGATGTCTTTGAAACTTAACAGGAATCAAGATAGATGTGTAACAATATCAAAAGGAAGACTCACATCAATTGTCTTTAACATTTATAGATAAAACATGTAGAAAGGGGCACACCGTAACAGTTTAAACCTACTGTCGTCTGAGGACAATACTCAAAGTGATGTAAGACTGAACAGCTGCGCGAGGCACCTATTCCGAATATTAGAGCGAAATAAAAGGTGTGTGGGGATGAATACATTACCTTTAATGCCTTGTGTCCCAATGCACCAAAAGATCCGTCATAAAACGCCCAACTTGGTATTTATTTCTGGAAGTTAATCACGCCAAGGTTTGCGCACCATCGACTGATGGAACTTTCGGGGGAATCATGGGGCATTTCCGCCTTCCCTAAATCGGTGCCGTGGAAAGGTCAAAACCAGTCAAAACATACAAACAAGAACCAAAAGAGTCTGCTTGTCCCACCTGGCGAGCAGCTTCGGAGCACTAAATATAATACGTTTCTATCTTCACCTTTTCGAAACGGCAAGATTTTTGTTTGGGAAACACTTATTGGTATGGTTTCTGTGTTTTGCGTGACTGTACTAAAACGTAAGATGAAAGTTCGGCTGATATTTTGCTGTTTTAATTAATTGGCTGGGGTCAAGTATGAGAGTACACTCATTCATGTCACTTTTCATGAAAATTTGCATACGGTCCTTTTATTGTTTAGCTCAATCAACCAGGAAAGGAGGAAAACAGGCACAGGAAGGTGTGTACCTGAAAATAATTTGAGCTAGTGCTGCGAATAACCAGTTTGAAGTCCATCCGTCCCAGCAGCCGCAGCCGGGTGGGTGTCCAAAGTGTTAAGTTTCTTTTTTGGATATTTAAGTAAATCGCCGGCTTCCAAATGGATCTTACCCAGCGCGTCGAATGCGCAGATTTTCAGCTTTTTCAGGTAGGTTCATTTTCCGTGTATGTTACTGTCTTGTTTCAAATTTAGTGCCATCTTTTACTAGGAAAACATTGAGGGTAGGTTATAAATGTTCCTTCCTTTTGTTTTCACCCTGCTTTCGACTTTTCAGGCAAATCTCAAAGTAATGCGTGATATTGATGACAAAATCATCAATACTCTGAATTCTAAGCTGCCTACAAACTTTTCAAGGAATGATGTGAATCCATCAACAACATGTAAAGAGTTATTCACAGAGGTGAGTATGTGCTTGCTTTTGGTCATAACATAAGAGCAATGCTTGTGCCATACAGTAAGATATTATTGTTTTTTCCCCCTCCAGTTGTCATCAACTTATGCACACAGAGAAAAGGTCATCAAGGGCTGTATAACTCTATCAGCCAATCGCATTAAATTACTTGCTGGTGAAAAGGACGCAGACCCCGACAATGCATCTATTTTGAAAGATTTGCGGAAAGAGCAAACTAAGGTGTGGAATTTTCTACTGGGCAATCAATGCTTCGTGATTTGTAGATCCTTACACTGCTTTGTTGTTACAGCTAAGGATGCTGCAGTCGGAACTTGGAGTAGAAGAAGTTGTGAAGGAGAGATCCTTGAAAGTATTTCAAGAAAGGTGTAGAGCATATTATAAGCCATGATTGATCATAAATATTGTTAGAACTGTTCAATTTAGAAATTTGTCATATTTTTCAACATTTTAAGAATAGAGATTTCTCACCCTATCCCCCATATATTAACTCAGCTATTTATCCTATTCCTTAAAGATCTTACTGACGGGTAGAATGGTTCCCCCCAAAAAAATTCTTATTCAATTATATCAGATACTTAGCATGTAGCATAAAACTATCTGAAATCAATTTTTTTTTTTAAACGTTACCTTCTGGCAGCAAGTAGAAATGAGTCAAATTAACATCAGCCATTGTGTGTCATGGATACGTGGATGAGACCAAGATGCCTATTAGAGCAACTTGGGTAAAAAAAAGAAATTAAATTGTCTCCCTGGCATGGGAAAACTTAAATTTATTGACAAAATATTGCCCCCCTACAATCTGCGACCACGTCGACCACCCTTCCTCCTGGTAGAGTCTGATGGGATGGGAGTAACATCCTCGATACGGCCAATCTTCATGGAAGAACGGGCCAAAGCACGCAGAGCAGACTGGGCACCGGGTCCAGGAGTCTTGGTCTTGTTGCCACCAGTTGCACGCAGCTTGATGTGGAGAGCAGTGATGCCAAGAGCCTTGCACTTCTCGGCAACATCCTACAGAGAAACATACATTAGAGATTAGAAACTTCAGGAATACAGCAATACAGAATCTTAGGGTAGTAGCAAAATTTTCATTATGATACAGGTCATAGAAGATACAATCAAGAACGGTAACATCTCCATCTTCCCAGAAAGAACATTGTTACATACCTGGGCAGCCAACATAGCAGCATAGGGTGAAGCTTCGTCACGATCAGCCTTGACCTTCATGCCACCAGTAACACGGGCAATGGTTTCCCTGGAATCAAAAGGCTAGAGTAAGACAAGACTGGCAGTGTCATTACGGTCATGCAAGATATCAAACCGAAGATGAGGAAAATTTGGGTACAACATCCCAATGTCAAGAAAAATCACTTAATCAAACGCATTGATTGATGTCAGGCACAACGAACCAACACTAAGTAGTGCCGCTTATAGTTAACAACAACAGTAACCCTGACGATTCGGAAAAAAAGAAGCAAAACAAAACAGGGGGGCCACAGGAACCGGCAGGTAGCGAGAAGTAAGGTTATGAACCAACTGTCTCCACAGGAGATCGGTGATCAAAATAAAGCCACTAGATCCAACTTCGAACTGGTTGACAGGAAAGAAAATAACGTAATTTTCACAGACTTACCGTCCAGACAGATCCGTAACATGGACGAATGTGTCGTTGAAACTGGCGTAGATGTGCGCCACACCGAAAACAATTTCACCTTCCCTCACTTGAGGTCCCAGGTGAACCTGCACCTGCTCTTGCTGAACCTTCCCCTTTCGTGGTGCCATTGTAAGTGCTGCGAACAGTTACAACCCAAATTAGACACTTTGCGACAGAAACAAAGAGGCCCTTACGTGCACGTAACCTAGGTTCATGACGTGCCCACAAAAATGGACATGCACGGCGTCCACAACAGTGGTACGTATATCGTCTCCCATCCGCAAGACACAACCAAAATAATAACCGAAACTTGACAGGGATGACGGCAAAATAGAGTAGGAACCAACCGACGGGCACAACGGCAGATACTTCAAATAAATTAAGGAATACAATAATTGTTACGAACCTTTACGTGCTACACTCTGGGCCACCGGAAACCCTGAAGAAATGCTGTGCCCCCTCGAAACGGTGATTTCCGGTTTTTGCAACGAGGTATCGAATTAGAATCGATTCCTTTTTTTCTAGTTTCTTTTTGTTTTTAAATATTAAAAACATGCTTTACGCTTTCATATTAAAAATGAAAAATTATAAATTGTTTATCTATTTGGTTGGGCTGAAGATGGAGGGTTCCTCGTTGTGTTGTCTCGTTTTTTTCCGAGCGTCGTCTGCTAACAGCCCTCCCCTCCCTCTCTTCTCCCCTCCTGTCATAACATAAACAAACAGAACAGAACGAAACGTTAGGTTAGTTTTGTGCCTCTTCAGTTTAATAGTTGGAGATCAAAGATGGGGAAAATACGATATTTTTGTGAATACTGTGACCGATCGTTTCTGGATGATCTAGCAGCAAGGAAAAAACACCTGACTGGAACTCAACATGCTCGTATGAAGAAGCAATACTATTTGCCTTATAGAAGTGAGTTTCATGGCTTTATTCTGAGCTTATAAAACATTTGCATCTAATCTTACATCGCGGAAGAACATTGTTTTTGGACCCAAAAGCTAATTCATGTTTCTTTCTTGGGTAGGTGCAAAGGAAATCTATGAAGATGAGGTGGGCAAGGAGCCTTGCAGGAAACACCTTATGCAGAACATGTGTCCTTTCGAAGACAGCTGCAAATATTCTCACTATACCCCAACTGATTTAGAAAGGCTTCGTCAACATGGTAAATTTTTACTATGCCAATTCTCATGTTTCCTCTCATTAAAATGTTGATGATGTTTAAAGATTGTTGTTCGTTGCAGCGCAAGAAGATGCCAAGTCAATCAAATCGGAGGCTGTGAATGAAGCATTGAAAAACCTCCCTGACACAGCTAAGGTTAATGACTGGCTGTCAACCTGGAAAACTAAGCAGGCAGCTGAAGCATTAAAGCCTGCGAAACCGGCTGTTCAGGCAGTCTCGAAAGCATGGTCCACCAACGTGCCACCGCAGCTAAGGGAGTGGCGTGACCTTCCCCCTTCCCTACAGCCATGGAACTCATTCAATCTTCAAAATATTCATGTTGAAGACTGGGGATAGTGTTGAGTATTCTTCTGTTTTCAGACATTTCTGTGAATGAACTTTCTTGACTGCTTACTTGTTTTGGATTTTATTTGTGAATAAAATTTTATTTTTATTGTATGAATTGCATCATTTCCCTTCTCCTACATCATAAGTATACCTATATAGTATCTAAACGAACAGACATTTCTGGCTATAATGGTTCTTCCCCAGCCTGGACTTCACAAAGGGGATGTTGTTTACACTCGTGCCCTCTGCTTGCCACAACAGTATCTATTTTTACCCCTCGGTCCACCGATTCTCCTAGCTTTCAAATAGTGTTGTTAAAATCGAGGACAAGGGCACAAAGAACCGAGGGACGACCTTCGAAAATTGACTTAAAGTCCGCAGTGTGCAGAAAGTACAAGAGAGGGAGTGCCAGGTCGTCAACGGGCCATCTGTCAAACAAAAAAAAAAAGAGAGAAAGAAAGAAGAGGAAAACACAGCATCGTCCGCGTTTACAAATCCGCAGCCTTTGCCTCACCCTAAAATCCCTCCGCGCTGTGTTCATAAATATTGCCGTGTACTGCTTTGGTTATTTTGTTGAATGTCATTTTCGTCAGACCATCCCGACAAATTATCGCGGTGGAGCCCCACACTGGAAAGACTCGCTACAAAATAACTCATTGCGTTCCTTGATGCTTTTTCGCAGTGGGGCGAACTATTTGCTGGCTGACGCTCAGTTGAAATGCTCCACCATCCGTGTAGTCCCGATGAATGAATTTGGCTGACACTTGTTGGTTATTGCAATTCTCGGTCAATTTTATCGTAGTGTCACAAATATGTTCGGAAACTTGATTTGATGATGATTTTATTCGTCCAAAGAACAAATTGTTATTGTTTCTATGGCGTTTGTGATAGAGGAGACCTTCTTAATCCAAGTGTGTATATGAAAGGAGAAGATTCATAAGCCTAAAAGTTCAAGACGACTGAACAAATTCGTACAGTTTTCTCTTTACATGAATGTTTTTGAGTTGTAAAATGGTTGATGCCGTTCTGAGTGCCTTATCTCCTTGGTAACACAATGGAAAATAACTCCTCTGGAAGTACAGACAGGTAAGACTTGATGTGTTGGCTCCAAGCCGTGCATCTTAGAGAAAAGCTCACCCTAAATTTGCTGTAGATTTCCCCTCTTCTAATAAGTATCGAATTTGACGCTTAATATGCTTTTGAAGTATGAAACCAATCTTCCCTATTGCCTTATCGCCCTGTTGAACAATAATTTACTCAAAGCTACTGACATACATAACCTCACCCTTTAAGGCTTGTTTACACGTTGACCCATGAGCTAGAGTTCCGAATTATTAGCAAATTAGAATTATCTTACAATCAATCACTAGGTAATACACCTGAACTTGAGATGAACTGCGTACTTTATAAAAATAGCCCTAGTAAAATACGCAGTACTTGGCATGTTAGGTTAGTTTTGAGTTCATGCTTATTGCTTTCAATTTGTAACACTTCATGTAAACGATGCATCCCTCCTCGACGTGGCTAGTTGGTCGGTCAGTTTGAGATGAAGATTTGGACAGTTCCATGCAGTAGCTCTTATTGGACTGCCTTAGAATTAGTAGTTGAAATCTATTCCCTGTTTCTCACTTTATTTTTCGGAGACCTGAAGTCAAAACAAACAAAAGGGGTCTTGAGTTTCATCAATGCGCCAGCATTGAGTTGTACTATCAGTTGCACTTAGCCTGACTTCTAAATGGCTTGATCCCCGGTGGGTTCTGGAACCACTGTTAAATCCCCATGACAAGATATGAGAAGCTATTTCTTGCAAGACCTTGAAATATCTATAATTTTTCAATTATTTTCCAGGGCTATGGAAGTGGGCTTCAACAATGGCCCTTCCTTCCGTGGTCACACTGGGCGACCAGTCTCGGCAGTTTCTGAAATGGAGGCTTCGACTATGTCTCCAATGGGAAGTACATCCCCAGTGTCGTCTCCTTCATCCATGTCATTACACCATTCCCCTCACCATCATCACTACCAACAAATTACCACAATCACTGTTAAAATGGATGATAAGGGCTATGGCATGAAGGTGTCGGGGGATAACCCAGTGTACGTTCAGTCAGTAAAAGAAGGTAAGTGTTTTCTTTGCAACATTTAACATCCATCCTTGCTTAACAAACTGCCGTTTTAACAGTTCACTTAAACTGACATTTTTAAATAGTTTTTTAAAACTAGTAGTTTATTTATTTATTCTTTAAAATTACCAGGCGGTGCAGCGGAAAGAGCTGGCCTTCATAGTGGAGACAAAATAATGAAGGTGAATGGAGTCAATGTAGCACACTCTACTCACACTGAAGTTGTGGAACTGATCAAATGTAAGTAGTAGAATCCCAAATTTTGTGTTATGTGGTGACTATTCTCTCTGATTTGGTTTATGTTTGTACATTACAGCTGCAAATCAAGTAACCCTAACTGTGCAACAGAGGCCTCACCTTACAAATCCATTATCATCTCCAACCATGAGCAGCCGCACCTTTTTCCACAGTCATTCCACCCCATCAAGGGAACGAATAACAGGGCCTCAGCCAGTTGATGTGAGTTTTTAATTTCTTCTTAGCAGCCTTTTGTGTTTTCTGCCTCTAAGATGCGTAGGATTTCATTTACCACCTCGTTCATACGTCATATTTCATCCCTAGTTGGAGAAGAAACGACAACTCCAGTGCGAAAGAGTTCATACTTTTCGGCTGATGCTTGAAAAAGAACAACGCTATGTGGAAGCTCTTCGAAGCGAATTGGCACGTTGCACTGACCCTGCAAGTGAGGCCAAATTTGTCCAAGAGCTAACAGGAGCTGAGCGCAGGGTTCGAACACTGCAAGAGAAACTCTTTAGTCAGACCACCAAAGCTCACAGCCATAATCATGGACCAAACCATGATGGGGAAGTAAGTGCTATTTGCCACCTTCACCTCACAATTATTGGCTAGAAATTATATCATGATGATTCTTAACTTTGCTGTAACCATTACAGCCTAGTGAACATTAACAAAATCCTGCTTCTTGGTTTTCTTTAACTAAAGAATCACCTGTTTTGGCAATCAAACAAACTAAGTGTTTTCTCTGTTTTATGTTTCACACCTCCATTATGTCCTCCATCTGTCTCTTCAAGCTTTTCATAACAACTTAAGCTTCTTGTCCCCATTCCTCTATGTTTTTACAAGGGACAGAGTTTTATATAGGCTCAAAGTTCATGGGATTTGTTCACTATCTTTTACCCAGATACAAGGGTACTTGAGTCACTTTCTGAATCTGTCTTATCTTATTGTTTTAAATTCAAGTTGAGAAAAGTGTGCAGTTGTTTGTTACTCCTGCTGCTGCAGAGCAGATCAAACAACTGTCACTTTGCTCTGGGTGTATACATTGTATACTATACTGTACATATACTTGGCTGAGGTGTCCCCTACGCTGTGCTTTGGGGTTTTGCAACAATGACAGCCTGGCCTAGTGGCTCTAACCTAACCGGTTGCTTTTCTTGCAGCACGCTCAAACGCTTCCCGCCCCTTCCGTCCATAGCACGGTGGCGGCGTTCTTAGATCACTGTCGGGAAGATCCTGGCCAGATTCCACCTCCCCTTCCTCAGCGGAACCGCCCCTCCGGCTCGGCGTCCGGCTCGGGCTCGAACGGAGCCCCTCCCCGGCCCTCCGTGCCCCCGCCCGCCTCGCTGGTGCCGCCCCCGACCCACACGGGGCTTCCCGGCCTCTCCTACCTCGACCCTCCCCCCCTGCCACCCCACCCGCTCCTCCACAGTCCCCACGGTCACGGTCCCCACGACCACGGAGGGGATGGACCTGGATCCAATGGCCACGTAAGTAGTGCTCTGCTTAATCCTGTCTTTAGCTCACTCAATGACGGGCAGTGTTTCTGGATAACTGTTGTGTTACGTGTTGGTTTGGTTGGCGTCAAACAAAGGGATAGGTGTGTTCAACTGTTGTCCTGTTGTTGTTGCAGCCGCAGGAAATCTTTATTACGTCTAAGACAACAAAACATGATAGGTGGGCCTCTCTTGTAGTGCCCTTTCTTCCTGATTTTATTTTGAATGTTTATGCATCTACATTGTATATGTTTGGCAGCAGGTGCATGTCAGATTTGTATTTGCCAAGTCTTAGAATTGTTTCCTTTATATATTTTTATCCTTTTCACAAGTTAAAATTTATGTTCCAGTTATTTTTTTTTCTATAGCCTGATTTTTAAGTTGGACATTGAACTAGTTAATTAATTGAGTGGTTGGGGTGAATTTCATATATAGTCTGCTTGTTTTCAAACTTTGTTTTGCTGTGTCAATTCAAAAAAAGATAATTGTGCATGCTGCCTCCATCAGTTACATCATACAAAGATAAAATATGATTATTCTCTGTTTATTTATTTAAAAAAAAAAAAAAACATTTTGGTTTTGCTTTTGCATTTTTGGTTCTGAAATTAATTTGTTTGTGATTGAATTTAAGATTAATGACAGTCATGCAAAGCAACTGCCTTTAGTCACTGGTATGTTTTGAACACATTTGCTTTGTAAACTGCTCACCAAACTCCCCCTGCACGGCACTAGATATTTGCATTATTTAATCTTAGTCACATTTCCAGTTTATCTTGGCTTCAAGCTCACATATTGTTTGTTTGTTGTTGTCCAGGGGTCACAGAGCACTGTGCAGACTCACCATCGAGCTAAGTCGAGCCCAGATCCCCTCAATAATCACTCATCCAATGCAGAAGGTGTGTATCCCTTTAATTTCAACAAAGATTTTGTCTGCCATAGATTTGCTTTGACCTCTAAAGTATATCTTACAGCTTCAAAGCGGCTAATTGTGTCAGAGTCTCTGTCAGACCTGTCCAATTCTAAGAGAAGCAAGGCAGGATGGGATCTGGACTCCCCCAGGGTAACACCGCCTGGAACTCCCCCTCCTCCCTATGGTGGTGGATCCAGCAGCATCACTCCAGGAAGTGAAAGGACAGAGTCATCTTCAGCAACTGCCGACATTACCGATGAAAGTGCCTTGCTGTTGGATGAGGTACAAAACTTGTGTTTCTATTGCAACTGAAAATTTTCCTGCCATTTTTAATTTTATAATTTTTAAAATTTTATTTTGATTATTGTAGACCCTGGATACCTCTCCTGAATGCCAGCAAAGATCCCAACAACCTATTATTTCAATGGAAGATGATGACATGTCAGATCAGGAAGTTGTGAGTGTTTTCTCTGTATGTGCAGCATTTGATAAATATTTTATTGTTGTACTCATTTAATTTTTATTAAATTAATTTTAGCTGGAAGATCATGGCCCTTTTAAGAGTCTGGCCAAATTGTGGGAACACAATGCACACTTAGCTGTATTCATGAACTATGTAATTTCTAACAGTGATCCGTCCAGCTTAGTAAGCATCTACACTTATCTCAATTGCCTTTTTCTGTTGGTATTCTTGTTGAGGCTGCACTTTTATAACTCTGTTTGTTTTCTTTTCTAGTTGTTTTACTTAGTAACAGATCTTTATAAGGAAGGCAATGCCAAAGAGATGAAAAAATGGGCATATGAAATCCATTCAAGTTTTCTTGTGCCTGGAGCAGTGAGTTACAATGTTTTTTTGGGTTTTTTTTTTTTTTCAACTTTTAATGTGTTACTGTTCAAGAGCTGTTCACTTAAAATGAAATTCCTTGCAGCCTCTGAGACTGAGTAATGTTGATGAGAATGTTGCTCGTGAAATAGATGACAACCTTGTCAAGGATACAGATAAAGAAGAGATCTTAAGAAGGGTAATTAAAGTCATTTTCTTCCTGAATGGTCATTTTGATCATTCTTGATTTTACAGTCTTCCATCTTTGTTTAAAGGTATTCTGGAAAGCCCGTGCTAAGGCAAAAGAAGAGCTAAATGAGCAGTTGGCTGATTTTCAGCAAAAACGCACTGCAGGTCTTGGAACTTTGTTTGGACCAGCTGATGCTCAGCTTGATGAGAGTATACACGACAAAGGAAAAGAGATGAAGATTGTTGAAAACATTCTCATTCCTAAAATTGAACCATATTTGTGCGTAAACTCTCAATTCAATATTTTATGTTTTATATTTGTTATTCAATGGGCCTTATTAAGTATTTTCTGTTCCAGAGATGACATTGAAAAGGAAAATGTAGATATCAGACGCTACACAACGGCAGCTGCCCTTGGGACTGTCATGGCGAAAGTATTTGGCCTTCGTGGCCCTCATTCCAGTTCACTGTTGGATCGCTGTCCCACATTTGTGTCTAAAGACAAATCTCTCAAGGCTCGACTCATTGGAAAATCTAAAAGAGTAAGTTTGTCACTGTGTTGGCAAAGCTTAGCTTTTATTTCAAGAGTGTTAATTTTATGCATGAATCTTTGTTTCAGGTCACAGTAAGGGGCCATAACTTCAATGCTCATCAATATTACTCAGTGACATTCTGCAATCACTGTCAGAACATTATCTGGGGTATTGGTCCTCAAGGATATCAGTGTTCACGTAAGTTCTTCTCTAGCCTCTTAACTGCTGTGAAAATTTTACCCAAAGAAAAAGTTAATTGTTTTTGGTTGTACCTTTTAGATTGTGGTCTTAATGTCCATCGTCCATGTGTTCGTGTGGTGGATGAGAATTGCCCTGGTCCTCTAGTGAAGAAAGAACGTGGAAATGCCAGCATTAGCAAGCTGATGGAGAGAATCAGGGAGAGAGAGACTAAAAGGAAACCCAGCTCAGTGAACCTAAGTAAGTTGAAAATGGCCAAATGCAAAATCCTCGCACTATGATCGTTATAAAGTGATCAACCCCCTCTGTTTAGAGACCTGTAATGAGAGCTGAAATGCAATGGACTGGAGATAATTGCTTCCTTAACACTGTGTAGACTACAATCTTTGTTTTTTCTCACCATTTGTTTGTAACCAAGTCACGCCTTTAAATCTGCACTCGTCTGAAGCAGAGCTCCCATTGCACTTGCTTAGCAATTAGTTTGTTTTGGTTTTATCTGTAGTCTCTTTCCCTCCCTCCTGTCTCCCCCCTCAAAAAAATAATCTTCAATAACTACCAATATTATTGTTGTATGCAAAATGAATGTTCCTTAGTTTTGATTCACAAATGATGTTTATGGAAGATAGAGCTCTGCATGGTGTCTTGTGACCCGTCTTGTTGCCTTTCTTTTGTTTGGTGAAAGCGTACCTCTCTTATTTTGTAGATTTGCTGCATGTTGCCTTGTGTCTTTAACTCTTTTCACTCTTAGATCGTTTGTGTTTATGCTTCACAGAACGGCTCCAGTCTGGACACGTCGCTCTCCTGTCCAATCCGAAAAAGAATGGCTATGCGTCTAAGAACCAATTTTTTAGCCGGGTTTCCAGTTATCGAAAATCTTTTGGTATGAGATAGAGTATTTGCCCCATGGTTTATTTTTGTCAGTATCATGGCAGCCTCTAGGCCTGCGTGGGTTAGTCTAGATTAAATTATCCGCGTTATGTTCTTCATACGAGTCATGTCACCTGTGCTATCAGGGTGAAATGATTCGTTAGTTTACCTGAATCTTCATTCTTTGATCTCGAATCCTTCACCTCTTAGCGCCCCCCACCTATCTCGTACTGTCTTGCGTGCGTGCCTGGCTGGCTGTATCAAATCAGAATCGCAGTCATGTCCTCATTGCTTGCTTTGATGTGTAGAACTCACTCCTATTCCCTTTAATCTACCATTAACTGTGCGTTGGATGCGCTCCGCGGCAATCTGAACATTGACTGTTCCTCGTTTGCAGCCAAGCGGCAGTCGGACCTCAACGATGACGGCTGCGTCGCGGTGGACGGGGACGCCGTGTCAGGTGAGTTGGCAATCTGGCGGTTCCAAGCCCCAAAGAGAAGCGCGTTGCTGGCTGGCGCCGTTCGCCTGCTGCCTGGCCTGCTGCCTGGCCCGCTCCACCGAGGCCCTGATCGCCAATCGCCGCCGTTGCGGGGCGGGGCGGGGCGGGGCGCGGCGGGGCGTGCCGTGCCGAGTCACCCCTCCGTGGCGATAAAGTACGTCGGCGACTGGCCGCCCTCGCCCCCATGGTGCCCCATGGCGTGGCTTCCTCCCGTGTGTCCATTGAGCCCTGTGCTGCAACAACAACAACAACAAGCGCCTCTTTCCTGCCCCGCCCTCGGTCCCGGTCCTCCACTGGCCCCAACCCCAAGCGTGCCTCGCCGCACCCCCGCCCCTCGCCCCTGCCGCCGACGGGGAGGGAGAGGGGAGGTTGGGGTGTGCATGACGCCGCCGTGTGCCGGTGTGATGTGGACATGGCTGGCGCCTGCCTGCCTGCCTGCCCGCCTCGTTGGTTCGGTTCAGTCTGTCGGCGCCCTTCCCCCGTGCGGCAAGGCGACTCCTGAGGCGCCACGCAGCGCCGCGCATCGCCACGCCGCCCAGCTGACTCGCCCCGATCCCCGATCGCGCCAAGACGCTAGACGCGGTGGTACGCGGTACGGCCCTGCCGGTCCCTGCCGGGGGCAGCGAAGGCACAAAGCGCGCCGACGCCGACCCCGCGGCGCCGACCCGACCCGACCCGACCCGACCCGACCCCGCGACGCCGACATGCTGACGCTCGCCGCCAGATGCCGAGGCGCGCGAGGCGCGGCGCCGAAATGGTTGTGAGCTCGTCTCGGCCGCCCCGCGCTACGCGTCCTGGCCGTCCTGGCCGTCGTGGCTCTGTCCGGCCGCCGCGTCATCGCGCGCGCCGCGCCCTGCCTGTCGCCGTGCCCGCTGCAGCCACGCTGCAGTGAAGCCGAGTGCATCGGACAGGCGACACCGAGGTGCACCGTCCGGGCGTCCAGGATATGGCGTTGAGGCGGTCCAGAGGTAACACCCAGCGGTCGCTGCGCGCTGCTGCGCGCCGCGGGGAAGGGGCCCGGGCCGCCCTGTCCTGCCAGGTTGCTGTTGCTGCTGCTGCGTGGCGGCCATAACTTGGCGGGAAACGTAAACCCCTTTTTACCACAGCTCGAGGCAGGCGATGCCGAGGCGATGCGATGTGGAGGGGCCGGGGGCAGCCGGGGGCTCGAGCCGTCCGTCAGTCTTGACCGCGCGGCCCACCGGTGCGGCTGTGCGGCTGTGCTGCTGGCGCGCGGCGTGCGGCTGCGGCGTGTCAGCGGGGCGGCGGCAGCAGCATCCGGTGCCCTTGGCCCCGTCAACCACCCCGCGATCTTGACCGCGCGGGGCGGGCCCTGCCGCGTGAGGCTCGCGAGGCCCGCCAGGCCCGTCCGGACTTGAATCGTCGGCGCTGCCGAATCGCCCTGTTCGAGGCCCTGTTCGCGTTTTGCAGGTGAGGCAGTGCGTCGAGATCCCCTCCTGCCTGTCAACGCCCGCCCCCTTTCTGCGAGGACCTTGCGCCTGTCCGAGGCCGAGGCCTAGCTCCCCGCCGTGCTCCGTGCCGCCGCCGTCCTGGAGCCTTTGCCTTTCGTACTCCGGCTGGCTGCCGCCGCTGCCCACTCCCGGCGCGCAAAGCGCGGTGTCGTGTGACGGTGTGACGGTGTCGGGTGACGGCGCTCGTCTCGCTCGTCGTGCCGTGACAAGGACCCGGTGCACCGCAAGAAACCCACGAATCGTCTTTATTTCGTCGCCCCCTTTTGCGCCTCCGTTGTGTTCCGCCTCCAGAGCGTCGCGCGGCAGATTCGTCAAGATTGGGTTGGTTGTCCGCGCCGCGCGTCGCGCGCGCCTCTCTGGCTGCCCTGCGGTTTGATGCCGTCGCTCTGTCTCGGTTGCACTCATGGAGCACTCCGTAAGGGTGTGAGAGAGATGCACGGCTCTGCTGCGACGGACTCGCGGCGTCACGTCGGCGGCGTCGCGTCGCCCTGCCTGGCGGCCGCTGGCGGCCCGGCTTACGGGAGGCGGCGCGGCGCCGAGCGCCAGTCGGCCAGTCTTTCTCGGCTAAACTGAGAGTGTGCCCCTCCCTCCCTTTCTTTGCTAGGACTGGCAGGACTGGCACCTGGCCAGACCATGTGTGCCTCCCCCACCCCACCCTCCGGCCCGGCCCCCACAAATGTCTTAAAATCCAAATACCTCCCCGCTGGCGTGGCGCTTGGAGTCTAGGGCACTCCACCCTGTGCGCCAGCGAGCGCCAGCGAGGCGGGCGTTTGTTTCAAGGCGCCCCTGCCCCTCCCACGCAGAGCGGCGGAGTCCGCGTGCTCACGGCCAGGCCGCGCGCTACGCGTCCGCCAGCCCGTCTGTCTGTCTGTCTGTCTGTCTGTCCGGCTGTCTGACTGTCCGGCTGTTCTTCATCATCCCCCATGTTGTAAATTTCAAACCCTCCCCTCCCTCTAAAAAAAATTAATTTGAAAAGTTACCTGCCTGTCTGCTGGCCCGTCCGTGTGCGTGTTTGATTTGGTTCGGGCTGTGCGTCGGTGCACCCCTTTCGGGTGTGTCACCCCCGTCCCTGCCGCGTGCCCATGGCGTGCCTATGGCGTGCGCGTGAGCGGCGTGAGCCGACCGCCCTGGCGCGCCCTGGCGCGGCGTGGCGCGACGGTGTGTTGACATGCTGTCTCGTCATCGTCCCACCGTCCCGACGTTTCGATGCATTCGATGAAAATCAATTTGCCGGCCCGGGCCGTGTCGGTGGAGTCGACTGGGGGCGGGGCGCGCCGGGGCGCGGCGGGGGCGGACGGAGTGGCCAAGTCGGCGCCACCCTCGGCGCCACGCCCCTCCCCTCCCCTCCCCTGTCACGAATTTTTGTGCAGCGTGGATGCATCTCTGGGGACCTGGCGATGCAGCCGCGGTGCGTCCGCAGTGCGTCCGCCGCGTCCTCGGCGACGCGTGGATGGTTGGATGCCGTGTCGCGTCGAGGGGCCGATAGGTCCAAAAGAGGGGCTTTTCCATCGGAAGTAAACTGGACGCAAAGTGGACACGGGCAGCGACGTGGCTGGGGCGAGCCTACCTGTCTTCCACCCTGGGAAGCCGTGTGAAGTTGTGAAATTTATTTTGAGTAGTGTGTGGCGTCCGAGTCGAGGGCGCCCGTTGGGCCCGTTGGGGCGCGGCGTGGTTGAAGCTGTCCACCCCCACAAGGGCACCTGGAAGGCTGGGAGCCCCTGCCTCGCCGCCCCACTGCCCTGCCGGCCCTGCCGGCCCTGCCCGCACAGTGGGCCAGAAGACCGGTGGAGCGGCCAAAATTCGAGACGCGTTTTGAGCTCCAGAGTCGCTAAATGGGACTTGAACCGACCGTGTGACCCCACCAATGGATTCCTCGTTCGGAGAGCAATCCATTGGTGGGGTCACACGTTCGGTTCAAGTCCCATTTAGCGACTCTGGAGCTCAAAACGAGTGTCGAATTTTGGCCGCTCCACCGGTCTTCTGGCCCACTGTGGCCCGCCCTGCCCGCAGGCCGCCCTTCCCAATGGGGTGCCTTCTGGTACCCGGCGCTGCGACCTCGGGGCCCCGCCGCCCCGCTGGGCAGGCGAGGCAGCAGACTGACTCCCAGTCGTTTTCGTCGCTCTGTCTCTCTCGCGCTCCTGCCGCGTCCCTTATGAGCGCAAGGGAGACAGCGCGGCGCGAACGACTCTCGGAATGAGCCTGCAGCCCCGCCCGGCCCCGCCGCGACGGGACGCGATGCGACTCGGAGTCAACCGTCGCCACCCCTCGCTGCCCTCCTGGCTGCCGCTGCATTTGCAACCCTCCCCTCGTCATTCCTGAGCACTCCCCCGCCACGCCCTTCCTCCGAGTATCGGTTTGGTTTGGCCGGCAGGGCAGGCAGGGCAGGCAGGGCGGCCCTGCCAGGGACCCGCCACCCCTAGCCGGGCTTGCCTCGGGCCTGGCTGGGGTGGGCGCCGCGCCCGCCTCGCACCCACACCACGCGGCGGCGGCTCGCACGCACCCTCGCACTGGCGCGTGCCAGCGGTCCTTCCCGCCGACCTCCCCCGCCGACCTCCCCCGCCGACCTCCCCCGCCGACCTCCCCCGCCGACCTCCCCCGCCGACCCCCCCGCCGACTCCCCCGCCGACCTCCCGCCGGACCTCCCCGCCGACCTCCCCGCCCACTCCCCGCCGACCTCCCCGCGACCTCCCGCCGACCTCCCCCGACCTCCCCGCGACCTCCCCGCCGACCTCCCCCGCCGACCTCCCCCGCCGACCGCGGATGGCCATCGGGACAGTGGGCAAGGACGTGATGCATGACTACCCGGGTTCAAGCACTCACTGCCGGGTTTTATTTTTCTGGTGGTGGGAGTGCTATGCGTCCACTGCGTCGCCGGTGCGTGGGCGGCCGCGGGGGTTGGTGTGGGATGCACGCCGTGCACGCCGCGCGCGCCGCGCTCGCCCACCAAGGCAGTCGGCGGCAAGGTGCGGTGCGGCAGGGCGCGGTGCGAGTGAGTCATGCGCGAAAAATGCTAGTATATATACGCGCCGCCACTGCCGCCGCTGACGCCGCGCCGCCCGCCGCCGCGTACGTGTGCGTAAACTCCGCCGAGGCTCTGGCTTTCGCGGTTTTCCCCTCTTTGTGCGCCGGCGGCCACGCGAGGACGGGCCTGCAGAGAGCGACCCTGCAGAGCTGCTCTGTCTCTCTCGCTCCGACGCCGGACGCCCCCGCGAGTGCGAGAGAGACAGAATCGCTGTGCTGCAGCGCGCGGGTCTGGCCCGACCCCCCGGCCCGGGGCGCCGCCGCGGCGGTTGACATTACGGTGTGCTTGCCGCCGTCACCGCCGCACCGCCGCCGGCACCGGGGCGCCGCGAAGCCTGAAGCCTGCAGCCCGCGCTCGGAAATAGCTCGTCGTGACAGCCGCGATGTCTGACTTCATGCCGGCGTGCCCCACTGCAAGGAAGGAAGCGCCGAGCGGGGCAAGCGGCCCCGCGCACTTCCGTCTGCTTCCGACGACGCGCAGCGCTCAGCGCGCCCCGCGGGGGGACCGCCTTGGCCAGCCTTGGCGACGACGGTCTGCGTGGAACTGCAGGCAGCGATTGGCGCGCGGCTGCACAGTGGGCCAGAAGACCGGTGGAGGCGGCCAAAACTCTAGACGCGTTTTGAGCTCCAGAGTCGCTGAGCAGGACTCGAACCGAACGTATGACCCCACCAATGGATTCCTCGTTCGGAGAGCAATCCATTGCTGGGGTCACACGTTCGGTTCGAGTCCCACTTAGCGACTCTGCAGCTCAAAACGCGTCTAGAGTTTTGGCCGCCTCCACCGGCTTCTGGCCCACTGTGCTCTGGGCGCGGCTGCAGCAGCCTGCGAGGCGGGCCGTCCCGCCGGACGCGGGTGCGGCCGCGTTGCCTACCTGCCGGGCGCGCTCCGCCACGTTCCGAGGCTCCGCCACGGCTCCGCGCTCCTCCGTGCAGCAGTGCAGCAGCCCCACGGCCCTCACGTGGTGGCCGGGCGGCGGGCGCGGCGGTGCTGCGGGAAATACCACCCGCTAAAGGTCACGGGATGCATGGCCACGGCGTGGCGGCGTGGCGGCAACAGTCCTCCCCCACCCCTTTCGCCCCCAGCCCGGAGCTCCGCGGAGCGAGGGTGGCTCCTCCCGACGGCGGCCACGCCGAGTGGAGTGGCCCTTGGTAATGTCGGTAATGTAGATTGGGCAGGGTAATTGGCTTTTGCCTCCCTGCGACACTCGGTGTGGATGGAATGTCGCGGCGGTACGGCCCCGTCGGCCGCCGCGCTCGGCCGCTCGGCTCGGCTCGGCTTTGCTTGGGTTTGTGAACGCGAGCGCGTCGGGCCGGGCGACGCTGGGCGGGGCCGGGCGGCCGACTGCTTCGTTTAGTCGTCAGTTTGATAATCTCGTTTGCGTCGCGTGTGCGAAAGCGAAACCCCGGCAAGGCCCACGGCCTGCGGCACACGGCTCGGGCCGACGGTGCGGCGTCATGTCTGGCCTGTGAGGCCTCACCGTGTGAGGGAGAGAGAGAGCACGAGGGTGCCGTCGGGTGCCCCGTGGGGCGAGGGGCCGCCGCCATGTGGCTGGGCGACGACGGCCAGCCCGCGGCCAAGATCTCCAACCTGGTGCGCTTCATGTACTACAACTGGTTCACCGTGCTGGTGCAAGGTGCGTCCCCGGGATGCTGCCCGCCGTCGTTGTCCGTCTGCAGACTGATTCCGAGAGTCGCTTTCGTCGCTCTGTCTCTCTCGCACCCACGGGCGCCCCTTGTAGGTGCGAGAGAGACACTGTCGGAATCGGTCCGCAGGCCGTGTCGCGTCGATGCGCCAAGGCCGCGCGGCCGCTCCGCCGTCTGTCTCGGGTGCCTGTGCCTCTGTGTCCGCACCGGGGCGGCGAGGCGAGTGTGTGTGCCACTTCCACGGTCAACGCCCTGGCCAACTGCCGCCCTCGCCCGCCCTGCCGCCGCCGAATGCACAACAGTTTTTTGGGGGTGGGGCGGCGAACCGGGCGAACTGGCAGTGGCTGCACGCCGCACGTGCGCTTCTGCCGCACAGTGGGCCAGAAGACCGGTGGAGGCGGCCAAAACTCTAAACGCGTTTTGAGCTCCAGAGTCGCTAAATGGGACTCGAAACGAACGTGTGACCCCACCAATGGATTGCTCTCCGAACGAGGAATCCATTGGTGGGGTCACACGTTCGGTTCGAGGCCTGTTCAGCGACTCTGGAGCTCAAAACGCGTCTAGAGTTTTGGCCGCCTCCACCGGTCTTCTGGCCCACTGTGTGCCGCCGCTTCTGCCGCCGAGCGGCTACGCGTTTCGCAGGATTCCTCGATCCGACCGACCTGGCAGCCGACGCCGAGGAATCGCTCCGTCTCTCTCTTTCTCGCACCGCGACGCGGGACGCTCCGTGGGTGCGACAGAGACGGAGCGGCGGAGCGTCTCTTCGGCATGTCTCGCCGTTGCACTCGTGGTAATTGTGGGCGGCGGCGTGGCGGCATAGCGGCATCCACCCAGGGCCCTGCAGGGCCCCGCAGAGCCCCGCAGGGGGGCGAATTGACGTGGAGGCCGGCGTCTAGGCGTTGCCCCTCGCCGGGGCCTCGCCGGGGCCTCGCCGGGGCCTCGCCGGGGCCTCGCCAGGGCGGCGGTTCGGTTGGGTGAGGTCGCGTTGCCACGCTGCGCTCCGCCGCCCAAAGCCCCCCGTCGTCGTGCTGACTGGGCGGGTATTGAGCGCCGCTGCACCTCGTCAGCGGCCAGCCAGCCGCCAGGCGTCCCCTGTCTCTCTCGCACCTGTACGGGACGCCTCATGAGCGTGAGAGAGACGGCGATGAAAACGACTCTCGGAATCGGTCTTGTCTGACGGTGTCTTTTGGTTTGTTTGCAGGTGATCGGCCCGGGAAGCTGACGGACAAGCGCGACCGCTCCGACCCCGGCCCCGGGGGCAGCGGCGAGGACCGGAGCAGGCCGTCGGAGGCGGGGGCGGCCGGCGCCGGGGCGGCGGCGTCGGGCCCCACCACGTCGGCGGCGGCGTCCCCGTCTGGGGGCGGCCCCGGGGCGGCGTCGCTGGGCAGCCCCACGGCGTCGCTGCCGGCCTCCAGCAGCGGCGGTCTGGCCGAGTCGCAGGGCGAGTCCAGGTAAGAGAGTCCCTTCGGCTTTCGGGTTTCGTTTGTTGGGCGGGTGAGCCGTGGGCCGCTGGCTTGATCGCCGTAGGAGCAATTAGCACAGGAAGTGTGGCGCGCGTGCGCCCGTCTGGGCCGCCTGGCCTGCTAGTGTAGTGACGCCGCGCGCGCCGCGCCTGACGGTCCTGACGGTGTGCCAGTCGGGACACTGGGACCCTGGCGATCCGTCGCGCCACTTTCAAGTCGTGTCCACGTACCGCGCTCGGGTTCGAACCCCCCCTCCCTTCCTGCGTGTCCTGAAAGTGAAGCCGCAGCCTGTCCTAGAAGTAGTGTCGGATTTTGATGGCGTCCTGCGCCTCCCCGGAAAGGCCCAGGTTCGCGTCGTCGACGCCGTCCAGGGCCGCCATGGCCATGTTGTTCCGACGGCCGTCCACCAAGAAGTCCCGTCCGCCCCCGCCGTCCCCGACCAAGTCCCCGACGTCCCCGACACCGCCCCTGCCTTCCCCCCTCCCCCGCCCCCGCTCGCCGCTGGACGTGGCCGAGCTGCTCACCCTGGCGGCCACTCCTGGCCCCGCGTCCCCGTAAGTCTCCCAATCAGAACCCCTTGAGTATTTTGTTTCCCGTCTGCGGTCTGCTTGGTGAAAGTCGTAGTTGTAGTTGACGTTGTTTTCCTGGTGGTCTCATTTTGTTTTGTTTTCTGCCGATGTTTGACTGTGTTTCTGTTTGTCGCAGCCCGTCGCGAATGCTGGGCAAGTCCGGCAAAGGCACGGGAACGGGCACCAACATCAACCGCTCGGAGAGCTACCGCGAGCGCGTGTCCCAGAAGGTGAGTGTGTTGCGAGCTGCGGAGCCCCTTGGAGGCGGGCAGTCCCGCGCGGCGGCTGCGTTCGGCGGGCTGGCAGGCCGTCTCGACGCAGGCGCCTGAGCTGTTGGCGACTGCCTGTCGATGTGACGCGCGTCGCCGTGGCCCCGAGGTTCGAATCCCGGTGGCGGCCTCTGCCTTCTGAGCGACGCCGCCGCCGTTTCGAGGCGCCCCCGAGGCAGCGGCTGTGGCATTTGCTGCGCCGCGCACGCTTGGCATTTGGACGGCGGACGCGGCCGAAACGGAAAGCTCTCGGTTCAACTCCGGTGTCGGATTTTATTTCCAAAATTTATTTCTTTATTTCCCCTATCCTCGCGCGGCCTTTTACCTGGGGCGTTCGACCCCTTTCTCTGGGCCGCCCCGGTCGCCGGTCCCCGGTGGCGCTGTATCTAATCTGGGGGCCTACCGGCGGGCCTACCAGTGCACCGGTGGGCGATAACGGAACGCCGCACCCCTCGCCTTCCCCGTTCGCGCCGTTCGCGCCGTTCGGGGGAACGACTTATTTGTTGTCGTTATTTTTCGCCGCGGCGGTGCGCTTTGTGCGTCCACTGGCGCACAGTGGGCCAGAAGACCGGTGCAGGCGGCCAAAACCCCGGACGCGTTTTGAGCTCCAGAGTCGCTAAATGGGACTCGAACGGAACGTGTGACCCCACCAATGGATTGCTCTCCGAATGAGGAATCCATTGGTGGGGTCACACGCTCAGTTCGAGTCCCACTTAGCGACCCTGGAGCTCAAAACGCGTCTAGAGTTTTGGCCGCCTGCACCGGTCTTCTGGCCCACTGTGTGGCGGGGCCTGGCTAGGCCGCGATATAGTTAGCGAAGGCGCGGCGCGGCGCTCGCTCTGAGAATAGCCGGATTATGATCGCTCTTCCGGTGGCAATGGTTGGCAATGCAGACCTTGCAGGCCGACCCTGCCCCTGCCCCACCGGGCACCGCCACACTGGGCACCGCCAGCCGTGCCGCGCGCCAGCGACGCGTCCGGGGGCGGAGGGGGTAAAAGAAGAGGAAGCGGCCGCGGGTTCAAATACCAGCTTCCGTCTTAATTTTTTATCCTCCCTGGTTAATCACTGTGCAATGACTCTTTGTCTTCACTTGCTTGCAGAAACAGCTGCGGGAGCGGCGAAAGACGAGCGATCCGAACCTGTCAAAGAGCAAGTGAGTGTTTGTGCTGCCGTGAAATGTGTGTGCGCGCTTTTTAGATGCTGTCGGTCCGTGCTAGGCCGTCACAGCAAGTAGTGGGGGCGGGGAACGTCAACGTGGTCCTAGAAGCGTTTAGCTAGCGGGTAGTCTAGATAGGTGGCCAATAGCTTTCCTTCCCGTTTGTGCCTTGCCTCCTGCCATTTACTGAATACGCCGATGGGGTCGGCTGACCATCCTGCCTGAACCGTACCCCTGTCCCGTCGGGGAACTCTGTTAACCCCCGGTTGTTTTGTGACCCCCAGACATGTAGAGGACAGGAGTGGGCGTCAGTCGAAGGCCCCCGGGCCTGGCCCTGGGCCCCTGGGTCCCTATTGCCCGGAGCGCAAGAGGTGAGTCGCCCCGCGTACGCTCGTCTCGTCGGGCTTGCTAGTCGGTCCTGGTGTCCTAGGGTGGGGACTGCAGTGCATTCGACGCGCGTTCGACCATCCCCTCGGTTCGGTGTGTGTTTGCCTTCCCGCCCTCTGTCTTTCACACTCGTGATGTGGTCCAAGTCTCTTGTCTTTACTCGTGGAGGGGAAGCCCAGTTCGGTAGACGAACTGAAGGTGACGGTGTACACGGTGCTATGAATGCAAAATGAAGTTATAAAACTAGGCTGGCTATGAATGTTACCTCTTGCGTGACAGTAACTGGATGTGGCGTGGTGGTTGCAGTGATGCGGACTTGGACGGCCAGGGAAGTCACGGAGTACACGGAGTACCAGGGCTGGCGGCCTACCACTCTGGAAGCTCCAGCAACTCCAGTCTGTCCAACAGGTGAGGAAAGGGAAGGGTACGGTATACAGCAGTGTTGATTGTCACTTCATCTGGAGCGTTCAGTAAATGCGGAGTGATAGGTAGCTTCTTCCCCTTGGTACAATTTCCGATTAACAAATTAAGTCCAATTTGCATCCCACTGGCTTACAGCTTCTATTAACATTGTGTGGTGGTATGGTCCTTGAATGGCTTGATAATGTCTTATTTTTCTTTCTCCAGGAGTCTTGAGGAGCACAACCACACTGGAGAAGGCAGTGGCCATGCAAGTCATGGAGCGTCAGGCAGTGCAGGAGCACCACCTCAGTGGGGTTCAGATGCTGAACTTGAACCAGACCCGCCAGACTGGACTAGTAGTGTGAGTGAAGAAGTCCTCAAGAGTCTCACCTCTCGGGAGAAGAAGCGGCAGGAAGTTATCAACGGTCAGAATTAAACTGGTCACAGCCTTTAGCCACAGATTTAGGTCATCTTCGATTATTGTGTAACTTTTGTTATTTTGCTTTGCAGAACTGTTCCATACTGAACGCTCCCATGTTCGTAACCTTAAAGTGTTGGACCTTGTATTTAGAAGGCCACTTGCTGAGTCAGGTATTTTGTCAATTGAGAGCATGGGTCTCATATTTGCCAACCTTGATGAGATGCTAGAAACGCATTCGGGATTCAATAATAGCTTTAAAATCAAACGTAAAGAAAACCCTGTAGTTGGTGAAATTGGTGATTTATTGCTGAGTATGGTAAGCATTGCTGTTCTCATCTTATCTCCATCTGTGTCCTTGTTTAAATCACTCTTACTGTATGATAATTCGTTTTTATTTTGATTGCAGTTTGATGGACCAGCAGGAGACGATTTCCAACAGGCTGCTTCAAAGTTTTGTGCTAGACAGCAAACCTCATTGGAGTTTTTAAAAGAAAGGAGGAAAAAAGATGCCAAGCTGCACAGCTTTCTGTGTGAAGCTGAAGGCAATCCAATGTGTCGGAGGCTTCAGCTTAAAGACATAATTCCTAGTGGAATGCTCCGTCTAACAAAATATCCATTGCTCTTTGAAAATTTGTTAAAATACACAACCTGTACAGAGGATGTTCCATCAGCTGAATACATCAAAGTACAGAGAGCATTGGAGAGAAGCAAAGAAATTCTTAATCAAGTTAATGTTGCTGTCAAGGAGGAAGAAGATTTACAGAAACTGCAGGGTATTCAAAAACGTATTGATCGAAGTGCATTCGACAAATTAGACTTTTCAGTTTCACAAGAGTTCCGGGTAACTATCTCCTTTCCCCACTCCCCCTTTCATTTTGTTTGATTTTATTTTCGTTTTTATGATTTAATTTTTTTTTCTTCAACTCTTAGAACCTGGATATAACAAAACACAAACTAGTACATGAGGGTCCCCTCAGCTGGCGCATTGGCAACAGACAGAAATTTGTAGACTTGCATGTTCTACTAATGGAAGAAATCATCATATTACTGCAAAGACAAGATGACAAGTTTATTTTAAAGTTTTATAATGTAAATGCAGGTGGCACTAGCTCTAATGAACGTGCACCAACTCTGTCCCCAATCATCAAAGTATCGACTGTGTTGGTGCGACCAAATGCTGTTGGTATGTGCTTCAGCTTAATCACCTGATTTTCCCCAAATTAATTTCAATCTAAATGGTATTTTTCTCATGTGTTCTTTGCTCTATGTTGTTTTCAGATAAGAAAGCTCTTTACCTAGTAAACACTTCTCATAATGGGGCTCAAATATATGATTTAGTAGCAGCTTCTTCTTCTGAACGAAAAGTGTAAGTATAGTGTAAACTTCTTGCATTGATTTTGTATTATTTATTTTAATTCATTTATGTTTTTTTTTTTTTGTGTGTGCAGTTGGTTTAGAAGGATATCAGAAGCTGCTGAAAAGCATAAGAAAACTGACAACAGAAGTAGAAGATCTGAAGTTTCCAATAATACTGCTGATGATTCCATGGACACTGATAAAGCCAAAGTGTAAGAATCGGATCTTCTCTCTTTGCACTATGACTGTTCAGAACATGATTTGTTATGTCTAATTGTCTTAATGGACGGTTTCTAGGTCTGATGATGGAGTGGCTCAGGGGTGTCCTGAAGATGATACATCAGTGTCAGACAAATTGGCGAGTGATTCGTCTTCCACCAGCACACCTGTTGCAAGTGGTAACATGCAAGCACCTCAATCAACTTCAACCCCCAAAGCTCCAGCAGGAGGTATGTGAAAATGACCTAACTCCCTCAATTCTTTCTTGACATTTGAAAGCTCAGCTCCTCTAATGTAACATGTGTTTTGAATTTCTGAAGGAGAAACTATGGTCTCACCCTCCTTACAAAGAAGAAGTGAGCCTTTACGATTGACTACTGAAGAGAATGCCCTTATTGAACCCTCTGAAGTAACCATTTCTCAAAGGCCTGTCTTAACAGCTGAGCCTGTGCTCACACCTATAGGTATGATTTTATTTTAACAATTTGAACCGTAAATATTCTTTCAAATTCTGTTGTTTTGTATTATCTTATCTTCAATTTTTAGAGCGATTACGGCGTAAGGATGAGGCTGTTCGTCAAGCTCTCTTAGAAAAACAGCAGTTAGTGGCTGACATTTTGCATGTGCCTCACGAAGATTTTAACACTATAGCTGAAATTGCTGCACAGCCCAGCCATGACAAGGAAGCAGCAGAGGTTGTCCTTGCTGCTATCAACCAAGGTATGGCAACTCTAGACGCTCTGGCTAGGTCCATATGACCGTCATGCTCCCTTTTTGACAAGTTGTTTACAACACTTAGGATGTCCTTCTCTTTTATTTTGCAGTGAATTTGTTATCTTCTGTATTGAATGAAAGTTTAAGAGTATCTGAAGAGGACACAGTTGTCGCTTCAGTAGGAACATCACCTCGTTTGGACCGTCGTTCAGTTTGCATACCAACTGTCCCTGTTGATCGATTGATAGATGTCTCATCATCGATTAGTGCTCAATTAACACAATTATTAAAGATGATGAAAGAACGAGATGAAGAGAGAGAGAGATTGAGACGTGAGCTTCAAAGATGTCGAGAGCAACTTCATGTGATGCATGAAAGTCAGAGGAGAGAGAAACGGGAATCGTCTTCAGATACAGCGGCAGGTCAAAATGCTGAGTTTGAGGGTTTAATTCTAGGTTTAGAAAATCTGCTTCCAAAAACGCCCCACACAGAAGAGACTGATGGAGAGTCCAGCCAAATTGCTTCTACTCCTATTGAGGAAAGAGAGGTAGGTGCCTCAAGTTTGTCAATGTTTCAAGTGTGTACAATACAAACATTACACCTCCCTAAAATTGTTTTTAACAGGAAGAGTCAACAAATGATGACAGTGGAGCAGCAGAGGTGAAGAGTGGTGTGAATGAGGGGGATCCACACTAGTCATTCACAAGCTGAAAAATCTCAAGGTCTACAAATTTTGCTTTACTGTTACTTCAGATGCAGGCATTTACAAAACCGCTCCTTGTGCTTAGTGCCAAGGGGCTAAACCTAGTCTCAGCATCTCTAATGATTATTGAGTACTTAGTCCTTAGGGTGTGGAAAGCTTCTCTCAAAGCATTGCAAGTCTATGCTTGTTTTTTCTGTAACCAATGTACCCCATTGTTGCTATATTTAACTGGTAGCATTAACATTTTCACAAATGTTCAATTCTGCCTCGGGTGCAATTGTTGCAAAAGTGCATATGTAATAGTTTATGTAGATATATCTGTTAAAATGTAAATTGATTATGTGTCCATTGTTATTGCTTACCAGTGTGCATATGTTTTCAATTCAAATATCATTTTTAATCAATTTCATCGTAAGTTTTCCATTGCAAAACTGTGATACCGTGCATCAGGAGTGTGATGTGTGTATAGAGAGACTATTGGGAGAGCCGTTGTATTCTTTGGTGTGATATCATTTTGTTTCTTTCTGTGTATTTATTAAATGGAAAATCTTATTGTCATGCTTATGTTACATACATGTTTTTGTTTTTGTTTTAAACTGAAGTATGCTGAATCAAGTCATTAAAAGATACCGTATTGAAGATTGAACTATTTTTTTTGCTGGTGATATTTGATGATTGCAATTCAGACTTCCTGTACCTGTTTGATTCACAACCCAGATATCTATCATAAAGTCCTGCTAGAATATTTATTCAAGTTCTTTAATCCTTGAGTTAGAATGGCTTAGACATTCCATTCAGTCAGACTGTAATAGATATGGCTTATTTTTGGCATCAGTTTTTTTAAATAGTCTTTTCTTTACAAAATTTTGTCAGTGGAAGAAAAACAACCCTTATGTATCACCACTTAATTTGATTTTAACTTACGGATACTTGTAAAGTGGTACTTAAGTACTGTACTGATATATTTAATCTGTAGTGATCTGTTGTCTGTATTTTGTTGTGTCAAGTAATTCACAGGTGTATTTACATTATAAAAAGTTAAAATTTGTTCTATTTTGTTATATTGAAGCAATTTGTTGCAAGATTTCTTGAATCCTTCCATTTCTTATTTTCAGTTTAAGAAAATGGCGTTTTGTTTCCTATCTTTGGATTTTTCTATATTTACTGAAGCTGTTATATTGAAGTTCACTGAAGTGGCTTCTTTGGGATCACTTTTAATTGTTAGGTTTGTTACTTTAAATTATTACATGATCTGTACTCCTGTGCCCCAGCTGAAGGAGGACATTTCTACTAAGATTGTATGGAAAGGGTGGCTATCATCTTGAAATTATTTTTTTATCCAAGTCTTGCTTGTCTAAACTTTTAACTTACTGTACTTTTAGGTCAGACACTCTTTGCCATACAAGTAAACTGGGAATTAAAATTCAGCTGGTGTATACAACAATATGTATTGTTGCTTGTGATGGTTGAATTTCAAATGATGCATTTGTAAGACCCTGTAAATTATTTTCAAATGATGCATTTGTAAGACCCTGTAAATTATTTTAAAATTTAAATCAAGTTACATGTTTTTGGATTGTTGGAGCCTAGTCACATGCTCAGTGCATGTTTTGCGTCACATTATATTTGCCAAGTCACGCAGTTTCATTTACCAGCATTTATAGCTCTATTTTTGTTTTATGGATGTAACTAGCATTTAAACTATTTTTCTTGCACACCAAAGTTGCCTTTTGATGTTTAATTTTGGCGTTCTGTTTCACAAAAGATATGCATATCAAAGTTGTTCTTGTTATTGAGGCTCTTTATGCATTGAGTGATTTTTTAAAAAGATTGTTCCATTGAGGAATAGGAACCTATCAGGCATATTGAATTCCGATCTGAAATGCTCTCTGAAACTGATTATGTTTGCTCATGCTAGAATCACTGCTCTTTAATTAATTCTGTTGGCTTAGTTAACCGTGGCCATGTCCTCAGCTGATAATCATGATGTGGCAGTGGATGTACTGCTTCAAACTCTTGTTTCCCATATTAAGTGAGGCATTCACAGAAAATTCAAATCTGCTGAAAAAAGTGCTAACAACTTATTTGCCATTTTAAAATTTTGCTATGAAGTGGTTATCACAATAGGATCCAAAGAGGCAACACTAGTTAATTGGTGTGGTAGTTTTATCCATTAATATAATCACCTTTGTGGTTCCTTCAAATCCTAGATTGTTTATGTCCTGTTCTTCACAAATTTGAGGCTTTGAGAGACAATGTCTTTCAAATTGTATTTTTATGTAAATGACAGCTTCTCTGGCAGTCATAATTTTCTTTTATCGCTACAATGGTTTCAGCAGGAAGTGTTCATTCTTGTGTCTTGTAGTATTATTGCACTCAGCTGCATGGAAATTAATTGGCAGTTTGATTTGTAATTTGAAAGAAAAGATCAGTATTGGTTTGGCTTAATACTAATGCTTGCAGCCTCCATTCCAGTGAAGCTGATTTTAAAATGCTATTATTAATGTATTAGATCATTGTATATTATGTTAAATAAAAGATTTAGCAAATGAAGCTGTTTGATTTTGTCTTATCTACCCTACCCTTTTATGAGAAACAAATGAGAGGAAAATTGAGGGAAGAGAAAAAATCCTCAAGCTTTATAGACTGTTGTTTAACGGTTTATTAAATATCTTAATTTCATCTTAATATATTTGGGACATAGTTTCAGGACAGATTTTTCTAGTAACAGTAGACAATCACTTATCAGTTGAAGATTCTCCATGCTCTGATACAGAATAAAAGTCAGCAATCAGACTAGCACCATCAATGGTGACTTTGTCCTCCAGTAATTTTTGAAGGGGAATTGCCATATCTTCTGATAAGATCTCACCATTCATATGGAATAATCTCAGTTTAGGGGCAGATGGGTTTGGATCTGTTAAGATTTTGCATGTATCAGCAATATTATCAACCACTCTTCCTAAAGGCCAATCTTTGCTTACAAACACAGCCTTATTTTCTGACTCAGTGGCAGCAGTAGGGATCCAATGAATAAGGAAATAGACCCGCAAAGACTCAGGAACAGTGCGTCGACCAGTGGCTTTCTGTTTTAGTCTCATGACCTGAATTTTATTAGCAGTTTCCTGTTTTGCACCAGACAGGTTACGGTTCTTTTCGATTTTTGCATCAATTATCTTATTTACAGCCTCTTTAGCTACTTTAAATTGTCTTTTGGGAGCCTCAAACCTTTCACGACGAGCCCGTTGCGCTTCTCTTCTAGGAGTATTACAGCCATGATGCCGATGCGAAACACAAAAATGTTTTTTGCAGTAAGTGCACAAAAGTTCCATCACCTCCTTTTCAGAACAGTCATCGTAAGAGCACTTATAACTTTGAATGGTTGAAGACAAAGGCCCAGAAACAGTCTTATCGGGTACATCTGGACATTCATGGTTCAATGGAAACGAATGATCCTTACAAAAATTTTGGGAACAATGTGTGCATTTCACAGGCAGAAAGTCAAGCTGAGCGCAGGAACTGACAAAGCAACGCTCACCAAGCTGCGGGATCTCCATGATTTAGGGAAGTGTCACTTCTTCCACATCAAAGAACACTAGAACAGAAGAAAAATACAAGATGCACAGAAGTCAGATGCAAAGTGAAGATATAACCTAAATGTTTTGTAACAGAACAGCATAACACACATTCCTTTTGGGGTGAAGCTAAAGCAAATAATACTGAAATGAAGGAAATATTAACACTCACACCAGAAATGTTGATGTTTTACCAGAAGACAGAAGTGACAGAAGTCAAGTCATGAATGATTGAAACTGCCTATAAGTAATACTTATTTGCAGAGTAGAATGAACTGCAAATAACCCAGAGAGCAGAAAGCAAAACACGCATGCTTTTAGAGAGGTTGGTGATCGGGGTCTGATGTTGTTAACTCTTTTAAGTTACGCATTTTGAGTGTTGGAAACCATTATCACGATGTCGCCTGCCCCTGTTCGCACGAAACCGAATATTATGATCACAGGTAAAGATTCACAAGAAGAGGGAATATTCTGTATGAGAACAGCAACAGCATACATCAGTGTTGACAGTTACTTATTTCAGTTTCCATTCTTAGAAACTTGATAAAAATCTCTACGATTGTGAAAATTTGAAAGGTGATATTTAAATAGATTTATGTTGATTCGTTTCTTCTAGGGACTCCTGGTACAGGGAAGTCAACCCTCTGTAAGGAACTGGCGGAGCGTACCGGCTTCCAATGGCTGGAAGTATCAAAACTGGCTACTGACTGGGACTGTGTCAGCGGATTTGATGAGGAGTATCAAAGCAATATTTTGAACGAAGACAAGGTACACACCCCTATGCTTAACAATCAATGTATTACTTGTCAATATCTAACTGCTACACTTCTATTTTTCCTAAAGTTGCTCGATACGATGGAACCAATCATGGCCAGTGGTGGTAAGATAGTCGATTACCATGGATGTGAATTTTTCCCTGAGAGATGGTTTGATATTGTATTTGTCACAAGAACTGATAATACAATTTTGTATGACAGACTACATGAGCGGCAAGTGTTTTCTATCAAGTATTCAGAGAGAATTTTTGCGTATTTACCCATAATAAAATTTTATTTGTACCTTTTGCAACTTTTTCAGGGGATACACTGGCACAAAGCTCACTGAAAATGTAGAGTGTGAGATTTTCCAGACTTTGCTGGAAGAAGCAAAGTCTTCCTATGACGAAGAAATTGTTCATGAGATTCCCAGCAACACTCTAGCAGATAAAGAAAGCAACTTAGACAGGATAGAAAGCTGGATAGAATCATGGACTGAAAATAATGTTAGATAAGCCTAGGGTAAAGATTTATTTGACAGCCATTATATTTTGGATTTAATTGATTGGTCCTGGTTTAGTTGTAGTAGTGAGAATTTAATAACTCCACTTACCATTTAAAATATTTAATGGTTTTGTCAGAAACTATCAATATGGGTTTTTTTTTTCTCAACAATAAACTAAAAACATTTTTGTATTCAGTTTGTTGCTTCAAGCTGCAGAAGCTTCTCCTTTATTTTCTCTTCCAATGTTACATAATACTTCATTTCCATCAAAGCAGTCCTAGCTTTTGGAATGTCTTGGCCAGTGAACAACTCTGAAACTTTCCTAAAGAGGAAAGAAATGAAGTAAACGAAACACATTCAGCATACAATTACGTACTCCAAATCATACTCACTTCTGAATTGATTTCAACACTTCTCTGTTCTTGGAATGGAAGGTCTTCAGCTCATTTAAATTTGAAATAGACTCAAGTTCTTCATTTAGCTCCATGATCTAGAGACAAATTTTGATAAGAAAAAGTGTGTGGAAAGATTTGGAAGTAACTTGCACTTATCTTACCTCAAACAGAAATTCTTTATTAAATGACGTATTTTCCTCGAGAATAGGCGTGTTGTGGAGCTGGAGTAAATATAGTCCTCTTTCTAAAGGGTTTGAGAGGGTCCTAAAGGCTTTGTTAACCAATGAGGATAGCTCAGCTGAGAACTCCTTTTCATCCTAGTGAACAAAAATTTAACTGTTTGATGAAAAGGGAACATTGAACTTTCCAGAAAAAGAAATGACACAAACTACTTACATCAGATGCATTGGAAAATTTATCAGGGTGGAGTACAGCCTGAAGCTGTCGAAATTTCTTGGATACCTCACTGGAGTCGACGTCAAATGTCTCACTCAGATCCAAAAGGTGAAAATAGTTGTAATTTTTGTTCGGCTTCTGCAACGCGTTGCAGTCCTTGCAGAAAAACCTGGCCTCTCTCCCAGACTTGCCACACTTCCAGCACGGGCTCGCATTCACTTTACTAGCATAGGTACGGCAGTAATTTTCACAAAAGGTAAACTGTGACTGATGAATTTGCAGTCTGCAGGGACCGGACCCCTTGCGCAAGTAACTGTTTTGACACGAAATTATTCTCAACAGAGCCGATCGGTAGTTCCGGCTAAATAGCCGAAACGTCAGAGACATCGCTGACGGGACTGCAGGCGCTGACAAGCACAAATTTACACAAACGGATCAATTACAGCATCTTTCACTAAGGCCGCAAAGGTTACGGTACGGGTAAAACTTCACATCTTCACAACAGTCTGCTAAACAAAACACTTCGAAGAGAACGTGATTCAGATTCATATTGCGAAACAAATGAAAACAGTGCTGCTTTATTCGCAGTCGTGGCGCGCTTTTTAAACTGAGGGAAATCCAGTTCTGGGGAGAGAGCAAAAGCGGGAAAGAGCGTCAAGAGCGAGGGGGAAAGGAAGATCGGTGGCGCTGAGTTTCTGCCCTGCAGAGGATGGAATACTGGTGTATCAGTCGCCTCAGAAATGAACCCGGCGATACTCCGTGCCCAAGTGACTCTTTGGCGGGTCATGTGGGGATCACCCCGCGCGTGGAGTATCAACGGGGTCACTGCTTTTGTGACCGGTCCACCAGCAACGCATCAATGGCAGTTTTGAAAACGCCTGCTGGTAGGCAACCCAACGTACGCAGGGAAGTCAGGCGGAGTCGAGTGGGCTGGCTGTGGAGGGGCAGCAGTGGCCTGCGGACTGATTCCGAGAGTCGTTATTTCGTCGCTCTGTCTCTCTCGCACGCATTGGGCGTCCCGAATCGGCGCGACGAAAACGACTCTCGGAATCAGTCTGCTGCTTCGCTGCAAAGTGAATTACTAAAGGGGTGCCGCGTGGATTAAACTAACACCAGCGCCGTGCCCTGAATTTTAATCTCTGCGAATGTAACACTCCCGACACGGAAAGGCATGGGGTGGGCGCCTGGGGGAGAGGGAGAGAGAGAGGGAGAAGAGAGAGAGAGAGAGAGAGAGAGAGAGAGAGAGAGAGAGAGAGAGAGAGAGAGAGAGAGAGAGAGAGAGAGAGAGAGAGAGAGAGAGAGAGGGAGACAGAGAGGCAGCGACCAATCGTAACAGGGCGACATCAAAGCGCGCCTCCGGACGACCAATGGGATTACCCTTTCCTCCCGCCCCTGGCCCGGCCGAGACCCGCCCGAGACCGACCCGCCGCACCGCAGCGAGGCACCGCGTCGACCGCGTCCACGGCGTCCACGGCCCAGCAATGCTCTCGTCGCTCCGTCTCTCTCGCACCCACGGGGCGGCCCGCTGGGGTCCGCCAGGTCCGCTGGGGGTGCGAGAGAGACGGAGGCACCGCCCGGAAAGCCTACAGAAAGGACGGAAAGGACCCGCCGTGCTCGCAGCTCCAATCGATTGGGTGGGGCCGGAGCGGGCCGGAGTCTGCACGGGCTGCCGCTGCCGGGCTGGGCCGGGGCACAGTGGGCCAGAAGACCAGTGGAGGCGGCCAAAACTCCAGACACGCTTTGAGCTCCAGCGTCGCTAAATGAGACTCGAATCGAACGTGTGACCCCACCAATGGATTGCTCTCCGAACGAGGAATCCATTGATGGGGTCACACGTTCGGTTCAAGCCCTGTTTAACGACTTTGCAGCTCAAAACGAGTCTAGAGTTTTGGCCGCCTCCACCGCTCTTCTGGCCCACTGTGCGGCGTAACAGTTTGTGGCCGGCGGTGCTGTCGGGACTGTCGCGGCGCCGCGGATGGGGCGGTGGGTGGACTTGACAGGAATGTGACAAGGTGGAAGATGGCGCGGCGGGGCGGGGCGCGGCGGGGTGGTCAATAAATCGACGGAATACACAGCGCTGCATCTGACAGTCCGCGTTGTTTCCGCCGTTCGGTTCGGCCTCTCTGCTCGTCCCGGCGAGAGCACCGCGTTTTCCGAGAGTCGCCGAAAATGGGGACAAAAACGGACAAGCGCGAAAATGGGAGCGCGTTGCAGCACAGTGGGCCAGAAGACCAATGGAGGCGGCCAAAACTCTAGACGCGTTTAGAGCTCCAGAGTCGCTAAACAGGACTCAAAGCGAGCTTGTGACCCCACCAATGGATTCCTCGTTCGGAGAGCAATCCATTGGTGGGGCCACACGTTCGAGTCCCATTTAGCGACTCTGGAGCTCAAAACGCGTTTAGAGTTTTGGCTGCCTCCACTGGTCTTCTGGCCCACTGTGTGCAGGGTGGCTGCGTGCGCACCTTTTCGGTTTTGGCGGATGCACCCCGACCAGCGCGCGCCCCGCTTGCACCGCGGACTGACGGCCAGGCCGCCAGGCCAGGCAGATCCGGCTGGCGAGATTCACTGTAACGACGGTAACGACACCCCGGGGAGGCGGGCGTGGCGCGGCAAGCGCGGCAAGGGTGCGACCGGCGGAGGGAGAGGGGTGCGACGGAGAAGGAGGACTCGCGTGTGATTGAATTGACCCCTGCCCTGCCGCGGCCCTGCCAGGCCATCCCTGCCGGCCCTGCCCCTCGCCCTCTACCGTGCGGGGCCCCGGCGACGATGGCGGCGCGGCGGAGCCCCGCCGAGGGGAGGAATGGAGTTGTGACTGAATAAACTCGCCAAGGCGCGGCGCGGCGCGGCGCGGGGCTAGAGGGCAGGTTCCGTGCTTCGCTGCTCTCTCTCTCTCTCTCTCTCTCCCTCTTTCTCTCTCTCTCTCTCTCTCTCTCTCTCTCTCTCTCTCTCTCTCTCTCTCTCTCTTCTCTCTCTCTCTCTCTCTCTCTCTCTCTCTCTCTCGCTCTCTCTCTCTCACTCTCACACCCCTACGGCGAGCCCCCGCGAGTGCGAGAGAGACGGAGCCGTCTTTGCCCTGACGACCCCGCGTCTCTGCTCGTCTCGCCTCGTCTCCTCCGTCTTCGGCGTCCTCATCCCCGCGTCGGAAAGAAATCAATGCGGGCCTCGCTTCCTCCGCCTCGGCCGGAGGGGCTCCGGTGATCCGGCTCACCGGTCCGCGTCACGCGACGTCCGCGCGACGTCCGACGCGCCCAACGAGTGCGAGAGAGACAGAGCGACGGCGAGTGGCAGGAAGCGGCGGCCGGAAGCGGATATTGGCCGTCCCGGTTCACACAGTGTGGCACACACTGGCAACCGACACCTCGCTGCTTGGCAGCAAGTCACGACCAGACAGCGGCGCCCGAGGGGCAAACAACTTCGTCAAAATTTGTACACCGTTATTTCAAATTTACGTTATTTCATTGTTATTTCAAGGGTATTTGAACGTTATTTCGCGTTATTTCACCGTAATTTCAACGTTATTTCACCATTATTTCAGGTTATTTCACCGTTATTTTACGTTATTTCAAGGAAAATGTACACCCAAATTCAAGTTGTTTGCCCCTCGGCGGCGCCAGTACCGACAGCGCCGGCGGACTGATTTCATCAGTCATTTTTGTCGCTGTGTCTCTCTCGCGCCTTACGGGACACCCCATGAGTGCGAGAGAGACGGAGCGACGAAAACGACTCTCGGAATCGTGGACTGGTGCGCTATCAGCGGAAAGGGACGCTTGAACCGCCAGCGTTTGCCTCATCACTTTAGAGAGTCGACTCTACGCGAAGCTAGACCCTCTCGTTTGGGTCAGGCCACGCGCGCGCTGCGTGCTGCGTGAACGGGGCTATTTAGCGGTCCAAACGGGAAAGCAATGCAAGATAGACCATCCGATTGCCGCTCTTCCTGCTGCCACTGACAACATGAACATGCATACTCGCGGCGCGATGCAAGGAGCAAACCAGTGTTGTCCGTGTTGTCTGCACACTTGAGCGCCGTCCCATCCCGCGCCGATTAGCGCCCGATACACCGCAAAACAAAACGAGTGCGGCGTTCTGGCGCTGCGCGCGAAACGCAAAGCAGCCGAGAAATCCGTGGAAGACGGACAAAGATTGACAAAGATTGCCCACAGGTGGCGCACCGGACGCACTCCACCTCTGCCACCGAGTCGCCACTTCCTCCTCGAATCGTTGTTAATATTCCCCTGATCGGGTGAGTCGAGTGGTTTGCGCGGCGAAAACCTCTCGTCTCCTTATCGTTGTCGCGTCGCTCTGTCCTTCTCGCACCGGAGGGGCGTTCTGCAGGAGGAGAGAGAGAGAGAATCGGCTGGCGCGGACAGGGCGCGATGCATATTAAAAGCGCGGCCGGCGGCCAACCGCCAGAACACACGGCAACGCAGAGAATGTCGCCGTGCCTCCCGGTGTGCCTGTGCCTCCTGCTGGCGGCGGCCGCCGCGCTGCCCAGCGGTAAGCGAAGGGTGCCGACCCCGCACAGTGGGCCAGAAGACCAGTGGAGGCGGCCAAAACTCTAGACGCGTTTTGAGCTCCAGAGTCGCTAAGCAGGACTCGAAGCGAACGTGTGACCCCACCAATGGATTCCTCGTTCGGAGAGCAATCCATTGGTGGGGTCACACGTTCGGTTCGAGGCCTATTTAGCGACTCTGGAGCTCAAAACCTGTTTAGAGTTTTGGCCGCCTCCACTGGTTTTCTGGCCCACTGTGCCCCGGTGACGTCACCTAGAGCCAATCCTATGCGCCGACCCTGCGCTGCAGTCCGTGGGTTTGGTTTGATGCCTGGTCGATCGGCCTCAAGCGAGGGGTGAATTACTAGTGTACTCATGTGTGATCCCAATTTTTAAAAGGGCGGAAATAACCAAATTTCGGTTTCGGTATCGTTTAAAAAAACGCGTAAAAACGTTAACAATATGAGCATTATCAGGTGTACTCTACGTACTCATGTGTACATACATTAAAACACCGAGTGATTCACCCCTCGCCTCAAGTCAGGGAGAAAACGTTAAACCCGCTTCAGCACTGTCAGGTCATTGTCACAAAAAAACCCATTGAGGTTATGTTGTGGTTTCAGGCGTGCCCGCCCTTGAGACGGGTCTCGAGATCATCGGGGGCGACACGGCCGACATCAAGAGCGTGCCCTACCAGGTGACGTACAGTCACGCAAAGCACCCCAACGCGGTGGTGCCATTATTTTAGTACTTGTTGTTCATTGGTGCTTTGTGGCAGGTGTCCATCGAGCTGAAGAAGGCCCACCACTGCGGGGGATCGGTCTTGTCCAACAAGTGGATCCTCACCGCGGCGCACTGCGTCTACGGGTGAGCGAGATAAAACCAGTTCCAAGAGGCCTCGAAGGAAAATAACCACAACAAGTGATGCCGGTATTTGAACCCGTGACCCGCAGCCACCCCGTGAGTTCGCTGGGCGTCCGCGCCGGCACGGACAAGCTGCAGATGGGCGGGTCCCTGGTGGCGGTGCGCGCGGCCAGCGTGCACCCCAAGTACGTCCACGGCATATACGACAGCGACGTGGCCGTGCTGGAGCTGGCCTCGGCGCTCAGCCTGGGCGCCACCATCAAGCCCGTGGTGCTGCCGCCGAGCGGCAAGGAGCCCCAGACCAACATCCCCGTGGTCGTCAGCGGCTGGGGGCTCACCACGGTACGCATACACACAAAGAGGCCGCTTTCGCTTTGGGGCCGTCCCGCAGTGGTCCAGAAGACCGGTGGAGGCGGCAAAATCCCGGACGCGTTTTGAGCTCCAGAGTCGCCGAACGGGACTCGAACCGAGCGTGTGACCCCACCAATGGATTGCTCTCCGAACGAGGAATCCATTGGTGGGGTCACACGTTCGGTTCGAGGCCTGTTTAGCGACTCCGCAGCTCAAAACGCGTCTAGAGTTTTGTCAGCCTCCGCCGGTCTTCTGGCCCACTGTGCGTGGCCTCGTGGAATTGCGTACGGTAAAATGAGGCCTTTTTTTGTGAATCCCCTGTGCCGGCTGCCGGCAAAGTGGATAGGCTAATCTGCTAAAGGACCTCGCCGGACCTTGTCCGTGGTCGCAGCACCGCACCAGCGCCAGCGGGTGCGTCACTCAGTGAAGCCCGATTCCGAGAGTTGTTTTCGTCGCTCTGTCTCTCTCGCACCCGTGCGGAACGCCCCATGAGTGCGAGAGAGACAGAGCGATGAAAGCGAATCCGCCTGCAGGCTGCGTGCCAACGCCAACCCAGCCGACGCACAGTGGGCCAGAAGACCGGTGGAGGCGGCCAAAACTCTAGACGCGTTTTGAGCTCCAGAGTCGCTAAATGGGACTCGAACCGAACGTGTGACCCCACCAATGGATTGCTCTCCGAACGAGGAACCCATTGGTGGGGTCACACGTTCGGTTCAAGCCCTGCTTAGCAACTCTGGAACTCAAAACGCGTCTCGAGTTTTGGCCGCCTCCACCGGTCCTCTGGCCCACTGTGCGACGTAGAGTCCTAGAGTGGGAGAGAAAGGTCAACTGTGAAAATGCCACGCGCAACGCGCACTTTGCCATACTCGACAAGCCAACAACCCGAACGTAAACAATAATTCGTCTGCCGTCTGCCTCCCCGAGTGAAACGGCGGAAACGGTCCAGCGGTCCGGGAGTGACAAGTATGGCAGATTTCGCTGTCAGAAGGTGCGGACAGGCACGGCGTTTCTCTCCCACTGTAGGACTCTGGGCCGACGCGCCTGACGCCTGCCGGGTAGGCAAACCGGGTGCAGCCCTGTGCGACGGGACTGCATCTCCGGACTCGCAGGCGCCCTCGCACAGGGCTAGCAGTGCTGCCACTCAAGTCTGCCAAAGTTCCCCCTAACCAGTGTTATTTTTTTGTGTTAATGTTTTTCCTGAAATTTACGCATGGTGTAACCAAATAAAATCTGTTTTCTTTCTCTTTCCAGCCCCAGAAGCGCATGCTGTGGCGACACCGGTCCGCCGCGAGCCCCGCCGCCCTGCTCGGCCCCAACCTGCCCACGCAGCTGCGCAAGGTGACGGTGCGCGTGGTGAGCAGGACGACCTGCCACTCCTCGTACAACGCCGTGCTCACCAGCAGGATGATCTGCGCCGCGGCGCCCGGCAAGGACGCGTGCACTGTAAGCCACCATCGCACAGCGGGCCAGATGACCAGTGGAGCGGCCAAAATTCTAGACGCGTTTTGAGCTCCAGAGTCGTTTCGTTAAATAGGACTCGAATCGAACGTGTGACCCCACCAATGGGCTGCTCTCCGAACGAGGAATCCATTGGTGGGGTCACACGTTCGGTTCGAGGCCTGTTTAGCGACTCTGGAGCTCAAAACGCGTCTGGAGTTTTGGCCGCTCCACCGGTCGTCTGGCCCGTCTGGCCCACCGTGCATCGGGACAGTGTAGGCACAAAGGCGAGTGTTGCCATGAGGCTAAGGCTCGTCGTCGCCTTGGTTACAGTACGACAGCGGCGGCCCCCTGGTGGACGGCTCCGGCGTCCAGGTCGGCATCGTGTCCTTCGGCCACGGCTGCGCCCAGGCCCAGTACCCCGGCGTGTACACGCACGTGGGCAGCCCCGACGTGCGCAGCTTCATCAAGAGCAAGACCCACCTCTAAGCCGTCAGCACCACACCGCCCCGGTCGAACAGACAAATAAAAACGATATGGTGCTGAACAAAGAGTGGGCCATTTAGTCGGTGAGCGGGAGAGAGAGAAAACAAGAGAGAAAACCAACAACTGCAAATAAAAAGCCCCCAGCCGGCTGCGCCGCTACGCCACGCCACCGCGGTGAATATCCTGCTAGTCAATGCGCTACCGCTGTTAGTGAAGCTCGCTCACAGATGCGCCTGGATTTGACTGCCCCCCGCCGCTAGGGCGCGCCCGGCCACCCTCCAGGCCCCTCCCCTCCCCTCTCCCCTCCGCCCCGACTTCCAGCGCCTGGTTTGTCGTGGCCTGCCAGTTCCAGCCCCGGCAGCCCCGGCAGTCCCAGCAGCCCACAGTGGGCCAGAAGCCGGTGGAGGTGGCCAAAACTCTAGACGCGTTTTGAGCTCCAGAGTCGCTAAATGGGATTCGAACCGAACGTGTGACCCCACCAATGGATTCCTCGTTCGGAGAGCAATCCATTGGTGGGGTCACACGTTCGGTTCGAGTCCCATTTAGCGACTCTGGAGCTCAAAAAGCGTCTAGAGTTTTGACCGCCTCCACCGGCTTCTGGCCCACTGTGCAGCCCCGGCAGCCCCAGCAAAGGGGCAGCAGTCGGTGAAGGGGAGGGAGGCGGTTCAGAGGAGCGGAATGGGGGTGGGGGGAAGAAGAGCGAGAGGCCTGCGGGGACCCACCGGGCCGGGAGACAGAGAGGGAACGAGAGGGGAGGCGGGGGGCGCGGCAGCGAGCAGAGGGCGACAGGCTAACCCGCTCGACACGGCGCTGTGGCGGGTGGCCTATCGACCGATGCCGGGCGCGCGGGGCGCGGTGGGCCAACTGCGGGCGCTGGCGGCGGCCTGGCGGCCTGGCGGGCACTGGCGGGCACGCACGGTAGCTGGGTGACGCGCCAAACCCTGTCCAGGCCTTGGTCGCCAGGCCCTGTAGGCCGTCGGCCAGTCCGCGGCGCCAGTGTCGTTCGTTTCTCGTCGATCTGGCGTTTGCTGACGTGGAACTTCTCGGGGTTGGCGGTACACAGTGGGCCAGAAGACCGGTGGAGGCGGCCAAAACTCTAGACGCGCTTTGAGCTCCAGAGTCGCTAAATGGGACTCGAACCGAACATGTGACCCTACCAATGGATTGCTCGGGATTGCTCTCCGAACGAGGAATCCATTGGTGGGGTCACACGCTCGGTTCGAGCCCTGTTTAGCGGCTCTGGAGCTCAAAACGCGTCTCGAGTTTTGGCCGCCTCCACCGGTCTTCTGGACCACTGGGCGGTACTCATTCATAATCGTCATCACCAGGCCTCTGCAGATGTGCCTAGCCACGCCGAGTCGAGTACCTCGGGCCGTTGCTCGCGTACTCGTTGTTCGGACTGACTACCCGGGGCAGAAATGGCCGCGGTTCGTGGTGGGGCGAGGCGGGGCGGGGCGGCCTGGCCTCCAAGGCCTCCAGACCCCAAGAGTCAACGTGGAGCCGATTGGAGCGCGCCTGCACTGCGACTTGCATGACGCGTCCGATGAAAGTCAGCAGGCAAGTCGGAGGGCGGGGCGTGGCGGGGCGTGGCGGGGCGTGGTGGCCGGGCGGGGCGAGGCGGGGCGGGGCGGCCTGGCCTCCAAGGCCTCCAGACCCCAAGAGTCAACGTGGAGCCGATTGGAGCGCGCCTGCACTGCGACTTGCATGACGCGTCCGATGAAAGTCAGCAGGCAAGTCGGAGGGCGGGGCGTGGCGGGGCGTGGCGGGGCGTGGTGGCCGGGCGGGGCGGGGCGGGGCGGCCTGGCCTCCAAGGCCTCCAGACCCCAAGAGTCAACGTGGAGCCGATTGGAGCGCGCCTGCACTGCGACTTGCATGACGCGTCCGATGAAAGTCAGCAGGCAAGTCGGAGGGCGGGGCGTGGCGGGGCGTGGCGGGGCGTGGTGGCCGGGCGGGGCGGGGCGGGGCGGCCTGGCCTCCAAGGCCTCCAGACCCCAAGAGTCAACGTGGAGCCGATTGGAGCGCGCCTGCACTGCGACTTGCATGACGCGTCCGATGAAAGTCAGCAGGCAAGTCGGAGGGCGGGGCGTGGCGGGGCGTGGCGGGGCGCGGCGGGGCGCGGCGGGGTGCGGCGGGGCGCGGCGGGGCGTGGTGGCCGGGCGGGGCGGGCGGGAGGCGGTGCCCCCACCACTGCGGCCCCGGCTCGTGGGAGGGTGAAGCGTCAAAGGGCTGGCAGCCTCGCGCTCGCATTGGGCGTTGCCTGGTGTTGGCGCCAGGGGGTGGGGGCGCGTCGCGGACGTCGTGGAGGGGGTGGAGGGTGGATTAACCCCCAGGCCGCCGCCAGCCCGCCGCCAGCCCGCCGCCAGCCCGCCGCGTGCCTGCTGACCCATCCGGAGCCATGGCGTCGGAAGCCACTCCCCCGCCGTCCGCCCTGTCCGCCCCCGGCCCGGCCTGCCCCCGCGTGCCGCCGCCGTCGCCTCGTCGCCGCCCCCAGGACAGCCAGGACCGGCAGGGCTAGCGCGGCTGGCGCGGTGGCAGTTGTTTGATGCAGTGCCGTGCCGTGGCCGCACGCAGTGATGGTCCAGTGTTCGCCATGAAGAGTCCTCGCTCAGGGTCGTCCTCGGGGCAGAGTCCGCAGCACCTGCAGGACCACCAGGACCTCCAGGATTATCGCGGTGAGTTCCCGGCCGCCCGCCGAGTCCTCAGCATCCCCCGTGTCCTCGACGTGGTCGTGCTTGACGTGCTCCTGGAGGTCACCGAGCACGTGAGGTCCATGTGTTCGACGCGTCCTCCAGCGAATGACTTCGTCCATTGTGGTTGTCATCGGCGTCATCGCTGACGTGGACGTTAGCGATGCATGCCCTCACTGGTGATCCCTGGTCGATGCAGTGTCCTCGTTTCGACACCCAACGCCGTCGTTGGCTTCCTCTCGCCGTCGGCGAGCGATGTGCGTGCCACGCCGCTTTCTTCGGACCAGACTGATTTCGAAGAGTTGATCTGTCTCTGTCGCACTCGTGGGGCGTTCTGTCGGGGCGCGAGAAGGAGTAAGCAAGTGACCAGAGCGACGAAAGAACTTCCTGTATGGCTAAGCTAGGTTCGATGTACGTCGGCGCGGTCGTTGTGTATTCACCACATGTGCCGGCGAGCCCACATCCCCTCGACTGTCTCTCGCGAAGGGGGTTAGTCTGCGCGTGTCCACTGCGTGTGACGTCGACGCACCTTGTTGTGGCTGGGCACGATTCAAAACAAAATATACTCACATTGGTTGCGCGTTGCTATGCGTCGACACGACAAAACGAGTGTGCTTCCAATCCCCGGGTGGCTTGGCATCCGAGAACACCACAAAGGGCCGTTCTGGTCTGCCGGATTGGTCTCGCCTCCTGGAAATCCAGTGCATTTTAGTTGAAACGGACATTGCCTCTTTTCTCTATCATTTTTTAAAAACAATCTCCTATTATATTTTTTATACTTATAAAGAAGAACACGCTCGCAGTATTGTGTGTGTGTGTGTGCTGAAAGTAACGCTTGTTTGAGAGACATACCGTCGACGCAGAGGCCCAGAGCTGTTCGGCTCAAAACAGAAATAAATCAGCAAACATATTGAAAGGTGATGCATGCATACCCATGCTCCCAACGCGCAAACCAAGTCACCGAAGATAACCGGAAACAGCCTGACCCCATAAAGCTTTCCGGCCGTACTTTCTGTCTCGCGAAATATGAGAAGTAACGCGTGCGGAAAAACCTCGCGCCAAAAGTCAGCAAGGCCAAAACAGCCCAGTGTAGGCACGGTAGGCACCGAGGCGCAACAATCGCCGAACTCGGTCGCGTCTGGTCGCCTCCCTTTCCTCCTCAGCGGGCAGCAACATTGTCGTGGAGGCAAAGGCCCCATTATCCGCCTTTAAAATCGACGGTAGCAGCGAGGAGTCATCAGTGAGCCACTCAAAAAGGTTGATTAATGTTTTTCAATTCGCGGCTACGAAGTCTGCACTAAATTTGTTCGCCAGTGCGTACCCACGGCACTCAATCAGATCATTCGGCTCTGTTTCGATTAGATTACATTTGCTCCCACCCAGTCCGTTGGGTGGCCTACCTCCTTGCCCCGTGGCGTAGGCAACCCATTTGGCTGGTGTGCCCTTCGCTCTCCGTCCTCCTTGCCCAGTGGCGTAGGCAACCCATTTGACTGGTGTGCCCTTCGCTCTCCGTCCTCCTTCGGGCCGACTCGGAAGAGCCGTTTCATTTGCTCTGTCGCACTCACGTCGCGTTGCGTGAGGGAGCGACAGAGACAGAGCGCCGAAACGAAACGCCCTCCGGAATCGGCCGAAAGCGCGCCGGAAACTTGTTCCTTTCCCGCCGTTTTGTCAACGGCGTGTCACCGCCGCCATTATTTATCGCAGTGACGGTGAGCCGAACAAGGCAACAACGCAACAACGCCAACGAGCGAAGAAACAATGGCTTCTGGAAAAGTTTGGGGAAAACCCGGAATTAGATTGGCGCAGAGGGCGTCGCGCAGCGGCTCCGCGTCGGGCGGCCCCTAACCTCAAACCCATCCCCCGCCGCGCCGTGCCGTGCCTCGCCGTGCCGTGCCTCGCCGTGCCGTGCCGCATCACAAACGCGAACACGAAATCCCTCTCGCAATCCTCCGGCTGCCTCTAGCCGTTTGCTCGGCGGCCGCCAAAGAAAAAGAGCTATAAATATGGAGACATGTTGCTGTTGTTTGTTGTTGTTGTTGTTGTTGTTGTTGTTGTTGTTGCTGCTGCTGACTCCTTCAGTGCAGCGCGCCCTGAAATCCCTCCCTGATTACGATGCGGTGGCAGTCAAACTCGCCCCGCAAAAGAATGAGAAGAGAGTCAGGGAAGCGCCCAGAAGAAAAGTAAAGTCTCGCGCGTGCCGCGGCGTGCCGCCCGCCAGTTTGGGGATTACATTTCGTGTCATTTCCGTCTCCCTTCCACGCCGCGTTTCGCTGCCACCCTGTCGCTTCTGTTCCTGCCGAGGGTCGCGGGTACTTCAGAACGCCTTTCTAAAGCGGAAGGAAACAACAGAAACAACAACAAAAATAACCGCGGGACAACAAGGCGATAAAATAAACGTGCATAATCACGTCGCGTGAATTTCTCCCAAGTATGTTATTTGCGCGTTGTCGACTGTTTTCTCTCTTAAAGTCTCGCCGCAGAGAGCTTTTGGCGTCTACTGTACCGCATTCATATTCCCAGAGAGAACAGCAAGTCAAAACGATGTCAAAATGAACTCAAACTGATTTTGGAGGATGTTGTGTTGACGTCAGAATGTCATCCTTAGGCATCTATGACCTCACCTTATGACCTGCTTGTTCTCCGATGTGTTGCTCGGCCCAAGCGCACCTCGCGTTTAGGTCACTCGACATGGTCACCGGATTCCTGTGGCAGAGGCAAGGGTAACGTTGGTGCTGCTGTTACTCTGCCCAGCGCTCGCTCGAACCCTCACATGTGCACTGATTTTTAATGTGCGTATGCAATTTGAAAAGGCCTTGGTGATAAACTGTTTGGAGCGACCGATCATGATGCGTTTCGCGCGGGAAATGCAGCACGAAAGGGCCTTGCTGGTAAATCTTGAAAGAATAATGCAAACCTGTCGGTGCTGCCTTTAAGAACGGACTCTTCCCCTCCATTAAAATATTTTAATTTCGTTTACGGAAACAGCATGTTTGCAAACGCTTACGAGGCTTACGTCGACCGGCACGTGACCCTTACCATCCCCTGGCAAAGATTTCCAATCGAAAGAACGCGGGTTCGCCACCCCAAGTCGCAGCGCGACTGAAGTGAGGAGCATGCATCGCCGATCCCGCGACGGCCGAAACGGGAATACAATTACAGAATCAAAACCAACAACACCGTCACGGCAGCCGCTCCCCCACCCCATCCCATTCCTCTCCGTCTTCGCCGAGGTCAACATGTTCCCCTCCTGCCGCACCCTCGCCGCCACAAAGCTGGCATTGTGCGCGCAGTAACCTCATATTAATAAGGCCAATAAAATGTCATGGATAGAATACCAATTTGTCGAGAGTGCAGGCTAAAGTGATAGAGGCGTGCGGTGGGCGGGGTGGCGGCGGCCCGGCGCCGCGGCTTAGCGTGTGGGGTGGCTGCCTGCCTGCCTGCTCGAGGGGTGGGTGACAATCAATTTAGGCCGATTGAATTTCCCGCAGGTTAGGAATGAACGCACTTAAGGACGCGCCCCTCGCTGCGCGACGCTGCGCCGCTGACGCCTCGCGCCGCCATTCGCCACTTAAGCCTCAAGGGCGCGAGCGCGCGAGGGGAGCGTCGCGGTTCGGGAAGTTACAAAAAAGAAGATGGAAAAAAAAGGGAGTGGAATAAAATGAGACGCGGAAATAAGGGGGATTGCTCTGCGCCTCTTCGCGCGGTGTCGCGGCCCCGCTTTGGAAGGAAGCACATGTGCGCGCGGGCGGGGAGAGAGAGAGAGAGAGAGAATGAGAGCCCTACCGGAAAGTTGGCAAATTTCTTTGTAAAGTTGCCGCTACAATTCCTGTTCAAAGAAGAAGAAGGAGGAGAAGGGGTGCCTTGCAGTGCAGGTGCTCGGCGTGTGTGTTGGCTGGCTGGCCCCGCCGCCCCGTCCGACATCACGGCACGGCCGAGTGGACGGCTCTATCTTGCACACCGTGAGAGAGGGAGAGAGGGAGAGAGAGAGAGAGAGAGAGAGAGAGAGAGGGCGAAGAGGAGGGAGTGGAGGAGAGAGAGAGAGAGAGAGAGAGAGAGAGGGAGAGAGAGAGAGAGAGAGAGAGAGAGAGAGAGAGAGGGAGAGAGAGAGGGAGAGAGAGAGAGCGCTGACCGCGACGCACTTCATGTTTCTCACCCCATTAGAGGGAAGTGCCTCCTTCCGCACGACGTGCCACCCCCTCGTGTCCGCGTGCCTCTCCCCCGACAGTGTCGCCGCCACGCCGCGCCGCGCCCCCGCCACGGTGTCGGCCGGCTGGTCGCCGAGTACAGGAAGAAGCAATTTGCGAAATTTCATTAGCATATCTATTCCGTCGTCGGCGGGCGCGGAGGGCGGGCCGGGGGCAGGGGGAGGGGTAGGTTCTTTACTTGGCGCCTGATGCTCGCCTCGCGCAGCAGGGAAGGGAAAGGGGGGGGGGAAGGGTTGAGTGGGATTCGACTTGATTGGTGGCAAGCAAAGCCCCACCTCGCCAGCGAAAGGGCGCGCACTGCGTCACTGCCAGGAATTGAGTTAAGTCTCTGTCTGTGCGCGTGTCTGTCTGTATGTCTGTCTGTCTGTCTGTCTGTCAGTCTGTCTGTCTGTCTGTCTGTCTGTCTGTCCGTCCGTCTGTCGAGGAGTGCGTCCGCCCTGAGACGGCACATGCGCCCCGACGGTGAGATAATTAAACTTGAGATTTAGCGGCGTCTAATTATCACCGACTTCGTGATCGCCTCAAAGGGTGCTGCCGCTGCCGTCTCAGAGACGCTCCGGCACTCCGAGACGCTCCCGGGCTTTCGCCTCGCAGCCTTGCGCGGCGCGCAGGAAAATGTCGAATTATCCACGCTCTCACCTGCGGAGTGACTCCGAAGACTTCGTCGCTCTGTCTCTCTCGCACCGCAACGGAGTGGCGACCCACGAGTGCGAAAGACTCAGGCTGCCGCCGGCACGCGCGATGCGAGTCTTGGGGACTCCAGCCCCCAAGTCTCCGGCACGGCCATCCTCCGCGCCGCCTTCGTCGTCGTCGTCTTGAACACTCTCGGCAGTGCCGCCACCCAAATGTCATTAAACACCGCTGCTGCCCGCTGAGCTGCCTAAGCCTGCAGCAAGGGCCGGCCGGGCGGCCGGGCGGCCAGGAGGGGTGGGGGGTGATTACACGCCAGATGCGCTGCTGGGGGTGGAGCAGGCAAACCGGGCCCGACCGGGCCGGGCAGCGGATAATTAATTTTCGATTGGGCTGCGATTTGACACTTGGTTGTGTTGGTAGTACCGGCGGTAATGGCAGCGGCCCGACTTGTTGAGGGCGCCACCTGTGCGCACCTGTGCATGATTACACGCACGCATTGATTCCGCCGCTGTCTCTCTCACACCCACATGCAACGCGCCACTGGTGGGAGAGAGACAGAGCGAGTGTTTGGCATCCCGTTGCATGCACTGAAAATCCAAACGCTATGAGTATAGCGTCAACTGGTGCGATGCAAAAGCATTGCACATGAAGTGCAATGCCTCCCCATTCCCTGCATTTGCATAGGGCATTTTCGGGACCATGACGTAAGGTGCAATATGGCTATCGCATAGCACGTATGGTGCGATATCTCAGCTGCATTGCACCATACGTGCTATACTCATAGCGTTTGGAATCTCTGTGTGCAGTCAGTCAGAGGGGGTTCAGCTTGCGTGTCAAAATGGGAATCGAACCTGAAACCCGTGCCCTCACTGAGAATGAAAGAGTCATGATCATGACTAAAATTTTGGGCGAGGGGGTTGGGGTCATACAATACTATGGAGCTATGTAGGTCTGATACACCCTTCCTCACCGAATTTTGGGCGAGAAAGCCTTCCTCGCCCGAAATAGGGTATCAGCCTTCCTCGCCCAAAATTGGGTATTGATCATGACTTTTTCATTCTCAGTGCTTGGCGTGGGAGACTGACTCCAGGCTTTTGTTCCAGACGCGTCGTCCTGCTCGCCGCGGCCGCTGTCGCTGTGCCTGAACGCGTCGTGCCCGCAGGGGGGCCCCCAGGGGGGCACGCAGGGCGCGCTGCCGGCGTCGCTGCAGCCGCTGCCGCCGACGTCGCTGGGCGGCCAGCTGGCGCCGGGCAGCCTGGTGAGCACGCACGCCCCCAGCCACCTGGCCGGCCTGAGCGTGCCGTCGTCCGCCTTCCACTTCGGGCCGCTGACGCCGCCGCCCAGCGCGCCCCTGTCGCTGGCCGTGCCCGTGTCGTCCGCCAGCGCGGCCACCACGGCGCACGGCGGCGCGCTGGGCGCCACCAAGGGCCGCGGCAACCTCGGCCTCCAGTGCGTCGTCTGCGGCGACGTCAGCTCCGGCAAGCACTACGGCATCCTCGCCTGCAACGGCTGCAGCGGCTTCTTCAAGCGCAGCGTGCGCAGGAAACTCATCTACAGGTCAGTCCGCCCGCCCGCCTGTCCGTCTGTCTGTCTGTCTGTCTGTCTGTCTGTCTGTCTGTCTGTTCGCGGGCAGAAAGGGGTCGCTCTTGGTGAGAATTAGCGCGGCCCTGATGGGCCTGAATCTGCAGAGGATCATTCCTGGTCTAGCCTATCATGGTTATACTGCAGTAATGCAGTGCATTCGTACCAAAGTTGAGGTTCAGGCCTTGTTCTGTGCACCGACTTTCAGTGCAGAGCAATCAAATCAGGCAGAACTTCCCACTCTTACACCTGCTCTCACTCCCACACACACACATACACGCACAAGAGCGACACAAGACGAGCAGCAGCAAGCGTGCTTGCCGGAGAATCGAATTCCACCGCCGTCGCCTTTCACCAACAACATGTTGAGAGCACACGCGCACGCGCGTGCGCACACATACACAGTGTCACACACACGCACGCACACACACACACACACACACACACACACACACACACACACTCACACGCGCACGCACGACTGCTGCGAATCCAATTATTGGCGGAGTGACAATGGGTCACAAGGCCCGCCTCGACGGCAGCGACACGCACAGCCACCCCGACAAGCAGCGGCAGCCGCGGCAGCGCTGTGCTGAAAACCTTGTTCAATCAAATTTGTTTAAATCCGCGCGCGCCACTTTCTATTTTTTGTGCCTTTTTATACTCTCTCTCTCTCTCTCTCTCTCTCTCTCTCTCTCTCTCTCTCTCTCTCTCTCTCTCCCTCTCTCTCTCTCCGAGATTAAGGCAGGCGCCGTTGAAAGCGAGCCCCGGCGGGGCGGCCATCAAATCCGCAAGCCATTGCCGCAAAGGTTCGGGGTAAGCTGTCGCGTCCTGACGGCATGCCATTACACGTTTCGCGCGGCGATGGTCGCGGCGAGGGATGGGAGGGGGAAGGGGCGAGCGGGGAGGGAAGAGGGGAAGGTGGGGAGGGGGAAGGGCCGCAGCTGCGGGCCGGGTTGCTAGTGGCGCAGTTTAATGGGGTTGGAGCCCAAGTGGCGCGGGGTCGGGGTGGGGGAGCTTTAAAGTATCGTTATGTCTATACGGAGGGTGGCGGCCGGTGCCGGCCAGGGCGACGGACGGAGGGAGGGAGGGAGCGAATAGAGAATTGATTCATGTCAAGGATCAGATGCGTTCAGGCTAAACGGATTATGGTTAGATGGGCCGGTGGCGCTGTGCCGCCGGACCAGCGGCGCGGCGCTGCGTGGTTCTTGTGGCATGTGGCGCCGCCGAGGGGTGACCCACTGTAAAATTTTGTGTGACAATGATTGTGTGAATGTGCAAGAATGTGCAAGATTTCTGGCGTTTTTGCCACACATGTTGCCTACTTACAGGCGTTTTAGCCACCTGAATGTGGAATGTAGTCAAATTTTGTCCAACGAATGTGGGAAGCTGTTCCCCCCTCGGGCCCCTGTTTCCCCCACTCCGCCACATGGAGGCAGGAACAAGTCCAGGAATCGGGGGGCAAGATGATCCCTTGACTGGTTGCGAAACCAAGAAGAATCCTTTTGTTTATGCTGCGAGTTGTTTGTGGTGCAACGATCAATGACACCCTTTATCCAGAAAGGTTAGGTCTTAACCAGCTTTTTAAAACATTTCAGTGGTCTCATGGCGCTAGTACGTCACCGTCGACTGCAACTGTTATTTGTGGTGGTTATGTTGACATCAGGGTCTTTGAGTCGGTGCACCATTGCGAAGAAAATCCACCAAATTTTAGTCCATTTGATGTAAAATTGACATTGGTTTTGGGGTTTTTGCCAAGTAGGGGCGTGGGCGAGAAGTGTAGTTAGGGAGAAGAAAAACACCCAAAAGGGGTGACCAAAATCAGCCCAATTTGGCGTGAACTGTCATGCCGCTTTTTGGATGACATTTTTAAAAGCGTCGATCACGAGAGAGGGAGGATCAATTGGCTGGCGGGTGTCAGCCCAATTTCTGGCTCACCTCTCGTCACGCCTTTTCATTTTCCGAAACGTTTTACTTGGGGTTTTGGGCCTCGGACCCAGAGAGTGCCCTCAACCCCAAACCCCTCTCCCCTCCGGAGATAAAGAAGGGAGGAGGGGATCAATTTGGGGACGGGATTCAACCCGGAGGGATAAAATGATTTTTGGGGGGCTTACCACCAGCGTGCCCCCCCCCCCTCCAACAAGGGGGGGGTTTTGGGGAAGGGGGGGCCGGAGGAATTCCAAACTTGGCAGGGGCTCAATGCGGCCGGGGTGGGGGACGCCGTGGTCTAGGGGTTGGCGTGCCGGAACTAGAAGCCGACAAGTCGGGTTCGAATCCACCTGACGTGGGATTTGAGCTTCCCCCGGGTGGATGCAGGGTTTCGCACGATTAATAAACCTATCTAAGTTACGTACGGATGCGAAAGGTTTAGCTTGGAATTCGGATGACTTCATCTGTAAGATTTCTTTGTCCGTACCTTAGATATGATTTTTTTTAAAACAAGGAAACCGTTGCAACACTGTAAACATCGTCCGTTCTACAAGCTACTATCCGTGATGACGCATGGAAAAAATACTTAGTCAGTCCAACCAAATTTTAGTTAGCACAACCGATGCTTCGGGTGGTTTTGGCCCAACTAAGATGTTCCGTACAAGTAACGAAAATTTCGTCAGAAGCACTGAAAATCTATCGGCGTGACTTCGTGCCGCTGTAGGGGCGTGAATGAAGTGTCACGCCATTAAACGGCATGACAGAAAAGTCACGCCAAAAATCGGTGTGACTCAAAAATTCACGCCAATTTTTGGCGTGAATTTCTTGTCATGCCGCTTTTTGGCATGACATTTCTCTTAAAAGGCGTCGTCATTCACGCCAGATGAGGGCGTGACTCACATGTCACGCCGTTTTTCGGCGTGAATTTTGTGTCACGCCAATTAGTGGCGTGACTCTTTGTCACGCCATAATTTGGCTATGTGTCCGACCATTACGTTTTCAGTGAGAGCAGAAAAGTTTGTTGCTTAATTCTTGATTCGGTCGTGCCAACCAAGGAATTCACTGCTGCAACGGACTTTCCGCTCTTCTAACAAATTTTTCGCTCTTCAAACGCAATTTTTGTTACTGGAACAAAAAATCTTAGTTGGGTCAAAACCAACCGAAGCATCGGTTGCACCAACTAATTTTTTTTTCCGTGCGGTTTCGCAAAATGGTGCTTTTGAGTGCGTCTGCGCGCTGTTGTTGCTGTGCTGCGCGCTGGCTGCCTTTGCCGCGTGTCAGGAGCCAGGCCAAGCCGGGCGGGTGGGTGGCGGGCCTTGGCGGGGAGAATGGCCCCGGGCCGCGGGAGGCGGGGCCTAGCGGAGCCAAGCCAAGACCCGCCACCCCGAGGCCGAGGCGCCGCGCCGGGGAGGGGCGGGGCGCGAACCGGGCGAACCTCAATCTTGAGATTGCTTTTGCGCAACTTGAGGCGCGACCCCCTCCCTCTCCCTCCCTTCCCGCGGCACCACGGCGCTGTAGCACTACAGCGCCAGCGCCACCAGCCACCCTTCGCTCGCTGTCCTCTTTAGCACCTGGCGGGGTGGGGCGAGGCGCAGGCTAGCCTGGAGATCAAAATGGCTGCAAGTGCTTGCTGGAGACACTACTGTGCACGGTAAAAACGGTTCTTGGTTTTCGCAGGAACTTACTGGAAATCGCCTATGCCTTCACCATTGGCTTCCTGGGAAAAGCAGGTTCCGTTTTTACCGTGTGGAGCAAAAGAAATCGCAAGGGTCATAGCCACCCTGAACGGGGTTGAAGAAGCACTTCTTGCCAACCTTTCAGTCGGTCCGAAGCGGGCCCCTTTCTCCTCCAACCTGCAAGGCGTGCCACAGTGGGCCAGGAGACCGGTGGAGGCGGCCAAAACTCTAGACGCGTTTTGAGCTCTAGAGTCGCCAAATGGGACTAGAATCGAACGTGTGACCCCACCAATGGATTGCTCTCCGCACGAGGAATCCATTGGTGGGGTCACACGTTCGGTTCGAGTCCCATTTAGCGACTGTGGAGCTCAAAACGCGTCTAGAGTTTCGGCCGCCTCCACCGGTCTTCTGGCCCACTGTGCGTGCCCCACTTGGGTCAGGCAACAAACGGTATGTGCGGTTCTGGTCGCCGCTTTGACCTGCTCGCCTGCGCACGCACGACCGCGTTTTTGTCCGAGGCGCCCTCACACTCACAGGCCTTTGACCGCCTTTGACCACGCGGAGGAGTGCGTCCGCCTCCACCGCGTCCATCGCGTCGGCCGGCAAGGCGCCCTCAGCCCCGCGGTGGTGCTGCGGGGCGCGGCGGGGCGCGGCGGGGCGCGGCGGGGCGCGGCGGGGCGCGGCGGGGCGCGGCGGGGCGCGGGGCCGTAATCGTCCTTTTGTGGTCGCTGGCGTACAAGTCGCGTACTTTCTTTCTCCACCCCGCTTGTTGTCTTTCCGGCGACGCCTCGCTGACTCGCGGGCTGCTCGGGAGGCGCGCCGCCGCCTCGCCGCGCCCGAACCGTCGCCGGCTCGCCCCGCCGCCTGCGCCGCCTGCGCCGCCTCGCTGCTTCAAAGGTTGTTCTGCATGAGCGGCCCGCGTCGCTGTCCACACCTCCAGCCTCCAGCAGCCTCCAGCAGGGCGGCGCAGAGGCCGCCGACGCCGGGCGAATTTCAACACGGCGCGGTGGCGGCGCGGCGGCCTGCAGCACGAGGGGACCGGAGGGGACCGCGGGGTGGGGCGAGGCGTGGCGTTATTAAAAGAGTGGGGTCACGCCACACCGAGTGCCTTCGGTCAGGTTAGGCGGGGTCAGGTTGGGTCGAGCCTGAGGTAGCGGGGCACAGTGGGCCAGAAGACCGGTGGAGGCGGTCAAAACTCTAGACGCGTTTTGAGGTCCACAGTCGCTAAACAGGACTAGAATTGAACGTGTGACCCAAGACGCGTCTAGAGTTTTGACCGCCTCCACCGGTCTTCTGGCCCACTGTGCGGGGGCACACTCTGCAGAGTGCGGATTCAGGATCCTCACGGGAAGGGAGAAAAATATCGTGCTCTTTGCCTACACTTATGTGCACACTTACATGTGCCTCTTGCCTAGGCGGTCCCGAAACGAAAACAAATTGTTGTTGTTGTTGTTTGCAGATGCCAGGCCGGCACGGGCCGGTGCATCGTGGACAAGGCGCACCGGAACCAGTGCCAGGCGTGCCGGCTCAAGAAGTGCCTGCAGATGGGCATGAACAAGGACGGTGAGTTTTTAACCCGCTTCCCTAATAACTCGATTACGATGACCCTCCTCCCTCTCCCCTCCCCTCCCCTGGCGTCGTGGCCATCGATTGTCACAACTTTGCGGCGGCTTCTCGTCCCTAACGACGCCAATCACCGGGAGAATCCCCCCCCCTCCTCTCTTTTCCTGTCCTTTGCCGCCCGCCTGATACGTTTCCCCGAAGTTAGTTTGCCGTAAGCCTCCCCGTCCGACACTCTGTTGAGAGAGAGAGAGGAGAGAGAGAGAGAGAGAGAGAGAGAGAGAGAGAGAGAGAGAGAGAGAGAGAGAGAGAGAGAGAGAGAGAGAGAGAGAGAGAGAGAGAGAGAGAGAGAGCAGGAGGTTCACGAGTTCCGCGCGCGCTTTGTTCGTCAAAAAAGCAACTGGCGGATTGACTGTTGGACTGGCTGAATGACGGACCAGCGGACCGTCGGACTCACGGGGTGCTCCGCACAGTGTGCCAGAAGACCGGTGGAGGCGGCCAAAACTCGAGACGCGTTTTGAGCTCCAGAGTCGCTGAATGGGACTCGAATCGAACGTGTGACCCCACCAATGACTTCCTCCTTCGGAGAGCAATCCATTGGTGGGGTCACACGCTCGGTTCGAGTCCCATTTAGCGACTCTGGAGCTCAAAACGCGTCCGGCACTTTGGCCGCCTCCGCCGCCACACTCGTTACCGCGGTTACCGCGGTCACCGTGGCGCCGCTCGGTTCCAGCAATTAGGCGATGCGCTAACATCTGCATAAGGCGCGTGCCGGGGCGCGTGGCGCCGCGCGGCGAGGAGCGGCGGCCGCCACTTTACAAAGAGAGCGTCGCGACGATGATGCGCGATGCGCAGAGCGCACCAAAGCGCGGCTAATGGCTCTCTCTCTCTCTCTCTCTCCTCTCGCTCTCTCCCTGAGTCTTCGCGCCTGGCGCGCAGGCAGCGTGGGCGCTCGCACGCTCGGCGGGACTGCCTACCGCGCGGGCTGAACGCGCGGCGCGGAGACACGGACAGAGACAGGACGAAAGGAGGAAGAGAAAGAGAGAGAGAGACAGGCAAAAGAGACAAAGAAAGAGAAAGAAACACCTCGGCTAGCCACAATTAGACGGGGCGGAGCAGCAGTACGCCGCGCACAGAGACGACGACGGCGCGGCGAGGGCGGGGCGGGGCGGGGCGGGGCGGGGCGGGGCGGGGCGGGGCGGGCGAGGGCGTGCCAAAAAACGTGTCAAACGAATTATGCAAATAATCCCCGCGAGGCTGCTACACCGGGGGGTCGGCTACAGTCGCCTCCTCCTTCTCACGGGGGCGGGACGTCCCCCACCCCGCCCCGCCCCGCCCGCCCCGCCCACCCCGCCCCGCCCCGCCCCGCCCCCCCCCACGCCGCGCGCCCCGCCCGCAAAGTTTGCAGCGTTATTCAACCAAACCTCATTATTCCACGAAACAGTGCCCGCTCGCCCTCTGCTCGGCGCGTGGCGTGGCGGGGCGTGGCGGGGCGTGGCGGCCGCGGGAACAACAGCGAAAGAAACAAGGGTGGCGCGCCAGGGATGGAGGTGGGGTGGGGTGGGGGGGACAGTGTTTAGTCGTATGACGTAACGCACGTAACAGGGCGCGAGCTTGCGCGAGCGAGGCAAAGGCACACAGACGATGACGGACGATGAGGCTTCCCTCTCCGTGACCGCCCCAGTGCCCCGCAGTGCCCCGCAGTGCCCGACCTGACAGGCGCACGCCGCCGTCTGTCTCTCTCGCACTCAAGGCCGCCCCGTGAAGGCGCGAGAGAGACAGAGCGACGAGAGCGCCTCCCGGAATGAGTCTGTGCCTAACACGCGCTCCACACAACTTGACAGCAGCGCCGGGCTCGGCCGGGCTCCGCACACGCGGCGCTTCTCGCGTGGAGTTCGGAGTTTCGACGAGGCGGGCCTCCACCGCCGCAAGCTCATTCCGAATTCCGGTTCGTCGCTCTGTCTCTGTCGCACTCACGGGGCGTCCCGCAGGGGTGCGAGAGAGACGAAGAGGCGGTGCACAGTGGGCCAGAAGACCGGTGGAGGCGGCCAAAACTCCAGACGCGTTTTGAGCTCCAGAGTCGCTATAAAGAGGACTCGAACCGAACGTGTGACCCCACCAATGGATTGCTCTCCGAACGAGGAATTCGTTGGTAGGGTCACACATTCGGTTCGAGCCCCATTTAGCGACTCTGGAGCTCAAAACGCGCGTAGAGTTTTGGCCGCCTCCACCGGTCTTCTGGCCCACTGTGTGCCCCCTGTTTTGGCCGCAGCGGGCACGGCCGCGCTGCCGCGCACGGCGCGGGCATGGCGGGGGTCCTCGGGTGGAGCGTGACGTCAAGCTGGCGGGAGTGAGGGAGTGAGAGAGTTGGGTGCCGGAGGGCTGGTGGGCCGGCGGGCCGGCGGCTGCAGGAGGGTGCACGTCGTCGCGCTGCTGGTCGCGCTGCTGGTCGCGCTGCTCGCCCTGCCCGCCCTGGACCCGCGGGCGGGATGCCGGCGCGGCACCGCGGGGGGCCTCAGCCCGCCTTTGGGAAGGGAAGGCACGCCTCGCTGGTTCGCACATAACTTTGTCCGTGCCGTGGGCCGTGGCTGCAGCTCGTGTCTCTCTCGCACCCTCGCGGCGCCCCCCAGGGGTGCGAGAGAGACAGAGCGACGAGCCGTTGTGCTGGCGGTGCTGGCTGGGCCGTGCGCCAGTGACTGAGTGCGTGGTGCCCTCGGGGCGGGGTGGGGCCCGGGGCCCAGGGCGGGGTGGGAAAACATCCAACTCAGCTTCCAAACGTCCCAAACGTCTGTCTCGCGCCGTCCGCGACGCTTCATGAGAGCGACAAGCGACGAAGACTCTGCCTGGCAGAGCGACGGAGTCCTCTGCTGGGCGCCGCCGCCGCCGTTCAGAGTCTGAAAGTCTGAACGGTAAACGCGTCCGTTTGTTTTTGGCAGTCGGACGCAGCGCGCGCCGCGGCCGAACAAAACCCGAACGATTACCGCATGCCTCCCCCCCACCCCCACCCCCGGCCGGACCACACGCGGACCCGCAAGCAACGCGCAGCGGAGCAGCGCCTGTTATGACAGCGGGACAAACAGCCTTACCTCACCTGTCAGTGGCAGTGGCAGCCAGCGGCCGCCAGCCGACATCCCGACATCCCTCGCGGACCGCCGCACTGCGCCGCACACGGCCCACCTCACCTGCGCAAACAATAGTTGTGACTCCCGCCGCGTCTGGAGCGCTGCGCTCGGCGCGCTCGGCGCGGCGCCTCCGCATGCGTTTGAAGGGCGGCCACTGATTGCTTCCCGCCGGCCGACCTAACCTAGACAGTCAGAGTGACCAACCTGACTACACTGAAAAACCAAACGTGGTCTGGACAGCACCACTGGTGTGGTCAAATGGGTGCCATTATAGCAACACTAGACCAACTTAACCTAGCAATTAAGAGTGACTGACCTGACCGTCCCCATCCGGCGTGACGGCTTGACCAACCTAACCTCACTGCGAGAAAAAAGTACAGAAAAAGTACGGAACATATCTGGTCAATAATTTGCTGTACTATTTTTCCGTACCCGATTACATGAGTTCTTATGGAACAGGTACGGACGTTCCGTACTTTTTTCCGTACTTCCGTACTATATTTGTCTGTACATTTTCCGTACAAAAGTACGGAATTTTTTTACAGGGCTCACTTTGTTGTGACGAGACTCGTGTTGTGTTGCAGCCGTGCAGAATGAGCGCCAGCCACGCAACACCGCCACCATCCGGCCGGAGGCGCTGGTGGAGATGGACCAGGAGCGCGCCCTCAGGGAGGCGGCCGTGGCCGTCGGCGTCTTCGGGTGAGTCGAGGCTGAAGGCGGGGATCACGGCCGCGCGGACGCGGCGCGCGTTTTGAATCTGAAAAGAAAGTGGATTAGCGGCGGAGGCTGCCGAGAATAATCAATTAATGGAAATGAGGTGTCGCGGTGGCAAAGCTAGCGGGTGAAGTGCGATCGCAGGACTTTTTGATGCGTGGATTTTGAAGGCCGGATCGAAGGGATATCTGGCCCGCCCTGCCTCCGCGTGGTCCACTTCGCGGTTCACTGGGCAGTGAGGTCGCGGCTCGGGCGGGCAAAGGGCTAAAGGGCCACAGAGCCAAAGGGCCAGCCAGGTGAGCAGGTGGCCGGCAGGTGGCAGGCCAAACCGTGAAAGGTCACGTTTCGGCCCTTCACGCGCCGCGATCAAAGACTGGCACAGCAATGGCAGTCACGGCCGGGGAAAAAAATGGGGAAAAGGGGAAAACAAAAGAAAGACTCGATATTTTCCAAGCTAAAATAATGTTTATACTCTTTGGATTTTTCTTTGTGCTTTTGACTCGTGATGACTCGAAAGTCCCCAGTTTAGTTTAGTGTTTCGCTCTCTTCGGCGGACTTTGGTCGCCTCTGGCGGCTACTGGGTAGTCGTTTGTCACTCCGCACCAGCTGGGACCCAGCCTGGGACGCTACAGCACAAGAAGTCATGCGGACGTCAATGCTCGGGGGGACTGGTGCCGGCGGGCTGCTCTGCGCTCTGCTCCGGGTCGCTGGGCCAGGCTAAAGCGTTTGTAATGGGACTTGCTGGGCCGCGCTAATCCGCTGCATCTGTTGCTGGCTGGCTGGCTGGCGGTATTTCCATAAAGGCCGCCAGAGGGGTGGTGGCGCCGCGACGTACTACGACGCGACGCGCGCCTCGTGCCGCGGGTCGTCGCGGTCGTCATGTAAGAAGAAGTGTTCCTTGTGTCGGCAGGCCGCCCGTGGGGCTCGCGATGGGCTTCTCGCCCGTCAGGTACACGCAGGGCGTCCAGGGCATGACGCTGCCGCCGCAGAGCCCCGGCAACTCCAAGGACGACGTGGACGACGGTGAGTACAGCGTCGTCAACCTCAAACCTCGACCACTTTTTTTCGCGACCGAAGGCAAAATTTGGTCCATTTGGGTTAGAACGACGTGAAGTAACGTCATTTTGACCCGATATTGACCACTCCTTGTTCCACTTGGACATATAATTAGGTTAAAGTGTTAAATTTGATGCCCTAGTTATATAACTCACACAAAGACACATAAACAAAGCTGGACTTAAAACTGAGAACCTTTAGGTTTATAACAAGGAACCTGCAGATGCGACGCCTTTTTTCTCCTATCTCATACACCGGAGAAGTGGCCGAGGTATGCTGCTGTCCTGCAGTAGTGTTTTGTTTCTGAATTTATCTGCAGCTTTCCTTTCGCGGGGCGAGCCTCTCTGACGCAGACGAATGTTCTCTGTGTGTGTCTATGTGGGTGTGGGGCCCCACCCATGAATGTTAAGCAGGCATCGGATCAGCTGGACACCCCGGTATACACTGGTGTCCATCCCCGAGCAGTGCAAGTGCTTCGGGAGGGAAGGGGAGGCTACAGTGAAAGAAAAAGGAACGAGGAATGGAAGCGAAACAAAATTCGAAGCTAGGTCAAAATCCATGAACCAATCATGTGTGTGCACCGTCCACGATTTTTTCCGTGCCACTTAATTTTGATAGTGTGGTACAGTCTGCCGGAGAAGTCGATGGAAGGCCAGTACTTTTGGTCCTGGCTGTCCTCTCTACTTTTTGCTCCGAGTGCTTCGGAGATATGACTCAGCGTTCGCCGTGAGTGGTGAGATTAGAGAGTCATCTTGACGTTGGTCGGCCTGCCGCGACTCGTCGTTATGGAGCAGAAATTTAATGCAACGCTAATCATCGGCATCACGCTTCAAAGTACGTCCATAACCGACGGAAGAAAGGAATTTAGTACACCTTGGCTTTAAAGTTACTTCACTTATTTCAACCAATTCACTTAAACTTATTTCAACTTCTGTCCGAAAAAATCAATATGTTTGCCCATTTTTCTTTGCAGAAACACTATCTCAACGGCTTAACATTTTTCATGGGGATAAAAAAGAAATACATACGTTGTAAAAGGCTGGAAAATATCAATGTCGTTGTTTCGTTTTGCAAAAATTAAATTAAAAATCAATTATCATTAAAGAATCTAAAGTGCCTGCTTCTTTGATGGTGTGAAGCCCTCTCAGGGTAAGGTCATATGGAAGATAGGTCTGCGCAACCGAGATGCATGCTGGGAGACCGGGCAAGCCGGCAGGCAGGCTGGCAGGCAGGTAGGCGGTCCTCCGCTGCGGCCGGCGACGGATTCGGGAGGGATTAGCTGCCCGGTCTCCCAGCATGCATCTCGGTTGCGCAGACCTATCTTCCATATGACCTTACTTCAGGGCGGTCAAGTTCGCCATGACTCGCTCGCACCGCCACGCACTCGGATTGAAAGCTTCGCTGAAGGCCTGAAGAAGGCGGCCTGAAGGCGCGCCGTCGAGAGGAAGAACGACTTGGCACTGTTTTATGTAATCATTGCGCCGTACTGTAGCCAAGGCCCGGCGGGTCGGCATGCAAAAGCCGAGAGGAAGTGCCGTCGGGATTACAAGGGACTGCCTTCCTGCTCTTTCGTCGCTCCGTCTCCGTCGCACCCCTTGCGGAGAGCCCCGTGAGCGCGAGAGAGACGGAGGAGCGCAGGTTCCGGGACTTTGGTCCGGGATTACGGCTTGTAATTCATGACTACGGGGATGAATAGGCAGAGCGACTTGAGGCGTTATTTTCACCAATGTTTTTGCCAGAGAGAGAGTGAGAGAGAGAGTGAGAGAGAGAGCGCTCTGCTTGGCCATTGGCTGCGGGCGGGCTCAGAGGCGGCGCGCGTCGGGACCAAGTCGCTCAGAAGGAATCGCTGCCTCAGCTCAGGGCGTCCGGGGAGGAAGGCGGGGAGGGGAGGGGGGAGTTGTCTCTTTGTGGCCCAGCCCGGCCCAGCCTGCGTCGAGCAAAGCGAGCAAAGCCCTTGTCCCAGCCCGGCCTTCGATTGAATTGTTGGTCTCCAGAGGGCAGCGGCGGCAGGGGGAAGGGAGCGGAGCGGAGCGCGCGGCCCCGATTCCGAAGACTCTGCCAGCGATTCGGAATTTTGCTTTCTGGGGGGCCGACCCTCCGACCCTCCGACCCTAGTCGACCCGACGAGACTCGACTGGCTGCTGAGCCCCTTGCAATCCGGGGCCGTCCGGGGCGGGCAGGCTTTTCCGGGGCGTGACAGGGTGGGGGGGGGAAGCAATCGGCGAGGGAGAAACGGCGGGGATGGAGGCGCCCAAGGAAAGGGCGGCACGGAGCGGAGGGTCTCGGAAAGGAGCGGCGCGAAAGCGGCGTTTGGTTGCCCCGGCACCTGGAGGCTGGAGGTGGTCGAGGTTGTGGCGGTGAAAAAACACTCACACCAAAACAAGGCACTCGCAGACAGCACACAAGTCTGCACTCGAGAGTACTTTGAATCCAAGAGCTTCCGCGGTTTTGAGACCTGGGCGGGAAGCGCCTGCCACGCGCAGGGTAGGCAACCCCGCGGCAGTGTGCTCGGCAGGACGGCCCGACCGCCATTACCATTACCATCAAGGGCCAGAGTCTGGCCGCCAGACCACGCATGATCGTGTGCCATTTCGGCGGCGGCCGTCGAGACCTTGGTTTTCCTGTATCGTCTCGAAGCCAAGCTACTGCACTAAGCCTTTAAGACCCGAGTTATCGCAAAACTAACCTCAAAACTGGCACTTTTCACCGACAGGTCTGAGGAAGGAATACGTAGTTTAATAGGCAGCAGGACGAAAAGCAAAGTAAACACCACATGACTGATGCGCCCCTTTATTTCCAGAGGACAGCATCGACGTCACCAACGAGGACACGCTGCCCGCCGACGCCCACCAGCACTCCGAGTCGGCGTCCGCGTCGCCCGGCACCGGCCAGGGCTCCCTGGAGAGCGAGCGGGGTGAGCGGGGCGGCGCGCCGTCCAACGGGCTGTCGCTGGGCCTCATGAGCCCGGGCAGCGGCGGCAGCATGTCGCTGGCCGGCATGGCGCAGGCCAGCGGCGGCCACCCCATGGGGCTGCCCCTGTACGGCCCCATGCACGAGACCGTCTACGAGACGGCGGCCCGGCTGCTGTTCATGGCGGTCAAGTGGGCCAAGAACCTGCCCTCCTTCGCCAGCCTGCCGTTCCGAGACCAGGTAGGCGTCACCGCCACTTTGGTTCCTCACCGGAGAGAGTCCCCCGCTTCACAGTGGGCCGACCATTGGAGGCGGCCAAAACTCTAAACGCGCTTTGAGCTCCAGAGTCGCTAAATAGGCCTCGAACCGAACGTGTGACCCCACCAATGGATTGCTCTCCGAACGAGGAATCCATTGGTGGGGTCACACGCTCGCTTCGAGACCTGTTTAGCGACTCTGGAGCTCAAAACGCGTCTGGAGTTTTGGCCGCCTCCACTGGTCTTCTGGCCCACTGTGCGCTTGACGGCCGCGTTCCGTTCCAGGTGATCCTCCTGGAGGAGTCCTGGTCCGAGCTGTTCCTCCTCAACGCCGTGCAGTGGTGCCTGCCGCTGGAGCACGCGCCGCTCTTCTCGCCGCAGGAGCACTCGTCGCTCAACGGCAAGGGCTCCGGCCTCGGCGCCAGCCCGCCCGCCGGCACCGCCGCCGACGTCCGCACCCTGCACGACACGCTGCTGCGGTTCAAGGCGCACGCCGTGGACCCCGCCGAGTTCGCCTGCATGAAGGCCATCGTGCTCTTCCGATCCGGTGAGTATTGTGGCTTGAAGCCACACTGAAAAACCAACCGTGGTCTAGACCACACCAACTGGTGTGGTCAAATGGGTGCCATTTTGACCGCATCAGTTGGTGTGGTCTACCACGTTTGGTGCGTTTGGTGTGGTCATTGCATAGAAAGACCAAGACCACGCCAAACGTGGTCTAGACCACACGAAACGTGGCCAAACATGGTCTAGACCACACCAACTGATGCGGTCAAAACGGCACCCATTTGACCACACCAGTGGTGTAATCTCGACCACGTTTGGTTTTTCAGTGCACGCGTTGCACTCCTCTGCTTTCCGCGAATCGGACTTTGAACTGAGTTGGTCCCGCAGAGACGCGCGGCCTGAAGGACCCGGGGCAGGTGGAAAACCTGCAGGACCAGGCGCAGGTGATGCTGGGCCAGCACACGCGCTCGCACCACCCGGGGCAGGCGGCGCGCTTCGGTCGCCTGCTACTCATGCTGCCCCTGCTGCGCACCATCGGGGCCCTCAGGATCGAGGCCATCTTCTTCCAGAGGACCATCGGCAGCACGCCCATGGAGAAGGTCCTGTGCGACATGTACAAGAACTGACGCCACCTATTTGTTTGATTGTTTATTTATTTATTTATTTATTACATAGTTATTGTTCACGAGCTAGAGTTTACTCAATGTTTCAAGTAGTGTGGGAAGGTTTCTTTGTTTGTGCCTTTGCCGGCAAGTTGGCCCGATCGGTGGGCCGGGGAGGGGGGATGCAGAGTCGCCAACGGCTGCGAATGAAAACGAAATAAAACGTATGTCTGGAGTGAACGATTCAGTCTTAGCAACTATATTAGGATATTTTCGTCACTTTCTTTTTGTGTCATTCGTTGCACTTTCGAAATTAGATAAATTGTTTGAACTGTGACAGGAATTGAAGACATTACTTTTTGTTTTTGCCGAAGTTGTTTTTCTTTTGTGTATTGTGGAGTGAAAGAATGAAGAGAAATTCGGAAGTCCATGCCATTGAATGCACTTCTCGGTTCGTCTTGTTCTATGCTGTGTCTTTGGTTCCTATCACTGCGTACGTGCCTAGGTACCGTCTTCGTCTGTCTTTGCATATTGCTGTAAAATGCAGGGCCTAATTAAATGCTTAGATTGTAAGTCTTATCCGTTCGACTAACGATGAAACGTGGAACTTTACCTGTATTTAACGATTGATTTTACCAAAGCTGTGTCGCTTTAAGAAGGTCGGAGTGTTGTACAATGCTGTTGTGTATAGTTTCTTTATTACATATGCATTATTTCTTATTGTTACTTTTGATCCTTTCTTACTCATCCTCACCCAAAGCGCGGCCAATGGAACCGGAGAGATGGTTGCACAGTCGACAGGGTCGACCCAGGGAGCGAGACTGATCTACATTTTCAACACTACACTCTAAATGTAGAGTGCCCAGTAAGGGGGCGCCTTTGTCGCCCGCCCCACTTTTTAGGGTGCCAAATGTCGCCCAGTTTCTGAGCACCTTTGTCGCCCAGTCTCGGGGTGGACTAATCATGCAGTAACGGCCCTCTCCCTGGAGAGCATGGACAGGTGTCTAGTCCTGGGCGAGTAAGGGCCAGATCTGGGCACCTTTGGCACCTTAGTCGCTGCTGAGCCATGGGTGAAGGCATTCCTATGGTTTGTCCAACCCAGACTAGGCGACAAGGTGCCCAAATGGGCGACATTTGGCGCCCTAAAAAGTGGGGCAGCGACAAAGGCACCCAGTTACTGGGCACCCTACATTTAGAGTGTACCCATTTCAGCCGCGGATCCAAGAGGGGGGGGGGGCGGCCTGGGCTGGATCCGCCTTTGACCCATTTTCATGATAAACGCCTTAGAATTTAAGTGCCACCCCACCAAACTCAACACAAGGTCCTTGAACAGGCACCAAGGCACCATGCGGTTTCGGTTCCGGCTACAAAGATACGGAACTAAGCCGACGACGCCCTGGCATCCCGAGAGCACGCCCAACACGCCCCCCGCACGCCCCCCGCCCGAGCAGCACGTCCAGGACACGCGAAAACAATTCACTGAATCGGTTATGACGCCGCTCTATAGATTACGGGTCTCTGCCGGCTGGCTCCGAGCCGGACGCCGCCCCTCTCGCGCGCCTCCACATGAGCGCGCGGGAGAGACAGAGAGAGAGATACCCGCCGCTGAGTCGCTGACCCTTGCCGACTCATGTGGGCTCACACGTCCGCCAGCGTGCGGCGTGGTGCGTCGCGGCACCGCCGGCATAACCGTCTGGCGGCCCGGCCCGCCCAGCCCAGCCCGCGCTTAGCTGGATTACTACTGACCCCGCCCGGGCCGCGCGCCGCGCCTGCACTGCCATTCACGTAGGTGTTATTGGCCAACACTATCGGCCGGCCGGCACGCCGGTGCGCCACTGTACGTACCTCAAAATCTGCATCGTAGTGCTGCGATTAGATACGGGGCAGAGCACGCGGCCAGCCGGCGGGACGACGTTTATGGCAGGAGATAAAGAGAGAGCCATTGAAATGGACTAAGCAATGTGGCGCGCCGCGACCGACCACCAGCACCTAGTCGTCGAGCAGGACCGCATCCTGCAGGACCACAGCGACGCCGCAGACGCCACAGACGCCGCCGACGCCGCAGACACCATGACGGCCGTGGGATTCAAGGGCGAGAAGGAGGTGAGCGGCGAGGGCGGAACCCAGGGTTCATTCATAGGTTAGGGCGGCCCTCCGCGAGCGTGGGGTAGCGCCACCTCGTAGCGCCGCGCCGCCCCGGAGCGGGGTAGTGACGGCCATCTTTTGACTGGCCTGTGCTGAGATGCTGCGGTGCCTTTCGGAGATCGCCCAGAAAACGCGTCCATCGAACCACCGCGATTTCTTGAAGGCTCAATGATTGGAAAGAATTTTTGTTGACTTTAGTTTTCTTCCAATGAGACGTATTTCTGGGCTGTGTTCTGGAGCTACTTGGGTTGCCAATGAGGTTCAGTTTTCTTCATCACTTTTCAAACACACATGTGCAAATCGGAATTCCGTTCCAGCCGACGGTGGACGGGGGGAGGCTGACGTGGAACCTGATGATCAGCGTCATCGCCTCCCTCTGCGGGATGTTCACGTTCGGCTACAACACGGGCGTCATCAACTCGCCCAAGACCGTAAGCATGCCGAAACTAAGTGACCCTGGAACTGTGCCCGCGGCCGCGCTCAGCCCACCCTGTTGCCGCTCCCGCAGGACATCAAGAACTTCATCAACAGCGTGTACCTGTCGCGGTACGGCCAGGCGGCGGACGACGCCCTGGCCGAGTCCCTCTTCTCCTACATCGTGGCCGCGTTCGCGCTGGGCGGGCTGGTCAGCGGCCCCCTGGCGGGGCTGCTCGCCGAAGGCCTCGGCAGGTACGTCGTCGTCAGCCAGAAGTGCGCCGTCAGCGATCACGCGCATCGTCCACGCGAGGGCGCCGTTTCGGCCCGATCTTCGCACTCGGCGGATTACAGCGTAGATGAGATTGAGAGGGCAGCCGCCTGACGGCCGTCCGTTTCGCAAGCCCTGCGAGACGGCGCCGGCCAGAAAAGTGACATGTCACGGATCACGCAGGCCGTCTTATCAGCAGTAACGTGACCGGATGCTCGCGGCGTCGCGGCGCGCTCGCTCATTCGCAATCAATTGTCGTTTATTGCTCTGTAATCGGCCGGTCGGCCGCATGGCGGTAGACGAGGTAGACACGGCGTGACCGGGTGTTGAACCACGGATTACGCTCGCCAAACACCCCCTGATTGAGTGCAGACAACGACGGACGGACGGACAGACAGACAGGAGGACAGACATGCAGGGTCACCGCCTTACACAGCAGGCTGGGTGAACACCGCACATAACCACCCCCTTTCGTTACAGGAAGGGTGGTTTACTGCTCATAAGCGCCGTTGGCGTTGTAGCCTCGCTCTTGTTGGGCTTTGCCAACCTGGCGGCCTCCCACGAAATGTTGTTGGTGGGCCGCTTCCTCATTGGCGCTTGCTCCGGTGAGTACACTGGCGGGCTGGTCCTTCCAGACAATGTTACTACTGCGGGCCGCCCCCCGAAAGTCCGCGCTTCGCCGGCGGGACCGGCAGGGGGCGGTAGCGGCCGACGCTGTATACGAAATCGCTTTACGCGCGCGGGGTATCGCCGACGCCGTCGCGTCGGGCATACCCCACACCGGGCGTCGCAGAGTCCCTGACGGCGGGAGTATTTGCAGGGCTGTTCACGTCGCTGTCGCCGATGTACATCTCTGAGGTGGCCCCGCTGGCGATGCGCGGCGCGCTGGGCGTGTGCAACCAGCTGAGCGTGACCATCGCGCTGCTGGTGGCGCAGCTGTTGGGGGCGGACTTCGGCCTGCAGCGCTGGGACGTGCTGCTGGGCATCAGCGCGGTGCCGTGCGTGGTGCTGCTCGTGCTGCTGCCGCTGTGCCCGGAGTCGCCACGCTTCCTGCTCGCCTCCGGCCGCGTCGACGCCGCCGAGAACGGTAAAGGCACGGGGTAGCGCCGCGGGGCGGGGGTGGCGCGATGCGCGCGTGGGGTAGTGACAGACCGACTGACGCCGTCCTCGCTCGTCCGCAGCGCTGTCCTGGCTGCGCGCCGCGCCCGCCTCCCACGTCCACGCCGAGGTCCAGGCCATGAAGGACGAGGAGGAGGGCGCCGAGCCGGCCATGGGCTTCCTGCAGCTGGTGCGCAACTCGTCGCTGAGGAAGCCGCTGCTCGTCGCAGCTGTGCTGCAGCTGTCCCAGCAGCTGTCCGGCATCAACGGGGTGAGCTAATTGCCTGGGGTGGGCCTGGGGCGGGGCATGTCACACTCGGTGCTCGCTGCCAAGGGTGGGGTACCGCCAGGGTGCCGCCCGCTCGCCATTTTTTTCGCGTCGAGTGTCCACCGCCGGCACACCGTTAGCTGAACGCCCGTTTTTCCCGCAGGTGCTGTACTATTCCACCGACGTGTTCACCAAGGCGGGGCTGGACGAGTCCACGTCCAAGCTGGCCACGGTGGGCACGGGCGGCATCATGGTGCTGATGACGCTGGTGTCGACGCAGTTCGTGGACAGGCTGGGGCGCCGCGCGCTGCTGCTGCTGGGGCTGGTGGGCATGTTCGTGAGCTCGCTGGCCGTGACGGCCACGCTGGGCCTGGCCAACGAGGGCGCCGTGGTGCGCGCGCTGGCCGTGGTGTCGGTGCTGGCCTTCGTGGTGCTGTTCTCGCTGGGCCCCGGCTCCATCCCCTGGCTCATCACCGCCGAGCTCTTCTCGCAGGGCCCGCGGCCCGCCGCCATGGCGTGCAGCGTGACCGTCAACTGGGCCGCCAACCTGGTGGTCAGCCTCGCCTTCCCGCCCATGCAGGTCGCCCTCGGCTACCTCGTGTTCGCGCCCTTCTCCGTCCTGCTCTTCTTCTTCTCGCTCTTCACGGCGCTGCGCGTGCCCGAGACCAAGAACAAGACCTTCAGGGAGATCGCCGACTCGTTCAGATGAAGCGGAGGCCGTGCCGGCCGAGGCCACCCCTTGCCCTCCGTGCTGGCGCGCGGAGTACCGTCATCGCGAGGCAGGGGGTAGCGACGACCGCCCCGACCTCACCCCCAGTGGAGTACCGTCATCGCGAGGCAGGGGGTAGCGACGCCCACCCCGACCTCGGAGCTCATCAAAGGATGCAGGCTGTGCTATTTATGTGCGATTTTTACTCGAAGCGGACCCCGATGTATCCAGGTTCTTCCCGCGAGGCGATGCTCATTGTGATATTTGACCCCGTGCGGTCACCCGTGCTCATTTTGACGATCTCACGATGATCACGTGATCAAAAGTACTGATGCTATAAATCACTCTCAACAGCGGGACACACTGATGTTCGCAGTACAGGAAGACTGAGCCAAAGTCGGCTCTGTACATGTTTGTCAAAAAATTACTGAAAGTCCTCTTTGTGATCAATATTCTGTAAGCGACACATTCATTACTTCACTCATACTCATTCCATTCATTTATTACTCACTCATCCACTCAATCATTAGATTAAGACCATATCTTACTCAGCTCATTGTAAGTTCTTCATAACATGCTCTGTCATCTTAGATTGTAAGTATTTTTGTAAATACGATTAGTCCTAAACGAACAGTGCGTTGTTATTCACTTCCTTTATCCTATACACATCTTTTATTCCTGGAGTATTTGTCTTCTTTCAGGGTTCATCGCTTATCCGTGTATCGTAGTTTCACAGGGCGTTATGTCTGGGAAACGGGGAGACAAGTGTATAGTGCGTTAGAAAAAACCAGGGATCTAATTTTAGGCAACCGTGTTACGCGTGTGAGCCGTCGCCGGTTTACGAGGCACTATCATCTCACCGAAATCCAACTAAATGTCAACTCCCGGCTTATCGGTGGCGCAGACCAATTTTTCCTTCTTTTAAAAATAAAATGGAAAGACGAAAGTTTCGAGAAACTAGACACGGCCACCACACGCGCCCGCACACCTTTATCGTCGTGCAGACCTTCGTTCTGGCCGGGGGCGGCCGGGGGCCGTTAGGGGCGGTGAGAGGGTGGGGGTGGGTGCGGCGAGGGGGTGGGGGCTGTGACAGTGGCGCGATGTTGAATGGGCCTCACGCTTCGCTAGGCCTCCTCGGCGATAATATTTATAAAACGGCCGCTGTGCTTTCTACTCGACCATGTCTTCCTCCCCCCGCGCCCTCCCTCCCCCCACCGTGCCCATTCAGCAAAGCCCCTTTCTCCCCCTCCCCCTCCCAAACCAGCGATCCTGTTCTTTCTGTTTCACTGCAGACGCTTCCCGTGCACCTGCTGTGTCTGTGGCCCTTCTGTGCGCGCCTCTTGCGCCCGCCGTTCACCCATCCGTTCATCCCCCCGCCCCCTCCCCGCCACCCGCGCGCCGCCCTGCCCGAACCGCACGCCGTGCACTCCACCCCGGTTGTCATCGTGTACTCCCCGCCCTCCGCCGCCGCGGCCAGCGTGACCCGCCGTCCGTCTGCACACCCAGGACCGCGTCGAGGACACTAAGCGATCTACCCCCAACCTCACTTTGAACCTACCCCACTGCCCGCCCAACTATCAACCCCGAATACCCTACCGAGCTCTCGACGGCGAGGCTAGACGCAGGCACGAGTGTGGCCTTGTGGGGCTTGCGGTGGAGCGGGCGAAAACGAGTGAAAAGAATCCCCCGCGGACAGGCCGGCCGCTGCCCCGGGGAGGTCGGGGATGCGCGGCGAGGCTGCGTCGCGGGACTAAACGCTTTCTCCGCGATGAATGACGCTTTCTTGTCGCCAGCGGGCCGTGCCGTGCCGCGCCGCGCCGCGCTGCCACTGTCTCTCTCGGGCCGGGCGGGACGCCCCGTGAGTGCGAGAGAGACGGTTCAGTGTGCTGGCGGCTGCTGCCCACCCAGGAACACGCGACCACACAGCGTCGGCATCCTGCCTGCGTCCCGCACGCGTTTCTCAGCTCGGTTTTCGGCGCAGTGCCGTTTCGCCGTTTGAAGGAGACGAGGCGACGAAGTGGACGGAGCGGCGGACGCCCGGCGAGTAGGCAACACGTGCAGCGCGCGTGGCGCGGTGGTGCCTACCCGGCGGGCTGGAGCTGGCCGCTCGAAGAAGGCGCCCAGCGAGGGGCATCCACTGCACTCGCACGAACACGAAGCATGCTGTGGTGTCACAACAGTTCGAGACTGTTTGGCTCCACTGAAAAACCAAACGTGCTCTAGACCACACCAACTGGTGTGGTCAAATGGTTGCCATTTTGACCGCATCAGTTGGTGTGGTCGAATGGGTGCCATTTTGACCGCATCAGTTAGTGTGGTCTAGACCACGTTTGGCCAGGTTTCGTGTGGTCTAGACCACGTTTGGCGTGGTCTTTCCATGCAATGACCACACCAAACGCACCGAACGTGGTCTTAGACCACAACTGATGCGGTCAACAAGGCACCCATTTGACCACACCAGTGGCGTGGTCTAGACCACGTTTGGTTTTTCAGTGTCTGTGGTTCTGTACAAGGAAAACCAGCCACCACCAACAGGCCAAGACGAAGGCAGAAGCACTCCACGTTCCTCGGAGGGAAACTGATCCAGGTCTGCAGTCAAATTGGGCGCATCGGTCGACGTATGAAGTTGCTTCAAGTTTTGAGGTTTGTTGGAAGTGTGTTGCACTTCCTGGCGAGCGCTTGACACTGTCGGCGAGCTGCCTGCGATGACGTCACGGGGCTCTAGTCCCCGACACGGCGGATTTCGCCCAGATGGATTCCACGGTGCGCTCGCTGCTCGGCTCGCGCCGCACGCGTAGCGCGGCTAGTTGCAGAGCAGTTCTAGCCGGAACTCTACTTTGGAAGGTGAGGCTGACCTCATTTCCCGTTTCTGCAACTACTTTCAAAGCTCCTGCCCGACCGTGCTTCAAATATACCTGACTTCCTTGGAAGGCGGAGATCGTGAAAAGTAAGAGGCTTTTAGTTAGAACAGCGACTGCAAGCTTGCAAAAATGCCAACTTGATAAGGGTGCTTCTTGCCCCATTTGACACCGCCTCCGATATGCGAGTTGTTGCTGTTAGCTCCAGGGTCCTTCCTCTCTTTTTTGGAGCACGGAGAGGCACGTTCGAACAGGGAAGATCGCGGGGGAGGGATCGAAGCAAAAGGAAGAGGATCGCAGGAAGGAGCGGGGCGCGGCGGGGCGCGGCGGGGCGCGGTGGGGACGGGATTTGAGTGCGTAGCCCGCGGAGGAACAGCACAGTGTTTGTGAATGGCTTCTATTCTTAGGCGGCGCGGCACGGTGAGGCACTGAATGGGCTGTTGCTGAATGGGTCCCGAGACCACACACACTCACACACACGCACGCGGGCCGCACGCGACACTGCGCGACAGCGCGGGGCAGCTCTAAGTGGAACGCCGAGTGGAATAGTGGGCAGAAGACCTGTTCGCGCGGACGGGGGGACTCCGGGCAGCTCTGACCGAGTTTCAAGCTCTAGTTTCTTCGTGTCTCGAAATGGAGCTCATGGCGGCACCATTGGATTCCCCGTTCGAAGAGCAATCCATTAGCACCCTCATGTCGCACTGAAAACCTAAGAGGGTACTGAGTACTACTCAGTACCCACTTAGGTTTTCAGTGTGACACTTAAGCCCTATATGTGTTTACTCAGTAATACACCTAAGTGTCCTATGTGTGTACTCAGTACACATTAAAGTTTTCAGTGCGGGTTCTGTTGAGGACACGGTGTAAGTTGGGGAAGAACAGTAGTACTTTGCTTACACTGTACGTACATTTCTTCCCCAACTTACCCTTACCCTCTGAGCCCGACAGACCCACTGTCCAGCAGGCCCTGCATGACCGCTTGGACCTCCACCGCGCGCATTAGGCCGGTGGCCGAGCGACCAGGAAGGCAAGTCCCCGACCCAGAATTCGGGTCGGAAGGGCGTAAATCTTTTTCGGCGGCATCTGTCGAGTTGGAGAAAGACGCCGGGCAGGTGGGACGCCGTGGCACGCCGTGGGACGTCTCCTTGCAGCGCTTGCGGCGCTTGCACCACACCGAAATACATATCGCCGCTCTTTGCATCATGCCCCCTCCCTCCCCTCCCCCCCTCCCCTCCCCTCCAATCCCTCCGCACGCCACAACTCTTTCTTCTCGGGGATTGGCTGGCCTGGTGGCCGTGCAGCCGGTCTATTTGCGTCATTCGCCTGGCCAGCCTGCACGCCACACTGCGTTTCGCTTGTTCGTCACCGCAAACTTTTTCGCGCGCTTCTTTATTTACATTGCCGCCAACTGCACGACACTGCGCGGCGAGTCCGTCCGCGCCTCGACAACGTCACAATGTCGCCGTCTCGCGGACTGAGGCGCGAACCCAGGGTTTTTCTACCGAGTGGACAATGCACTTTTGTCTTCTTACAGAGGCTTGTTGCCTACCGTTCAGGCGGACGATCTAGTGCCCGGCGGGAGGGGGAACTTTTACATAGCAGTACCGAACGCCACGGAATTCGGCTCGGCGACGTCCGCGGCCACTCTGCAGTGAGGCCGCAGTGAGTGCGAAAAGCCGGGCGATCTGTTACTCGTCGGGACTTTGGGCGCCGAAGAACGCCCCACCCTGCCCCGCCCTGCCCCGCCCCCCGTTTGAAAGTGACGACGGCTACAAGTGTAGAACAAGGAGCGAAAGTTTAGCGCCCACGTGCGCGGCCCGCTGCAAACGTGGTCGAGCTGACTGGTTTTTGGACTCCGGAAAACAATCGTCCCTGCGCCCGGTGATCTCCTGGCTCGGCGACTTCTGTTGACAGGTGATGTGGTCAAAGCAGGTAGAGGTACCTGCTACAGCAAGTTGGACTTTTGTCGTCCAAAACGCCTACGCTGAAAGAAACCTTGCCTTTTTTTGTCTTTTCGAAGCTGCACCAGGTGTAGGCCGGTGGCGTCTCACGTTGTTACAACCAACGACGCGGATCCAAGCGTCTCGAGGGGGTGGGCGGGACGGGCGGGTCGGGACGGGTGAGGCCGGGTCGGGTCGTCCCCGCGGCCCCCAAGCCTCAAGCCCCAGGCCCCGCGGCCCCCAGGGCGGCAGGGTGAATGGAAACAGATGAATGGATAGCGACATTGCTGCCAACCATCACAACGCGAATACCGGAAACACGGCTTGCCAACTGCCCCCATTCGCCGGGGCGGCACAGGGCGGCACAGGGCGGCACAGGGCGGCCCCGGGCCCCACTAATGCTGCGGCTCACACTAGGCCGCCCTGTCCCTGCCTGTCCCAGCCTGTCTCTTTCGTTTGCCGCTGTTCGCGCAAAATACGCCGCGAACGCCCCGCGAGGCCGCCCTGCACTGTTAGAAAACGAAATAAATCAAAATCTGTCTGGTGTGGCGATTGTTCTTGGGGAGTAGCACTTCTTCCACCAATCAGTTCGTTTTCTTTGTTTTCAAAAAGTATCTAATGATTGGCCTAGTTAGAAGAAGAATCTGCCCGATTCCGGGAATGTGGAGTTCTTCTGGGTGCATTCCCTTTCGACAGTACTCCCTCGGGCTCCGGGCTGCTTGTTCGAGTGAGAAGTCGCTCCGGGCGGAGGACGTTTCACCGTATGTTCCGCCCCGACGCATTCTCCCTCTCTTGTTGGCGGTGTAGAGGACGATGGGCTTACACTGTCCACA